CACTTCACCTTTCTCTGTTGTTTGCTAAGACTGATAGTTAGCAGTGAGTAGCATATTTTACTTAGCACGAGGAATGTATGCAGGACTCAAAGTAATACCTTGCTTTTGTTTGATCTGTAGGAAGTGATACAACCGTGTCTCAGATCTTGCTGACTCAGCATGGTATACCTGTAATGAGCATGTCTGATGGAAAGGCGTACTGCTTTAATCCTTCTCTCTCTACGTGGTACGTTTTATATGTGTGCCTTTTACAACCTAGCCAAGCATGTATTCTGGTTTACTGTTTCACTCCACATTTTAAAAGTTAAAGCAGTGCCTTGGGGCTTAAGTGTGCTTTACTTGTTTAGATAAACTGACAAATTGTGTGGAGAACTTCCCAGGCAGCAAGGAGCAGGGGATGGACTTCCAGGCAGAATTCTGACCCCGCTGCCTCTTTGTTTGTTTGTACTACAGCTTTGGAAACATGTAAAAGAGTGATCCCTTTAGTCATCGTACGAATTTAAACATGATAAAGCAGCGCAGGTTATTTTAAATATTTGTGCCATTTACCTCTGAGCTGTCTGGAGGTCTAAACTTAGCGCTGTTTTGAGTCACTGATTCCCTCGGCATCTCAAACTTAGTGAAAATGATATCCTTGATTAGGTGTGGAAATGTCAGCTGTAGCTGTCAGCTCCCTGGGTAAGAAGGAATAGCTTAAAGTCTGAAGAGTGTCAAAATGTGTGGTCGTGATGACCTGTGCAGGGGGTGGGGGGACCTGGCCCTCCCTCAAACCAGACTCACAGTGTGAAAGTCGTTACTTCGTGCGCACCCCAGTCTTCATCAGGGGTGTGCCATCCTGTGTGCTCTAAAATGCCAGACAGTGAATTTCCTCGTGCGTTTCAAAATAAACGCTGCATTGTACTACGTGATCAATCCTGTCAACTCTGGGGGTGGGAGGGACGTTTCCATGAGAAGACAAGTGGAATTTGCACTTGTTCCAACTCTGTCCAACTGCTGAGCATCTCTGTGATACACTTGTGGAAATCTGTGAGCCTGCGAGTCGGGCTTTGAGGCAGAACGCAGCTGCATCAGCTGATACCACTGCTTGCTCTCTTCAAACTTGTCTCTGCTTTGTTTGCTCTTTTCCAGGAATCTTGTTTCTGACAAGCAGGACTCCTTGGCGCAGTGCGCGGACTTCAGGAGTAGTTTACCATCCCAAGAAGCCATGTTGTGTTCCGGGCCCTTAGCTGTAATACAGGGACGGACATCGAAGTATGCCTTTCTTTGCTTTGTTTCACCAGTGTGTTTGTCCTTTTCTTCCTGTTACTTAATCACCTGCCTGAATCACTGCGATGTTCCTGAGACGCTGATTGCACTGAAACGTATCAGTAGCTCATGGAGCACTTGTATTATTTGTATTCTTTGCACATCAGTAGTCTGTATTGCAGTGCTGCTCGAGGTTATTCGGGGGGCGGGAAAGCATACTCCAAAATTAATCATTTTGTTTGAGTCTCCTCTCTATTGAATGGGTGAAGTATGTGATGATTCTGTGCATGTCATATCTTAAGTAGCAATTAGTGACGCCGGTAATTATAGCAGTGGAGGGTAAGGCAGTTTGCAGTGAAGCTCTGCCTTTGTCGCTCCAGGCTGGAACCCTGAAGGCACTAGGTGCCTCTGGAAGCCAGGTGCAGAACAGTGTGTTACAAGAATGATTTTGTCTTAAAATAGCATCTGATATTATGGTGCCATGTTAAATTTTCTTTGGTTTTAGTTCAGGAAGGCAAGCTGCCAGATTGTTCTCCATGCCTCATTTAGTGCAACAAGAAACAACGCTTGCATACCTGGAGAATCAGATAGCAGCAGCGCTGATGTTACAATCCAGTCATGAATATCGCCACTGGCTCCTTATCTATGCACGGTACCTAGTTAATGAAGGTGAGACCCTGCGTGCCACGCTGCCTTTGCAACTCGTTTTTAAGAAACTCTGTTCACTTTGTGTGTCTGTATGATTGCACTTCACTTGCTGGACACTTGGTGCCTGGACTCAGTGCTCGCTGACAGCCCAACCAGCTGAAGCACACTTGTTTCCCATAGTGCTTCAGTACTCAGGAATCCTATTTCGCGTGCTGTGAACAGATTGTGGTCTGGGGAAACAGTGCCATCTATGGGGCCTTGAGCGCAGGCAAAAAAACGTGCAGCGAGTTGATTAGGGCATATCATATGTGTTATGTGCCAAAGATAAAGGCGCTTCAGAAGCAGCAGCAGCACCATGTAAAACGTGAGATGTGTGTTGAGGAGCAGAACTGCTGCTGTGACACGTACAGCCGAGCACACACAGCTGTGCAGAGTTAGATTCCTTTACTCGTTTATACTTCACTTCACATTTGAACACTCAGCACTAAATTCTGTGAGGAAAATAATCTACATAGAGGGTTGCTTGAATCCATTTCATATCTGAATATACTCTTTATGCTGCTGTACTAAGCAAGGCGGACAGTTGGCTGTGGTTTTGGGGATTCTCTGCATCTCTGCTTGTTCGTGTTCCAAATTCAGTAGTTCCCATTGTATTTGTTCAGCCCCACTCCTGATCACATGCGGTCATTTTGCACGGAGGGAAGTGAAGTGGTGTTAGGCCCCCACTGCTGTGTTGGCAGAAATAAAAACAAGCGCTCTGATTCTTGACCCCTGCTTCATTTAATAAAAGAGCCCGGTGAGTTGCGTTTGATTCTCTGCCCATCTAGGGTCAGGTCATTTGTTAAAAACAGTTACACTTGAGAAAGTCCTCACTAATTGAGAAGAAACATCTACATTTTCAGAAATCCTGCATGTTGGCCTTACCTTGTTCTAGATATTTGCAACTCTTTTTCTTGAAAATGTTGTCAGTTAAATTGTGTGGAGGTTTTATATAGTGAAATTTTTATGATCTTATTTCTGATAATATGCAGGGTTTGAATATCGTTTGCGAGAATTATGCAAGGATTTACTGGGTCCAGTCCATTACTCAGCTGGAAGTCAATGGGAATCAACAGTAATGGTGAGTCTTGAGGGAGAGTTTCCCATGGAAATTACAGAATGTGGATAAACAGTGTAACTTAAAATGTGGTTAAACCTAATATAATCATAGATTAAAATGGGTTTTTTTTGCTAATCTTGGAACCCTTTGCACTCTCTAGTCCTATCCCACAAGAAGGCTTCTTCCTATAGCACTTGTATTTATTTCGTGTGAGCCTGCAGACCAATACTCAGCTCCACAGTCCCTGCACTAGTCTTAAACACTGATCAGATGGAGTAGAGCTGCAAGTTCAGGCCTCCGCATTCTTCAGAGAGCAGCTCTGAGACAGCGGTGTGCCAGTGAAACGCCCTCCCTTCTCAGAGGTCGCAGCGGCTCCATGAGTTTACAAATGTAAAGTCAGCTTTTGTTTTGAGTCAGCAAGCAGAGTAAGAACTTAAAATGCATCGCTCTTCCCAGACAGGAAAAGAAATGCATGAATCTTAAACAGTCCTATGGATTACATTCCCAGTATAAAGCAACGCATTCTAAGGAAGCTTTTGTGTTGTGTGGCTTGTTTTTTTTTTTTGGTTTGGTTTGGTTTTTTTTCAGGGTTTACGAAAGAGAGAACTATTGAAAGAACTTCTGCCTGTTATTGGACAGAACCTCCGTTTCCAGAGGCTTTTCACAGAATATCAAGAGCAGCTAGACATCTTGAGAGACAAGTAGCATTTCCCCAGCTTTTCCCTGAGGGGCCTGGTCCGAGAGAAACTGCACAGCAGCGAAAGCGGGACGGGAGAGGAGAGGAGAGGACTGGCAGCCCGGTCAGTGTGTGGGACTCTGCGGAGGCGGCGGTGCTGCGGGCGCTGCGGTGACCTGCCTTAGTTTGCAGAGCTCACGAGCGGATCTGTGGAAAGGAGCGGACGAGCGCCCGCAGTTTCCCAAGTGGAACGTGAGCATCAAAGCTGTGGCCTCTGTTTCTGCGGAAGGGGTGCGTGCGTACTTCAGGGGGGTCCTTTTGGATCTGATCTCATCTTAATATCGAAATTAGCTGAGAACTGTTTATGGGGTTTCTTGGATGTCCTGTGAAAAGCACAGTACTTCAGAGTACACTGAACAGCGTATTTAACCCTGTGTAGGGTTTTTTTGCCTAAGGATTTATTGAGGCTCAACACTATATTGAATTAGATGAATGAGCCGCATAAAAGAAATTTCATAAATATTACGGTATTATGCAGCCCATAGGCTTTCCTGTGAATATAGTAATAATAAGAGGCTGTTCTAACACATGGACTATTTTTGTACTAGAATTTGCTAACTTGTGATATGGAATTTTATTTGGCCAATAATCAGGCTGTCTCTACAAAGTCATCTGCTAGGAAATCTAACTCCAATTACAAAAGCTACGTTTCAAAATAATTCAACCAAATTAACACGTCCTCATCTGGTTTTTAATTTTTCAATGTTTGTAAACGGCGTCGGGGGGTGGGGGGGAAGGACGGGACGGCTCTTTTTGTAAGTACAAAAATAAATGAAGACCGCATTGGTTTAAAAAACAACAAAGCGGGAACGTGGCCTTGAATTGCCGTCGCGACGGGCGCGGGCGGCTCAGCGCTGCTCAACCGCCGCGTCGCGTCCGGAGCCGCGTCTCGGGGCGCCCGCCCTTCGGCTGTGAGCTCGGACGGCTGCCGGGGGCCGCGGGAACGAACCGGCGCTGCGGCTCGCGCTCCTTCCTCCCCGCTCCGCTCTTCCCGCAGCCGCTCCTGCTGCTGGGAACGAGGCGAGCGCGCCGCTCCTCCCGCGAGGCCGCCGGCTGAGCCGCGCCCCGCCCCGCCGCCATTGCGCCTTTCCGCAGCCCTGCCGCTGCGCGCCCCGTGCCGGGCGGTGCCGGCCGCGCTGTCCGGTGACGACGCTTAACGGCGTTCCGCTCCGAGGGTGGTTAGCTGGCGGAAGACGAGCCCTCTGTCGCTGTGTCTTAAACAGTCCGAAGCGCTACGAGAGCCGGAGTCTCCCGCTCGCTTCGTTCCCCGCTCGGTGCCGCCCCGGAACGCCGCGCGCCGCCCGCGTTTCCCGCGGAGCCGTTCGGTGCCGCACACGGCGGAAGGAGCGACGCCGCCGCAGGGGGACCTCGAGCCGCTCCGGGACGGCGGGACGCGGCCATGGGGAAGCGGCAGCACCAGAAGGACAAAATGTGAGCGGGGCGGGGGCCGAGCGCCGGGGTGGGGCGGGGAGCGGAGCGGCGGGACCGAGCGATCGGCGTGCTGACGGCGCTGTGCCCGCAGGTACATCACGTGTGCCGAGTACACGCAGTTCTACGGCGGCAAGAAGGCGGGTGAGTGCCCTGTGTCCGTCCGTCCCCGTGTCCGTCCGTCCCCGTGTCCGTCCGTCCCCGTGTCCGTCCGTCCCCGTGTCCGTCCGTGTCGGCACGGGCTGAACCCGGAACAGCGCACGTTAACGCCGTGTTTTCTCCCTCCCGAACAGACCACCCCCGAACCAATTTCAGGCCGATATCGTTTGATCACTGCAGGTAAGGCGGCACAGTGCCTTATCGTTATTAAGTAACGACGTTTGGGTCCCATCGGTGCCCCCAGGAGCTCCACAGGCCGCGCTGCCCTGGCGGCACTGCGCTGAGAAACGTGCAGGTGAGGACTGAGATGAGAGCAGCGCTTCCCACATCTGCTGGGTCTGCACCCCGTGGCTGAAAGAAGGCACGAGTGATAAAATAGAGCAGGTATGGCCTGCGTGCCCATCTCACACGTCTGTGCAGCCAGCACGTGGATCTTTTTTCCTGGTCAGAACGTGACTGGGTGGCTGTCCAGCAAGCCGAGGCTGCCATTAGATAGATTGAAGGGACAGTTATGCTATTGTTTTCTGCTGACTTTACTTCTTGAAGTGCTGATGGAACCCGCCATGCTTAGGGAGCGTGGCAGCATCCAGCCCCTGGCTGTGGGTGCTCAGCTGCGTCTGAAAGCCTTTCAGAAACTTTGTTTTTAATGGAACTTACATAGAAGCAGGCAGTGGGTGTTGGTAACTGTGTTTTCATTGGTGTTGGCCTTTCTTTAACATGCAGCTGAATCAGCAAAATGTTGTTAACTTCTGCTGCTTTCATGATTTCCAGCTGATTTTGCTAAAAAGAAGTGTCTTTTTTTTTTCCTAGTTTGTCTCTGCAGCCATTTGAATACCCAGTTTGCACACCGGATGGGATGGTCTTTGACATACTGTAAGTTCCTGTCTGTTCTTACCTCTTCTTGTGTTGCTGTGTAACCATCTTTTGATCCAAGCAAGTTGGCAGAAATTTATTGTGCCTGTTTAAAATAATAGAGGTTTCTAATGGTGCTTATCTCGTGATTTTCTCCCTTCTATTTTCAGAAGCATTGTTCCTTGGATAAAGAAGTATGGAACCAACCCAATCACAGGAGAAGTAAGTGATGGTTATATTCACTGATATGTTGGCTTTCTGTATGTTCAGTTTCCTATTTAACATGTGGAAAAAAAAGTGCTTCAGTGAAAGTAAAAGAAGTTGAACGGTAGTGAAAATATGAAATTTTTGGCATTGGGTTTGCTAAAATGAAAATACAGGCTTACAAGATGAGGTTTTCTGCTGCCTTGTTATAAGCAAATTCTAGTCCATGCAGGCAGGGTGCTGCCTGGCTCATCTCTTTATCTGTGCTGAGACTTGCAAAGACTTTCCCAGCTGAATATTAGTGCGGATGAGTTGTAGTTTAATTGCAGAATTGTTGGAATTATCGTGACGATATGCTCAGACAGCTTCTCTGCCTCATGGTAGTTACCTGACCAGATCTCTCACTATGACCAGTGCTGTAGTGTTGTTCCCCCCCCTTTTTCTATGTAAGTGGTCATTACGAAGGGATTGCTGTGTGAAGCTCTAGAGGACCAGACAGATAGGAAATAATGGAAATGTTTCCTTGTTGAAATCATTTTGTCTTCTGATACGTTAAAAGAGAGTAAGTTATTTTTGAAGACGTAGATTTTAAACAGACATTGTTGCTCATTTGCTGAGATCCTTTCCTTGAGCGGGCGCAGTTCCTTTCCTGACCACGAGGCGGCAGCCGTGGCACGGGATTTGGGGTTGGTTTATGGTTTGGGCTGTGATTGCCTTTGAAACATCTTGTGTTTGATTGAAGGTGTTCCCAGCCGAGGGATACAAGGAGAGTATAACAGTATTCAGGCAAAATCATTTAGCTCGGGCTTAGCTTGTGCCCACGGATGAGAGGCCTACAGGTGGGTGTGGTAGGCTGGGTCTGTGATGATGTGAGGCCGGCCGGGTGCCTACCTGTGTGCAGAGCCTGGCTGAGCTGCGCTGGCAGCACGCAGTGCGCGCCCTCACCCAGCACTGCTTGTATCTGAATCAGGCACTGCTGTTTTCTTAAATCGTTTGGGAGGGGAGGGTTGGTAACGTGATGTTTGCCTGAATGCTTACAGCCACTCTCAAAACCAATAACTTTATACCTGAAAATAAAATATTGCAACTAAGCCTGTTGTTTTATAGCCTTGGAAAAGTTGTTCTCCAGTATGTTTTTTGAACATTTGTAGCTGCTTGTTCTCCCAAGTGTTGGCAGGTGGTGTTTCTAACTTTATTGTGAGGGCATAAGAAAGTATTTTCAGTCTCAGTCAATCTCATGAAAATGCACTGCCGGTCTTGGGGTGGCAGAGGCTTGTTGGGCAGGTGAAGGAGGAGACTGCCGTTACCACCAACTGTGTCAGTCCCACTTTGAAAATGCACTTCTCACTGCACTCAGAAAGCCCTTGGCTGTCTAACCATGGGAAATCCTGCCCAAAAGGATGTGGAAAGTGGAGCAAAGTTGAAACTTCCTTAATCTGGAAGTGTTTCTACCATGTACATGTTTTGAAAGCACAGATACGGAGGCAGATAGCGCTGGTTTCTTATTGTTTCTTCACTTCAGAAATGAACACAGAGAGGAGGAGGCCTGAGAGTTTCTTCTTGTTTTTCAGTATTATGAATAGAGAAGCCGCACTGTTTTGGAGGTGTAAGAAATATGTCAGCCTGGATTGAAGGCTGCAGTGTTAAAGCACGGCTTAAATTCCCACCTGGCTGCGCCGTTCAGCACTGTGTGCCATTGTCACCTTACAGAGCCGCTGTGTGGGATGGCCGTGTGTATGTGGGCAGTGTGCTGAGCATGGCGTGTTGTGGGCAGACATTGGGCTGTGCTGGCGGGGGTGAGTTCAGGTTTCACATGACCTCTATGGGCTGAATCAGTGTTATTGTGGCTTTAAACTCTAGCTCACATGGTAGATGTGGTTATTTACTGTAGATTGCGGTTTTAGCCGTGTTATTCCAGGTGTGTTTGTAGTTAATGAGCAGCAGATGATGGATATCTGTGCAGAGGATCTGTGGTCTGGAGGTGACCTTTGTGCTGGAGCTCCTGGAGCTGACAGGAAAACATTGCTGCTGTTGGCAGAGTTCTGTATGCTGCGCTTCCAGAGCGCATCTCAACCTGCTGCTGCCCGCAGCATCGTCTGAGGGCTGTGATGGCCTTTAGAGCATGGCGTATTGCTGCACGACTCAGATCTTCCTTCAGCTCTTCTCTTCTTGAAAAGGTTTGCCCAAAACAGAATGGTGCTCCTTCTGGGTGTTTTGGTTCTTTCTGTGGATGGACAATGCTGGGAAGGAAGTACTGCGCAGTGCTAGAGCGCGGGCTGCCCCTAGGGCAGGATTCCACCATCAGAGCACTGAACTGAGAGGGAGATTACTTGGCTGGGTGAGATGTTTGTCATGACCCAGCCAACTTCAGGTGAATGGCGTACGACCATTCCATACCTTTGGTTGTTCTTTTTCCTCTCAGGGTCTGAGCACAGCACCTGAAATCAAAGTAGTGTCTTACACTGCCTTGTTGGGGATCTGGAAATGAGCGGTCGTTGGAGCAGTGACTCCGGGTCTCGTTTGGTTGTAGTGCAACGGATACAAAAAGGGGAATTGTAGCTTTCTAGCTCTTCAGCTGCAAAATTCAAAGTCTGTTTCTTAGTTTTTCTGATACATCTCAGTCATATCCCCACTGCATGGCTGCAAACACCAGTTGCCTTTTTTTTTCTTTTCAATATGCATAAACTTTCCTCATTTTTTCCCACATGTTTGAAATGAAGGAAAGAGGCATTTTTCTTGTTTATCTTTAAAGGTTTCTGTCTGGAGTGGGGATACAGCTTTGTGAGTAACAGCTTATTAAGGAGCAGAGAACAAAGCTTACAGCAGTAAAACCAAGGCAGGCTTTGTTGCAGTGATTCAGATGCTGTTGTGTTGCGAAGCTCAGGGTGCAGCCATCAGCAGTGTAATCCTGGAGGGCTGTCTGGGGTCTCCTGCTCTCTGGCATCTGCTCTGCCTTGACCTGGTGTTTGCTTTCCTGCTGCTGAGGGATCCTTTTGATGGCTTCTCATCTGAGAGGTCTTCTGTCACTTCTGGGTCTGACCAGAAGTCAGTCTGGTTTTTATTTATGCCAGAACTCTGCTTTTCCCTCCTTGTGTTTACAGTTGTGTGCCCAGGGCAGTGGAATGTAATGCTTCCTTGACGTTGCCTTGCTGAGACTTGTCCTTTCCTGTCAGGTGTTCTTGCCTTTAAGTTCTCTGTACTTTATGTGGTCGTGGTCATCCTCTGCACCTGCTTAATTTCAATTTATCTTCTTTGAACATGGATAATCATAATCACATGCAGTGACTGCTGCTAAAGCGATGGGAGTGCTGTCTGGTGTCTTCCTGAAATTCACTTGGTAATACTTTGATTTATTACTGATGTTGGTTTAAGACAGCAAACATTTCCTGAGCTTGTGCCCAGGTGTGAGGGGTGCTGTCAGAACATGAGGATCTTCTCTTTCTCGCTGGGTTTCAGAAGCCCATTGGTATCTGTGGGTAGGAGCAGCTGCCCCACACAGCTCTGTTGGAGCGCACTGAGTGCAGCTGCTGTGCTGTGCAGTGCTGTGCTGTGCTGCTCTGTGCAGTGCTGTGCTGTGCAGTGCTGCTCTGTGCAGTGCTGCTCTGTGCAGTGCTGTGCTGTGCTGTGCTGTGCAGTGCAGTGCTGCTCTATGTAGTGCTGCTCTGTGCAGTGCAGTGCAGTGCTGTGCTGTGCTGTGCTGCTCTATGTAGTGCTGCTCTGTGCAGTGCTGTGCTGTGCTGCCTTGGCCACAGGGATCATCAGCTGTTAGTCAGCAGTGAGAATGAGCTCACATTTGACTTGTGACTGTGAATTTTCAAGGCCTTGGAATAGAAGCACATCTTAGTGTGATTCCTGCCCAGAGGAGCAGTTGGGAATTTGTGTGCCATAACTGGAAATGGTCATATAAAGCAGGAGGGCCCAGGGTGACATTGAGGCTGATAACCAGAAAAAGGACTGCTTTTTTTGCTCTGTTTTCCAAAACTTTCTCCTTTCTTATTGGTAAACATAGGGATAGTTGGTCATTCCTCTTCCAAAACCATAGCTGTGCTTTGCAGTAGTGCCTGCAGCATCACTAATGGCTGGCCTTTATCCATCTTGAAAGGTGACTTTATTTTTCAGATCCTTGTATCTCTGGATCTCTGGACTGATAGACTTCTGAGTGCGCTAAGATTGAGGTTCTAGTCTTACATATGGAACTGCATGTCTTTTTCTCGTAGTAATTCATGTTAATGTGCTCTTTGGTACAGCAACACTATTGCTGTATGCTGTATTGCACTACTACTATGTGCGTGTTAGCAAGCATAGCTTTATGATTGTGTGGACAAGGCTTTGGTGACCAGATGGTGTCAGTTTAATTAAGATTTAAATGTGGAAATACAAAGGAGGTGGGTAATAAAACACTGTGGAACCTTTTGTGCCATTTCCGTACCAGTTCAGTAGGGGGCTGGAAGCCACACACACTTGGTAGTTGTTCATATGACACACATCTCATGTTGATGCTGTTGAACTGAACATAGAAACCATAGCTTGAATCAGGAAGGCGTTCTGCCTTTTTTTGGCCTCTCACCCTAATTTTCCCATGAAACACTGACCTGCATGAATGAAACGTGTCTTATTAAACTAGCACAGCTCTTTCCCATTGCATTCCCATATTTGTAGACTTGCTGAGGATTTCAATGCCTTTTGTTATCATTAAATTCATTTACAATATCTAAAATAAGTAACAGTATACATGGAGTTATTCAAATAATATTCTAGCATTCAAATAACATTGTAATATTTCTTGAAGGTTTAATAGCATGAAAAATGGTGTGAGGGCTTCTTGAAATTGGAAAAGGTGCGCAATGAATAACAAGCATACACTCTAAAGAATTTAGCAAAATTCATCTGCTAGTGTTAAGTTAAATTTGGTGCTTGGTGGGCAGTGCTGTCTCCCTCCTGAATTTGGGGTAACTCTGCTTGTTTGGGTGGGATGAGAACCCTCTCATGCACCGATTTACAGGAGTCAGCTCTCACTGCGTGTCACCAACTGCCTCGTGTGGTTGGAGCGCCAGATGTGTCCGTTGGCACTGTTTGCAGTCTGTATCCAACAGGTCAGAGCTCATCAACAAAACGAACGTGCTGCCTCTGACCGAGGGATTCAGGGAGAGTAACTGACATGCACCAGGACTGTGGGTCGTGTCTTCATGAGAGACACGGCGATGACAAAGACTGATTCTGTTTGAAACAGCCGCCGTGCCCCATCTGCAAGCTGCCGCTGTGCCTCGTTAACCTGCACTCCCTAACGACCCCGGCGTGGCCACCAACAAAGGCAGCCCTTCGTGTCAGTGACAGATGGGGCTGCTGGTGGCTGAAAGTTGCCTGCAAGAGGAGGCAGCGAGGAGAGAATCGCCTGCCTTTCCCGGGGGCTGCTTTGAGCCCTTCCTTGCTCTGGAGCATCTGGCACCACATGTCATTAAGCACGCCTGCTCTTCCGTGTTCTTGCTTCAGATGCTTTTAGCCATGAATATACAGCTTTGATCCCTGCTTAGGGGGAGTGGTGTGTGCTTGTGGCCTTTCATCTTCGTTATGAATTTAGAATTTTAATTAGTTCAAGTGGTTTTTTGTTAACATTGCTTTTTCCTTTCCTTGCTGGGAGTTGAGTGAAACTGGGTGATAAGTGTGTGGGGGGAGCTCAGGTCAGAAACAGTTTTGAACTTGAGCTGTACATTCAATATTTGATCTCCTTGTGTTTATTGCTGGTAAGAAATTGATGAAAATAAGCAGTTTAACTCATGTAAGGGCTCACTCACTGCTCTGTCGCTGGGAAGGCTGGTGCCTACTTGTGGCATACTGGACATTGTCATGGCAACAAACTGACGGTGCTTAGAAAGCTTTGCCTTTTTTTGATGGAGAATAAATAATAGCAGATTCACGCACATGCGAGATAACCATGTTTTCAAATGAAATGAAGAACATGGGGTGGGGCGGAGGGGATAAAATATGGTTTTATGTCACGTTCTTTCATAGTATCCGGTGTACCATCTTTCACAGACATATCGCTGTTTCTGAGCAAGGTCAGCATGGGTTTTCCATGCCAGCCCTGCTGGAAGCACAGTGTGCAGGCTGTGCTCTGCCCCAGCACACGGGGTGCAGCTGTGTGATGCCACAGTTGGGTCCCAGCACCGAGCGGCCTTTGTAGGCCAGGGCCATCCTTCGTAGCGGATCAGAGTCCTGGCACTCCAGAGATTTCCTTTGACAAAAGCCTCAATCCCCCTCTGTCTTTCCATGCTTTAGATGTGCTCATTGACTTCTCTCAGTGTCTCTGGGCTGTGGCCCTGACTGCGTTTCCCACACGTTTCCTCGTGGGCAGCTCTCAGCCCGGCTTTGCAGCAGGCGGCGCAGCCCGGCCCGCTGTCGGCACGCAGAAGCTCCCCGTGATGTGGGGCGGCTGGGAGGGCAGGGCTGGCACGCTGCAGCCATCGCTCTCCTGTCTGTGCAGCGCTTCCGCACACGGGGCTCTCGTCCTGGGAGAGGCTCCAGCAGAACGCGCACTTCACATCTCACGTGAACATCACTGTTTGTTGTTTCTGATTTACTGCTGACGTGTAAGGGCTGGTCTTGGTGAGGAGCAGGGGCCAGCACGAGCAGCTGATGCACCACGAGTAACTGCTGCTGAAAATGAGCCTTTTGTGTAGTATGGAAAGATGTGACCCAAAATACCACACGGTTCCCCTGGGTGTCTGTAAGAGCCCAAGGGCTTGCTGCACTTCTGACGGTGCCTCATACTTGGCAGGTGAAGCAGTGCAGTGCAGCTTTGGCTGCCTTTAAGATGTGTTCAGGAGTTCAGTCTCTCTTTTCCACTAAATTTCTGTCAACATATAAACCTGAATCTTCAACCACCTTATGCTGTTTCTAAGGAAACTGTTTTCATTTTTGTTTAAAGATGATCTGATCCAGTGAGCAGGGGAGATAATGTAAAGGCCTTTCTTTAAACGATCGGTGTTTCCAGAGGTGTTTCTAAAGAAGTTTTTTGGTAACGTAATTCCTGGGCTGCCCCGCAGCAGGTGGATGCTGCTTTGTTTTTAAGTTAAGTTGAATGGATCTGTCCAGGTTCACATGTTTGTCTCAGTGGCTCTGCTGTTCCCTCCCGCTTCTCTGACAGTCTTGTTCTAGTAAAAAGATCAATGAGTAAATGAATAAGGTTCTGCATGCAGTTAGTCATTTCGGACTTGCTGTTGCCTTTGCCCTTTCTTTGTAACCCAGCAGCATGCAGACGATGCTTTCATTTTGTTGGCAGTGTGTTTTAAGAAAAACAGTGTCACCCAACCTGGCTTCTCTCTTCCTTCCTCCATCTGGTTTCTATGAGCTCTTACTACACTTCTGGCTGATACATTAGAGAGATGGTTACCTTTCTGGCAGCCCATCAGCTTACCAGTGACAAAACAGCTTGGAGAAGTGCCTTCCTGCAAGCAGACGAGCCCAGCTGCCATGGTGTGTACTGCCTGAACCAGAAGTAGAAATTCCTATGGGCAGAAAGCCCCACTGCCAGGGTTCTGTGGTGTGGTTATCGCTGTTTGCCATCATGACTGAACTGGCAGAGCCAGCCCCACAGCTGGCAGATCTCTGCTCAAATCTGTTTATAAAAGCTGGCTGCGTTATGAAAACCTCCCTGAGCTGCTCAGGTGCCTGCTTTGGGAGAACTGATCGTTTCTTTGAAAAGGCCCTGTGCTTTGTGTGCTTTTAACAGCCCATTTGGCAGCAAACCTTCTCTGATAGCTGATACAATCGGAAGGCTTTTTTCCCACTGAGGTGCTGGCTCAGAGGGAGGCTGGCAGGGCTGGCTCTGGGTGGGGGCTGCATTGGGTGCTGTGCTGGGTGCTGTGCTGGGTGCTGCCCTGCTGGGGGCACATCGCCCCTGAAGGGGCGAGGCAGAGCAAAATTACAGTTATCTTAGAAGAGGTAGTGAACCTGACTGCCAAAATAACACGCTGCTGTGTGACCCTCTTCAGAGGTCCCTTCCCAATCTTCGCTTCTGATGGGCAGCACAGTGGTTGGCTCTGCTTCTTGTGCCCCTGGTCAGTGGGTGCTGGGGCAGGGCCGTGTCACCTCTCTGGCCCGCTGGCTTTGCCCAGCCCGTGCTGTGTCAGACTACAGTGCCATAAATAAATTGGCCGTGTCCCTGTTCTCATGCGCTGTGAGCCTTGTTCTTGTGGCTGTCACCTACATTCCCAGGGCTTTTTTTGATCCAGACGACTTGCCACATAGTCTTAATACATGATGCTCCATTAAAATACTGACACTGATGTTACCATTTCTGTTATTTCCATGTTTAGATTCTGTTGTCATTAATTTTCCTCGTGCTTCATTTTCTTTAGAAACTAGATGCCAAATCCCTTATAAAGCTGAATTTTGCTAAGAACAGTGAAGGTAAGTACACTAACTTTCTGTTCCTGTTGGCTTGCTTCTTTCTTAATGAATGCTTTAATAAATCCCAGTTTGTCTCACTCATGATGAAGTGACATAGCTTGTGTTCTGTCCTGGCTTTAATGGTTGTTTTTAGTAGAATAACTGCTTGCTGTAATCAATGTGTTCACCTTTAAAGACCCATTTCTGTTTTTCTCTATTCTGGAGAACTGTGAATTATTCAGCAATTCCTTTGTAATACAGCTACCCCTGGAGTAAGGGAACATCCTTTACTTTAAGGAAATTTTCAGAAATGGCTCTTTCTGTATTTTCTCTTTTTCTTTTTCCTAACTTATATATGCTATTATTTGTTCTTGGTTTTGAGCAACTTTTTGTTTACAAAAGGAACTGGTTTTAAATGAACATGAGGGATTTTGTCACTAGAGGCACACGAGAAAGCAGCCTCCAGCTGTATTTCTGCAGGATTAAAGGTATAATATCTGCCATCAAAGGGAGGATTCTTGGAACAAGGCAGAAAAGTGGAGATGAATTTCTCTTTTGCAAGACAGATAATGACCTCTTCGAAATGAGACTGACAAAGATTAGGTGGGAATAAAACTCTGGAGTGTCTGTTCCCTTATAGTACGAGGGTCCATAGAATACAAGGTCTGTTCCCTGGCTGATGGATTTCCTCTGTTTTGTGTTCACTCTGTCCCGAGAACAGGGGGTTAAAAATGATCAGTAGTAACTGTAGCCAAGGTTCTTGAAAGACATTGTGAAACTGTGCTTTGCTTGAAGAAGTGCAATTCACAATACTGGGGTGGAATGACAGCAGCCATGCACTCGTAGAGTTCTTTTCCATACAAAGGTGAGTGCTGTATCATTAACAAATTGGGGGAAAAAGCAATGAAATAGGGAGACTAAAATGTTATGTTTTTGTCCCTCATCAAACCTTTATTTAAATCTTAACGTGTAGAATCCTTGCTATGTCTTCAGGTACAGCAGTCCCTTCCACTTTGTGATCCCTCCTTAGCGGAGTACCTTTTTTCAGCATCACCTCAGGCTCTGTGCTTTTGCTAGGATTGGCATCGTGGTGGTTTGTTCTTTTTGCACACAGCTAGAGCAAGGCCTCACACTTCCTTGGTGTGTTTGTGCACCCGTCAGCTGGGCCATACCTCGCTGCCTCTGCTAGAAAGTCCTTTTTAAACTTTCTCCTTAATACATCATTCATTTTCAACTTAGTGACATCAGCAGAAATAGTCCTCAGCTGCTGCTTGCTTCCCCACGTTGGAGATCAGTGCCTCCTCTGGCCAATCCATTCACCGGTGAATACTCTGCAGGTGCTTCCCTTCCTGTCCCTGCAGGTGCTGTGAGCAATCTCTGTTCCGGCCTCCCTGCTGGTTTTGATTTTCAGATGGTAATTAGGACAAAAAGAACCAAACAGACCCAACCTATTTCAGAATCTCACCCAAACACTCAGGTCTAGCAAAATAATCAAGTATTAACAACCTCCTCTAATTGCTTCTGTGAAGCTCATCCCAGCGTTTTTCTTTTCCCTCACACGCTGGCTTCCATCAGTGTGCTTGTTATTGACGTGCTTAATATTTATGCTGACCCTCCGGGAAATTCACAGCTTGGTGAGAGCAGAAGCTGCGTTCCTTATCGAATAACGTGCTCAGATTTAATGGCATTCTGCTTGCCACATTTGAATGCAAAACACTCTCCTCTCTGAAAAGTGCAGCAGTCGCTATGAGCTTTCACTGGGTGTGAGCTAAACTTTATTTCTGGGAACGAAACCAAAAGTAGAGTTCTGGGTGTGTTAAGGTAGAGGGCCATGCCCTCAGCAGAGCTTTAATTGCAACAATAACAGTTATCATGTGATACTTCATTGATACCACGCATGTTGGACGAAGTTGTGCTGGGAGACTAAGGGCAGCAGATTCCAAAACTGCACTTATATTGCTTGGTTTATAATTCTCTGAGGTGTCACTTTTCACTTTTTTTTTCCTCTTTGGTGTTGAAGAATCAAAGCACAGTTAAAACACCATTATGTGTGCTCTGAATTTACAATTATTAGAAAGAAATGTGAATATCCTTCACGAAGTAGCAGAAGTTAGCTATTTCAAATTAGCTGAAAGGGCTCCATGCTAAATCCACGCTCTTTTCCTCTGCCTCAGGTAAATACCACTGTCCGGTGCTGTTCACTGTATTCACCAATAACTCCCATATTGTGGCCATCAAGACAACGGGAAATGTGTTTGCCTACGAGGTATGTTGTCTGCTCATTTTGTTGTTCTACACTTTACAAAGGTAGGTAGGCATTGTTGTGTTTTACAGCCAAGGAAATGAAGATTAAGGGGATGGACTGGCTTCACAAACTGCTGTCTGACCTGTGCTCGCAGCGGGTAGTCAGCTCTGTGTAAAGCTGCCTGTCTTCTACCATCTGTAAAATACTTCTAAATTCAGAGATTTTGATTTTTGTGGTACTTCTGTGATGAATTTGGTTAAAATTATTATTATTTTCAAAAACGCAAGAAAAACCTGATCACTTTTGTAGGGATTAAATGGCTTTTCATCTTCAAGCATACAATGAAAACATTGCAGCTGCCAGTTGAGAGTGAAGTGCAAAATTATTTTATCACCTGCACTTTTTGAATGTTATCATGTATTTACTTGTAATGTTTACACATTAGAATTCGTTTTTTAACGCCTGTATCACCTGGCTGTTAGGCAGTTGAGCAGCTGAACATAAAACCAAAGTGCTACAAGGATCTCTTGACAGATGAGCCCTTCACCCGGCAAGACATCGTGACACTGCAGGTAAGCTTATGTCTTATAATACAGGTGGTGGTGCTCTTTTTTTCTCAGAAAGTGAAACATTATTTATGTCCTGTATTTGTGCTGTATCACTCAATGAATAGATAAGTTTTATTCTGTATTTGTGTCTTGGAGAGAGGGGCAGAATGGGAACTGCTCTGTTGTCTTTGTTATCCCGATGAGCCACAAAGATACCATATCACATGAAGGCTGATGCACCTCTACAGTGTTTTAACTGTGCCTTGTAGATAAGTAGAATGCTGAACTTTATAAATAGAAAAAAAAAAAAGGATGGTGCACAAAAAATGTCAAGGATGCAGTGATGAAATGTAAAAATGTGAATATTGACAATGCGTTTGCAGTTGCTTGCTGTTACACTGAGTACAAGATGTGTGTAATCATAAGTTTTAATTATACACCTACACGTAAGTTTCTTGTTTTGTTTTTCTCTCAGTGTTACCTGAAAGAGTGCTGTGATAATACTGATTAATTGGGAGATATGTCCAGAATCATCTCCAGCTATTAGAGAGCCAACACCATGTTGGGAAGTTGTTGTGTGTAAGACTTTAAGGTTGCAGTTGGTTGTCCTTATTCTTCTGGAGGTACCTAAGACAGTCAGAGGTTTGGAAGAGCACTTCTTACAGACTGTTTCCTAAATATACAGTGGATTAAGCAGCAAACCATAAGGTTTTTACGTGCTTCCTTTGGAATGCTTGGTTTTTTTGAGTGGATTCCTATGTTTTTCTTCTACTACTTTTTAACAAAATTAAAACCTTGTGAAATCAGCATTGTAAACGGAAAAACGTACAGAAGTGTTTCAGATTTTAGAAATACTTATTTACAAGTGGAAATATAATATAAGAACATCTAAAGCTTGTTTAAAAGCAGCTGTTTTAACCTTGCAAGATTTCAAGATAAGGCAAAAAATTTCAAGGCTTTCCTATGGGAGTGAGTCAGCCATTAACAAAGAGTAAGCATTCTAATTCCAATAGAAAAATGTGTTTCATTTATATAGAAATGTAAATGAAATGTATCCCTTCTTCCCTACTCCCCAGAGTTGAGTACCATGTTTATAAATATTTTTCTCTCTGTTCCTTTGGGACTAATCTCAGGCTAATGCAACAAAGTAAAATGTTTTTAACCCAAGGAATGCAGAAAACAGTTGTTTTGGTATTGAGAGCTCCCAGCAGCGGGTTGGATGTAACTTGAATGTAACTGCCTGGTTGCTAATGGATTGGAAACAGTGAAAAATGACAACATGAGTGAATAAAAAATATTTCTTTGCATCAGGATAGAAAACTGAATGACTTTGAGCGAATAATTGAAATATGCAGTCATCTAAAAATACTTTGATACATTTTGTAGGTTCAGAATCGAATATATACATAGTGTGTGCATATAAGTGTAGAGAAATAAAGAGTCCTATGACATAGCTTTGATTTTTCATGAAAACCACGTATCCTGTAGGCTCCTAAATCTCAAAATGCAATAATTGGCAAAAAAATCTATGTTGTCTGTGTGTATTTTTAATTAATGTTTTTCATCTCCATTCTGTTCTTAACACGTTGGATTTCTTTCTTGCTTGGAGTAACGTGTCCATGAGCAGCTTCCAGCTTCGGGAAGATCACTGCCATGCGTTCCTGTGTTTCTCCCACATTCACTTAGGGCGATGTTCTTAGTGCATGAGTAGATGGATTCATCTTGAGTAAGCTGTTCATTACAGTTTGCTGTTAACTACGCTTCTGTGGTGTACAATCTTGCAGCATACGCTTCTCAAAGAAGACTGGAAAAAGCAAATCTGTGCTCATTTTTGAGAAGCGGCTGGGAGAGATTTTGACCATTTTCCATTGAACATACTGCATGACACCTGCTGCCAGCTTGCAGCCTAGATTTTTCTAAAATGCCACCCAAAGCCAACTTGATTAGTTGGGGGCAGAGCACAGCCTGAAATGGGATGGCACCTGGGTGTTCAAAGTGTTGCTGTGTTTGGTGTAAGATCCCGCTGTGATTTTCTTCATGTGAATTGTTAAAAGACAAGCCAGTGTCTCCTCCCTAAATTCTCTTGCTGTCAGCACTGTGTGCAGTTTGTTGGCTTTGCCCTGCCAAGCTCTGCCACCTGTGGCTTTGGTTCTTGGCCAGAGTTCGTGACTGCAATCTGTTGTGTTTTAGCTCCAGAGCTCTGTCCCAAATCCTGCTTCTCTTAAAAAAAAAAAAAAAAAAAAAAAACACCTTTAAATTCCTTGAAATGTATTGTGGTTTTTTTCCCATTGCCTCCTGTTAGTTGAGTGCTGTGGTGTCTGAGGGTACTGGGATTGGAGTGAGTGGGTAGCACTGACCCAACTGTTTGTCCAAAAGGTAAATATAAAGAAAGTTGCTATAAAAGCATCCTTTGCTTTGCAAACAACAGCTGAATGGGGCTGTCTGTAATAGCTCTGTTTATCAATAGAAAATGATGTTTCCAGAGTCTGACTCTGATTGTCCCAGGAAGCAGGTGAGGTACCTGTGCGAGGGGGTGCAATAGATAGATGATGGGTGAAAAATTCGAGTAATGTACCATCACAGATTGTGCCATCACATTTTTCCTTATTGATACAGAAAGGGCAAAGCTACAGCTGCTAGGGATGTTCTGCTGGCAGAACAGCATGCGACCTCTGAGTTGACCTCTGTCTCCTAATGTATGTAATTAAAAAAAAAAAAAAATTGCTCTTTTCAGGAGAAAGATAATTGCATAAAATTCTTTTTGTTCCATTCTCAGTGTTAACCACTGTTCAAACAGCAGTCACAGCCCTTCCCTGCTGCCTTTTTTGGTGAGCACCACCTCGGCTGGGCTCTCACTTTTAGTGACAGTTATTTGTGTCCTTTTGCTTTTTAGTGTACTTTTTTAAAATGACATTTTATTTTGGGTCTGGAACTAAAAAAAACCAAAGCAACAGCAGCACTTCTGTAATGGTTAATAACACTGTCCTATGTCTGTGTCACGCTTCTCACTGTGAGCAAGTCTGCGGTGCTCCCTGCACTGACGTGGGCAGAACTTGCCTTGCTCCCTGCTGAAATGCAGAGGTCCTGGGGCATCGCACGGCAGCTTTTCATCAACCTGTGCAATGTTTTCCAGCCACTCAGGGCAGGATGTAAAGTATGATACCATGTCCTGGTGTGCGAGATAATTGCCAAACATGGCATTGACATAAACTTTGATGTGGTTATTCAGGGAAAAGATGGCACCTGTTCTGGTTTTGTATCTTGCTGACAATGTCAGAAGAACATGTGATGCTTGAACCCCTTCCTGTACTCTGTCAGTCATAGCATTACTGCTTATTTTAGACTGCAGCTCTTTACCTCCAAGCTGTATTTGCCTTTTCTTAGTGGTGTGATCTTGCCACAAACTGCACTCAAACTTTCCATTTTTCTACAGTGCAGGTGTTATTTTTTCCTCAAGTTCTCTCTTTAGTATCAGTGTTTCTGATATTTTTTTTCTCTCAACTGTTCAGGTCTGTATCTCTTTCATGTGGGGTATTGCTATTTTTTGTGTCAGTTGTACAGTTTCTGTACAACCTAAGCAGCCGTGGTCGAGATGTAGTTCTTGACAAGCTGTTAAACACCATTGGCATTTGTGGCAGCCAACCAACTTGGAGGCAGCTGAGCTGCACACTGTTCATTGATACCTCATCTCCCTCTCATTTGCTCTTTGTGTAGCTGAAGGGCAGAGAGGCCTTTTCTCTCAGTTATGGCTGCAGGCTCTCTGAGGGCAGGTCCTGCATGAATGCACTAGCAGAGTGACTGGGAGGATTGTGGCACAGCAGACTGTCCTGTGCAAACTCCGTGTTCTCAGCTTAGCAGATAGGAGGGCGAGTATGGCCCCATCTGGGGAGGAAAGCTAGTGCTGTCATTCTGCCATCATTCTCCAGTCCACACACAGCCCTCGAGGAGACCCATCCTCCCATCCGAGGCTTCTTGTGGCCATTGAGAGGCTGCCAGCGTGGGGTGAATGCCCTTATCCATAAATACAATTTTCAGAGCTTAAATGTTTCCTGGGAATTGTTTGGAAAGCATTCGTGCCATTTCATTAAAACATGTTGAAAGCTCCCATGAAGCGTAACGTGCTTGGAATCGTGCTTTGTCAAGGAAGGTAATGTGGGTTCTGGGCTTCTAAATTTTGTCATTTGAAGGTAATGTTCCTGGAGATAACCGGGTAAATGTTGTGTACAGCTGAACTGTCAGAGGGGAACTGGGCGTCTGAGCGGTCAGCATCCTGAGGCAGTGCAGCTTCAACCAGTGCTTCGGGAGGCTGTGCGGATGCTGCTTCACACTGATGGGCTTTAAGCTGTTTCCCTAAACAGGTGAAGCAGAAAAAGGGTCAGATTTAAAAGAAAGAGATTTGTTGTTTTCAGAGCTCAGCTTTCAGGAAAACATCAAATGGGCGTTACAGTTGGCAACCCTTTGAAGCCTGTGTCTGTGTTAGTAAAGTGCTGAACTTCAGTTCACAACTCATAGCCTCAGTAAGAGACCCCGAGGCTGCTACCATGGCAGTTGGAGTACATACTTCTAAACACACTGGGATGTAAGTAGGCCGATCTCCTTGCCTTGGTTCAGCTCAGCTCTGGTCTCCGTGCAGCACTCAGTTCCTGGTTTTGGAGTAGACGTGGATTTTCTGCCTCACAGCGTATGGTGAGAATCCTGATGAGCGGAGTCAGGGGCACAAAAGGAAACACTACACATCAAACCTTTCATCGGGGCAGCGCAGCTGAACGTAGTGCAGAACGCAGCGTGTGGCCTCGTTCCGTGCTGGTGGTGTGGGGCTGAGCTGGCTGTCACAGCTGTGGGTGCACTCCAGCTCCCCTGGTACTGCAGTGGGTGAGCAGTGTGTGGGTTAATGCCCCAGCCGGTGCTGTGCATGGAGGCAGAGCACAAACAGTTTTGTGGAGTTGCTCAATGCCAGCAATTAGGCTAGTTGAGCTGGTGAACATCTGAATGAATTGTGGCTGCAGAACAGTTTGAGCTAATCTGAGTCATGCTACCCTGAGCACAATGCACTGGGTTTCTTAAGGCAGCGATAATTACAATATGCTGCTGCTTACTTTTGAACAACGTACAAATCAGTAAATCTAGAAGCTTTATTTAGAAGAACACAGTGAAGCTATCTGCTTCATCTTCCCTGCTGTCTCCTGACCTCTCCCCCCTCCCGTCTGTACCTCATGAGAAGGCTGTCTGGGTTCAGTCTCGCCCTTCAGCTTTGCCACCAATGGCAGAAATGTGGATTGCTATAAATCCATTTGTCTGCATTAATATTAATATGCAGATTATTTTCCTCCTTTCCTGGAAAGGGTAAGCTGTGTTCCTTACCTCATCCCTCGTGGTGGCACATTGATATGCAAGGCAGCGATTCCTGTCAGGAAAAGCTGCAGCTTGTGATAAGTGAAGAATGTCTGGGAGGGAGCAGGCAAGCTGTGTCTTCTGGAAGCATGCTGAGCCCTTTGTCTGAGTTTTCTCCATGTATCTCACTGACTGTTGGAGTGCAAGGCTGGAATTATCTCTGTATACGCATGGAAATGTATGTGAGGGTGATCATATTTTTACTCACAAAATAAAAAATATATGTGAGTGTGGGAGGCAGAGGATACAAAAATGGATAAAGAACCACAGAATCATAGGATCATTTGAGCTGGAAAGGGAGCTGGAAAGGCTGCCTGGCCCAAATCCCCTGCAGCACTGGGACACCCGCAGCAAATCGGGCGCCCGCAGCCCCAACGCTGAGCTCAGCTGTGCTGCGATGGGCACCGAGGGGCAGCCCTGACTTCCTGTTCCTCACGAGGTTCATTTAAGGATGATCAGCTTCTAATGCAATATCTTAAAGATAAAGTATGTGTTTTTTTGCCTGTCCATTTCAGATGAAAATCTGTCAGAGTTGGTATAGCAGGGCGGGCAGCAGGCAATAGAAAATGACTGTGTGGTTGCTGAAGGGAACACAAGAAAGCCAGGAGGGCATCGTTAGGGTGCAGACTGGCATAGCTTGATTTTATAAATGAGAGGCATAATTGGGTTATTTAGCAAGGGATGGAGCTACCAACTCTGTTTGTGTTAATCATTACATTTAGCAAAAATGGAATTGTCAGAATTTCTTAACAACAGAGCCGGATTGAGAGGTTCTGCTAAATTTATTTGGGGTAATGCTGGTTGTGTCAGTGCTATGGTCCTGTGCTTAGCAAGTTGTAGTATTGTCATTCTGAACGTACAACTGCAGTATATTAAGGTATTATGGATTTTAAATTATCTTCTGAAAGTTGGAATTTCCAGAAATTCCTGGACTGTCCTGGGCTGATGCTTCGACCTTTCTTTGTTGTAGAGGAGCTTGAGGAGAAAACCCTAAGACGGCTGTAAGAGGAAGGTTAAGGACTGTTTAGTAACTGTATAAGGTACCCCAGATCACCAGTGGACATTCCTTGTCCTTCTCTCTAAGAGAAGGTCACAGTCATGCTGCAACTTGCCTAGGGATGGTATGAAGACTTACAGTTATGGACTGTGTATTTTTGCTTTTTTTCTTGAATGGTCTTTGAACGGTTTTCATAAGGCTGCTCCACGTTGCCCTTTTTAGTATTTTATATATATGTTTGAAGTCATTCTGTAACACAGATTTCACTATGAAAACCAGCACAGTTCTGACTGCAAAAACTTGCTCTGAAGTTTATTTGTGTTTCTGAAACACATTACAAAGGTTCACAGAACACATGGAAATCAAGCACGGTGTTACAAATGGGGGAGAGAGCTGATGAGATTGGCTTAGGTGTTATACAAAACCATGGGATAAGGGAAAGGATCATGGGGCTGCAGCTGCTCAACCCTTCTCCCTTCTGTAAGATAGGCTCTGCTTAGGTCTGTTAGCAACTTCTGTAGGTAAAATGTGTGTGCTACTATGTTTGGGACTGAATTCCAGGCTCCTCAAGGAGCCTACTAAGCAGGCTGATTGTTACCTATTGGGTTGGATTAATTTAAGAAATTGTGTATTTTTTTTTCAATCAATCTGATCTGGAGAGTATGATATTTATTGTCTTTTCACGTTAGTTTGTTGCAGGGTGTCTGCCCTTCCAACTGATCTGTTGCATGATCTGTGGAGCTCTCTGATGTTTTTCTTAATCATTATTTTCAGGATCCAACAAACCTGGATAAATTCAATGTCTCTAACTTCTTTCATGTTAAGAACAACATAAAAGTGGTTGATCCAGGTAAGGCTGAATTGAAGGTAGGCTAAGAAATGTAAAAATACCTTTTTTTTATTTATTTGTGATTCTTTGATAGGTAAATGCTTACTGATACATCTGCTAATATTACATAACTGGAGGAAAAAGTCTCTCCTGTGTCCTTGGGGTTTCCACTAGAACTGTTTCTAATGAGGTCTGTTTGCTGACTCTGAGCATGGTGTGTTTTTCTGAGTCTTAACTGTGCTCAATCCTTAAGGCTAACTCTTCAAGCAAGCATCTTTCTCTATTACCCACTTACTTTTACAGGGTAATGTCTGAAGGATGGAATATTTAATTTTCAGCGAATAGAAGGCGTGCCAAGATAAATAAAACTTGCTTTAAAAAAAGAAATTCTCCAGTCTGCCCCACCAGCTTCCTCCTCCTGGTGTCACAGTAAAGATCTGATCTTGGGAGTTTTGCACTGCAGACCTGGTCGCTCAGTGGACAAGGGACAGAATTTGATGTTGTACCAACAGGCCGTTGTCTTTATTGTCCTATAGAAGTAACTTGATTAGACTTGCATGAACTTGGATCACTCCTAGTGCTTTCAAAGAGATTTCTGCAGCAATTGATTTGGTTTTTCTTATACAGTCACATCAGCATTAATTGTGTCATATTTCAGGTTACCTTGTCTTTAGTGTTACACATTGCTACTTGTTATTGCTCCTGCAGGAATAGATACAGTTACTAGACTTTTTTTAAAAAGTAGAAATATCTGGAAGATATTCATGTAACAAGGAATGTGGTAAGCTGAATGAGAACAACACAGAGGTTTTCTTTTAATTTGGAATGATTTAACTTTGTCTTATCTAGATGAAGAAAAAGCAAAGTTGGATCCATCTTACTACTTGAAAAATACAAATACAGAGACCCGAGAGACTTTACTGGAGCTTTATAAGGAATTCAAAGGTGATGAGATTCTAGCAGCCACTATGAAGGCTCCTGAAAAGAAGAAAGTGGATAAGCTGAATGCAGTAAGTTGATGCAATTTGTACTTTGGCACCAATATACTTCTTGAAGAAAGAATATTGCAGGATAAACAGATACCATCCCTTGTGTTTTCAGTTACATGGAAGTTTATCATAGTTGAGAATATGAAAATCACCCTGAGAGCCCATAGGAATACATTGTGTGTGTCAGTGAATTTCTTTGTTGAATCATTATGAATGAACCTAAACGCTTTAGAAATAGAGCAAGGAGGAGGAATCTTTCTTATGTGGTCATGATGTGTGTGCTGGGAGAATCTTTTATTCCCAGTTTGCAATCTCCTGCTTTGAATTTGTTTATCATTGCTTCCTGCAGTTACTGGCAGAGGGAACACACCTTAAGGGCAGTACAAGTGAGTCATTTCTGGTGTGGGCAAATACATAAATCAATTTTAGTTGCTTCCCCGTTTTTTCCACTGTAACGCAGGATTTTCTGTGGAATATTTTAAAGGATGTTCTTCCAGGTGCATGTTACTGAGTGTTCATGGTTATCCAAAGAAACATTCGTCTGCATGTGGATTTCCTCCAGCCAGGAAGAGTTTTTTGCTTTCCCTTTATAGTTCTGGGATGTCTGTGTCTTCATGCTTTGACTATACTTAGACAAAAAAGAGTAGTAATGCAGCATATGGCCTTTTATGAGGAGGCTTGGAGGTAGCTTCTTAATGAGTATATATGATGTATCATATGTCCCATTTTTAGAGTGTCATAGCATTATAGGAAAATTAAAGATTTAGAGAAGAAAAAAGAGGTAAGAGATAATGATGAACTCTATGTTTGGAGAGTCAGATTATCATGTAAATGAGCTAATTATTAACTTGCATAGTAGGCAGCATAACCTGATGGGCAGAGCATTGGCCTATATTCTCTGAGCGTTGCCCCAGCATCGCTGAAAGTAACTCTTTGTTTCTTAGTCTTTCTAATTTACTGTAACATCCATGTGTGATGTTCACATTTCTTTTCTGCAAAAGAATTATGAAGCTTAAATCAGAGCCATGGGACAAGAAGGGCTTATGCATGTGAGGGGTTGGTTTGTCTCTGTGGTTCACTGGATTTTCCTTCCACTTACTCAGCAGTGTTGCAGAATTTTGCAGATGTCTTGCCAGCAGTACTCCTTTCATACCTCCACCTGTGGGCATACAAGTAAATTCTGACAATAAAATCTTTGCGTAATAATGTATTAAATTATTGTGGAAGGAATGAACCCCTTCAGCTCAGTGCCTGGGCAGCCTTAACTGGAGGAGAAGTGTTACAGGGAACAGATGGAGAAATACCACTGCATCACATATCTGTCCCTTTCTATAGAGCAGGAAGTCTGTCTTCAGAAGTATGATATAAATGCTACTTGTGTGTTTATACTGCTTGTACAGTATCTAGTACTTATATGGTGTTTCAAATAGATAAACTCTAAGATCTAATGTCTTTTCCTCTTGCTTTTTCTTCTGCAAACAGGCTCATTATTCTACTGGAGCAGTAAGTGCTTCCTTCACGTCCACTGCAATGGTACCTGAAACTACCCATGAAGCAGGTACCAGAACTATGTACTTACAAGCTGTTTGCTTACCTTGCAGCATTAAGGCGTGCTCCCTTGGACACACACTTGTACAGGGATAAGGAATGCGTTGCTGAATGTTCAGTGATGATGCCTTGCAAATGTATCCCTCAAGCAGATATATATGTACTTTCCAGTGATCTCATTTTGGAAATAATGGAGCAATTATGAATTAGCTTACTCTCTGAATGGCAGTTACTTACATCATTAATTTCAGTTTGATGTATTTTTGTGCCTGGGACCCACAAAATGGGGTCTCTGCTTACATAAGTTAGCTGTGAAGTGTAGTCTGTCCTTGTATTGCATACGAAATCTTTACCACCCTTTTGGTCTAACCTAGTTTGATTGAACACAGTACTGAAATGACTTGGTTAGTAGGTTCTGTTCCTGAATTACAGTGATTTACACGTGAATCTTGGAGCACTGGAAGTGTTTGACTAATTGGATGTTTTGACACAACAGAAGTGGAAATATTCTAGATTGATCCCTTGGTTTGACTTTCCAGTAATGTTTCCAGCAGTTTGGTTTCATTTGTTTTCAGAACCGGATAGATCCTCATATGTCAGCAGTTTGTGGTTGGCTGATGACAACCTGTTTAACTTCCAAACTTAACAAGAAATAATTTGATCTCAGAGTAATGTTTGTGATTGGTAGACATTACTTGAAAATTATAGTATATAACATTGAATGTTTCTGTGATTTAAAGATGTAGATATATAATATCTATATTATATTGTTGGCTCTCAAGGAGTTGGCTTTCTGTAGTTCAAAGTGTTTTGCACAAAGAGATTAGAGGAACAGGCCAGACAGCAGAATCTAGTAATTTGTTTGCTGATCAATGAACAAAATTCTAGAGATCTATTTACTGCTTTCTGCTTTGTTACAGCTGCTATTGAAGATGATGTTGTAAGATACCAGTATGTGAAGAAGAAGGGCTATGTACGACTTCACACTAACAAAGGAGACTTAAATTTGGAGCTGCACTGTGACATGGTACTGTATGCCCTGTGGGCTGCAACTTTTATCTCTAGATAACAAATACTTTAGGAGCTGGCAATGGAAGTGTCCAGAGATGAAGAGTAGTGTATAGTTGTAATAGAAGCGGGTAACTAATTAGCTCTTGGTGATTTTGTTGTGTCTCCTGCATGGAGTTTCATCTTTCAAGCAAAATATTAAAGAAGATTCACGGAGGTTTTTCTCAGTGTCTTATCTTAGACAAATGAACGATAGCAACACTGACGTCTCAGATGACACTGTGTGCCAGCGTGCTTGTTTTTTCATGTGTACAGGCATATCTGTATAAGGAAAATATTTTTAGTACAGAAAGCCCAAACCATCCATTGCGTGCTGAGATTTTCAGCTTGGGAAATTAGAGGTCTGAAAGTAAATCTTTTGGGGTCTAAATGGTAAAACAAGTATGTTGTCAGGATGCTCAGAGAGCTAAAGACAGTGATGCTGGCTGTGATTTGGGTGCCTGGTATGGAGTCCAGAGATGCACTGGGAGAATGCATGCTTTTTTGCTTAACTTTGTGAACAGCTGGGAGGTAGGGAAATGAATGAGAAAAACAGTCCTGCCAGCTTTCCCTTCTCTTCCGTTCTCACAAGCAAGGAGCAAGATATGTGCAAACTTTTCAAGCTGATCTATACAAAGAGTATGAGAATCTCCCCAACAGCTTATGGTGCTAGTAATTCTGTAGGTCTCTGTCATCCATGCAGGTGTTTTCCATGCTCTGAAATAGTAACATTATGTAGTAAGGCAAAAAGCAGAGGATGTTACTACAGCAATATTTGGGGGAAGCAGCAGAATGAGCAGATTGCATTGAATCATTTGTTTTGCCGTATGTTCTGAAACTGGCTCCTGGCTAATGCAGGCTGACTGCAGCTATTCTTGTCAGCATGGTTTCTTTGGCCACACGTGTGACCAGTATCACTCAGTCCTGAGGACTCAGGCTCAATCACCCATTATAAACTTCCTGTATGATATCCATTGTGTTTCCTTTTTTTCTGGATGAATCCCTATTCATCTCCCTTTCACACACTGCTTTATTATGCACACACTGTGTACCGTTTTGCACAACCAGACCTGCATGAACACTGACCATCTGTTTCTTTCATTTCTCAGTGTCAAACGTATCTGTATGAATTAAGCAGACCTTTGGCTTAATTGAGGAAGAAAATACATGTATTTAGAATAGTTAGAAGAACTGACTGCTTAGGGAGGTTTTCACAACGTTCGCTTTAGGTCGTTGTCCAAAGTCTATTAAATCAGTTCCTCCTGGAGATGCTTATTTTTCTCCCTTTACTGTATAAGGAGCTTTTGCCTTTAACTTCTATTTTCCTGAAGCACACTGAGCTTAGGGACATAAGGTAGCTCAAGGCAGGGTAGAGCAAATATCTTACAGACACATAATACATAAATAGGTTGCACACATGTATGTGGATCAGCTACAGTGGATCTATTGAGATTGCAAAGGCAGATACAGAAAATGGGGAAATGCCAAAATTAAGGCCTTCAGACACTCCGTTCACTCTGCTGGTGAATATGCACAGTAATAGTATTTCATCACGTGATGTTTTTGTTAATCCTCTCTTCTGGATCGTTCAGTACATGAGCTGAATCAGTTCTGGGATGTATTTAGAACTGTATAGTGAATCAGTTTGATGCAGGGTTTTGTTTCTCTGCAGACATGTAGAATGTGGGTAAGGCACTCTGTGACCCGGTGGCTGATTCCCTTGAATGCAGTCTGAGGGAGTTGGAGTGTATCATAATGCCTGCCCAAATTAATGTTGCATGGGCTTTTTGGTGGTTGACTTCTCAGCCTTCATGATCTCTCAGTGTAGCTGGTGCTGGTAGCAACAGCTTTTCAGAAAGAAATGGAGTGAGAAACAATTTTCAACTCAAAACACTGCATTGATACCCGCTGATAACGCCAGCAGATTTGGGGCTCTGGGTTCAGCACACAGTTCTGTGCTGCCTGAGTGAATGGGAGACTTGATAACAGTATTAGGCTGTCAGTGCTGTTTGAATTCAGCCAAAATGTGCATAATTTGGGGAATTCATTTATCTGCTCTCTCTCTCAAGCGGTGCAGCTGCGGGAACAAACATATGATTTATGAGCTATATTACAGTGCTACTTAGCTTCTTTTTTAAAAAACTGGGCATTATCTGACTGGTGGTTCCCTTGACCTGACCACAGGTTCTTTTTTGTAACTGCTGAGTGATATCCTGTGCTTGGATTATTACGGAAGACGTGCTAGCAGTGCTTGAAATTGTAGGGTAGTGCAAGCATGTGATTGTGAAATGCTTTAGGAAGCTTGAGTCTTAAGTTGCTATATAAGTATGATGAATGAGTACCTGTGTCTAGAGGTAGAACTTAGAACATTCAAATTACTTTTTGAAATAGTCCTATGGGCAAGACTTAAATATACATTTTGAGGTGAAATCTTTTTGCCAAAATAGAGAACCACAAATGACATACTTGCTGTCATAGAGTGTCTCTCTACTTTGGAGTCTTTGGTTGCATTTTCGTGGCTATGGGCTCTCTATTTAAAAAAAATGTATTCTTGCATCTCTAATCAGAGCAGTCTGCACTGCTGCTCAAGTCCACTGGGTATCATTTTTGTTTTTAACATTCTAATGCTCTCCCTCCAACCTTGGATTCTTTCTCTCTGCCCTCAGTTCTTGTGATTCCAGTTCTTCTTGGATGAAAAATAGTTTTCCCTGGTCTTGTGAGTCAACTGGCAGTGTGGATTGTTTGGAGTTCAGTTCACACGTGTGTAGAAACTTTTGCTTTAAAATAAATTGAGGCATCTTCATACAGTAGCACTTAAAGATGCCAGTCAGTAAAGTTGGTAGTGATGAGAATCATCCAAGCTCCAAAAGCCTTATCATGAAATGTTTTGTATTGATCCAAGGTAGGAAGTCAGTTCTGCAGTATGATTTAAGTCATCTTCAGCTACTTAGTGACAGGATACAGAAAGAGAGCATGAAATAGGGCTGGAATCCAGGTACTTTCTGTGTCTGTTCAAAGCACCAGAAACCTTCACTTATGTTCTGGAACAGTGATGTGTGATGTAAGTCAGTGACCTGAGAAAAGGCAGTCGAGATTTTGGAAGATAAATTGGACCTTTTTTCACCCATTTGAGTTTGTGCCTCAAATGAGTACAGGTACTCTACTGTTCTGCCTTCTCTTTGCATTGTGGTGTTGTGTCCGTTGCTCCTTGTTGCTGTTTGCTTTTTCCCTGTCTTCTTATTCAGAATTCCCAGACAATAAACAATCATAGATGCCTGATTGCACTAGTGCAGCAGCATGGACAGTCTGCCAGTTCAGACCAGTAGTCTGTCATGAGAACAGATCATATTGGACTCCTAGTCTCCGCACCTGTGAAAGGGAATACAGATACCTGTCCTTGCCTATGGGTTGCTTTGAGGCTTGTACTTTTTTTAATTTTCGTTGTACCATGGAAATATATGTAGATTTTTTTAAAAAGCACTCCAGAAGGTCCTGTCAAAATGATGAGCAGGTGGTTTGGTGTGCCGTCTCCCTTTTCTCTTATATGCAAGTTGTCACTAGAGAGCTGGTGGCTAAACACATGCTCACTGTAGTAATGGAATAGTAATCTGTAACTGCCATGTCAGGTTTTGTTAATTCCCTTGAGTCTCTTTGATGTAATACGGTAAGGTTTAAGGGCAAGTTGGCGTAACAAAGAAGAATGTGAGATGGATTTCAAAGCCCCATCCAGCACTCCACAAATGCTTTTTGAGGTTTTAGGACTTGACAAACTCTACTTAATGATGATGTCTTGGCATAACTATATGAGGAAGCCATTATTCTACAGACAGTGATGTTTTAATCTTTCAAGGCCCTCTGACCTGTTAAATATGCCTGTGATCTATAACTGTGTAATCTAGCCCCCATTCTTTGAAATCATCTTTCCTTTTGTGTGAGGGACTGTTCCAAAGATCAGAAGCTTATGAACTTCTTATCCATTACCAATGGGAAAGAAGTGAGTTGCTTAAAAAATCCTTTGACCTCCTTGCATGACGAGGTCCTCCAGGCTTCCTGAATGTCTCATTTTCTTTCCAAATTAAGCATCTGTTCTACTCACTTTCTGCCAACTGAACGGCAAATGCATGGCTGATGTTTTACCAGTTTACTTGTTCTCTCAGTAACGTTGTTGGGGTGAAGTATAGTGGTTGTAAATAGCGCGGCATATTTTCATCAAAATACGTAATTGTAGAAAGAGCTGCAAGTTTTAGGTTTGAAAGTTCTGGTTAACAGAAGCTAAAAACAAATCATTCAAACCATTCTTCTCCAGTAGCAGAACTGGGGGTGAGGAGGTGCTCAGCCAGCTTCCTACATGCCTATCCCTGCACCTTGCTGCCCTTGGCTTTTTATGCCCATTTTCCTGATATCCTCTGGCCTTAGATACCTGGAAATACTTTTTTCACATTTGGACCTTTCTATCCCTCTAGCACCCTTGGCAGGTTGGATCTGGCAGAGGGAATTGATCACTGTGGGATTCTCTTCTGCTTTTGGACATTTGACGGTGCAGGAATCCCATACCAGCTGTGTCTGCCACTTGGTGATCCCAAACCTGAGGATGAGGCAGGCAGTTTGGAGTTACACAGCTGCTGCTCTTCATCTCTTTCTGACACGTTTCTTGTTTGTACCTTGGCACTGGTGAGAGAAGGGTGAGCTTGAGAGGCTGACAGCTACCAGAGCTTTACTGTGTAGCATGGGAGTGATTACAGGTAGACTTTTTGTGTTATTTGCAGACTGAAGAAATGCCAGGGAGCTGCTGTGGGACCTGTGATGCTCCAAACTTTACAGCTGCTGGAGGTTACTTAAGCAATTTAAATTGGATCTGTATTGAAACTGTACCTAGTGATTCTGTGTCTTATTTGCTGGCACCCAGCCTGCTTCTGCTTTGTCTGGCAGGCTCCTCCACTCTTGTGGCTTATGGATTGGAAGGGGGAAGGGTTGTTTTCTTCTACAATAAATTAAAGTTAGAGGAAAAGTAATTACTGCAGCTAGGAATGACGACTCTGCCTCTGGAGAGCTAGCAGTTAACATTGACAAATTAGACGAGTGAATTAGGTACCTTGTTTAGCTTGAATTGTTCTCATCTAAACTGATTGATTGTCCCTGTACTTGCAAAAATGTGAAAACTGAAACTAGAGTATGTCATTTCTTATTGGCAACTTGTCTAAGCTAAGCATATCAGATTTTGAAAAAATTTTCAGTAGCATTGTTAATGTCAGAACTGAAAAGTGCCTCTTAAAAGTGAAATTTAGCAATCTGCTATAACCTTCGCTTAATAGCTCATTAAATTGCAGTAGGTTTCAATGTAATGAGAATGCTATCATTCTACTGTTTGTTCTAAGAAAACTTTGATGCTTTGAGGTAGCAAAATAGATAAATGTTTGCTACCAAGTCAGCAGTCTTTTACCTGAGACGAGTTTGCTTGTTCTGATTCCATAAGTCTCAGTGAGAGTCTTGCCAAGTGTTTTACTCCACAGTGCCCTGATGCTTTTATCTTTCCTATCTCATTGGAGCTGATCTCCTCTGATCACAGAACACAAAGTGACCCAAATGTTTTTGCTGACTGTATGACCAGATTGAAGTTGGTCTCCCTTACACAAACTGCATCGTCTCTGAATTGAACCACAGCAGGCAGTTCTTGTTTGTTAGTGTAACCTGTCACCACATGATCACCATTATCTTTTGTGGTGCTTTTTCGTAGAGGCACAAGCAGAAAGTTTTGCATTCAATCAGTAATAAATCTCAGATTTAGTCATGCAATTTCTTCATGTCAAGCTCAGATTAACTTATCCAAAGCAGTCAATGTTCTTGCCAAATCTCCCACTGCCAAGAGGGAGATGTCTTGTAATGCCTCTCAGTAGCTCGTGTAAGCAGTATCCTGTCCAAAGGAGAAGAAAAGGGCTCGAGGTTTGTGGGACTGTGCAGAACAAAGTTGCATTCTGCACCGACCACGCAAACATATCTGGACTTTGAAGCCTTTGTTCCAGCTACAAAGACTGATGAAAAATGTGTGTAAACAAACCCAGCTTTGATACCTGAGTGTGAGATCTTGTGGAAAATGTGAGTCTCTCAGTCTTGGGGTACCAGTGTGCCCAGCTGTTCAGAAACTCCTCCCTGCTGCTTCCCTCACCCCTTGCTGAAGGCACTTGGAATTGCGCAAAGTCTGCAGGCACAGCTGCTTTCTTGTTGGCTCATTACTGACAATGGACTCCAGGCTCTCTTTTCACTTCTGGCCATTCTCGTCTCAAATTAACATCAAAAGCAACAGTTAACGTCTCCCTTTTTGTTCTTTTTGCATTATTATTTACATTATTTTATCCTGCTGTGATCTAGATATACATGTATGAAAGTCATGGCAAAAACATCACCTTTTCTAATCCTGTTGATTTGAAAGTCAACAACAGGAAAAAGGTTGTGTTTTCTTCATAACCTTCAGTGGTTTCTCGTAAATCCATAATGATATTCTCAACAAGCCAAACTGAAAAATTGCAGAAAGCTTTTCTCTCCAAAGAGTGTGGCAGGACAGAGCTGGGAAAAACCCTCCCTTCCTCTGGTCCTAACAGGAGAACAAAAGCCAGTCTGCCTCTGCGTCACGTCCTTCGAGTTAAAGACACTTCTTCTCTCTCCAAGTGACAAACACTAAGGAAAAGAATGTTTATAATGAAATGATTCTCGCTTTGCAGTTCTCCTCTCTCATCAGTTAAAATGGGTCACTCCATTTGTAAAAGTCAGCTTAACTCACAGTTGGTATTGGACAGCTGAGAGCCAACCAGAGGACCGAAGACCTGCGACATCCCTGTTGCCAAGGTACACGAGATGGGGAAAAGAGGAGCCACTGAGTTGTTGCTATGGCTGCAAGGAAGAAGGCTTTGCTATGTGAAGAGCTAATCATTTCAAACTGCTTCATCCCTCGAGGATCTGCATGAACCTTGGAGGAGAAATTTCACACTAAGCGTTCAGAAGCTGTCATTTGCACATCTGTATAATTTCCCTGCGCTAATAATTTCCCTTTTATTTCTTTTTGTCTCTCTAAATTGGATGAACTGTTGTAGTTGCACTAAAATACAGAGCTTTTTCCATTAATCCTATGTGTCAAAGCAGAAATAATCTGAAATAATGAAAAGCTGATTCCTCATGAATTAAAATCTTATCATACAAATGCCAGAATCCTGCTATTAAGAGGCGTGAACCAGTGACAGAAATTTTGAAGGCTTCAAACTAAGTGTAGGTTTTTCTCTTTTTTTAACATAGATCTCCTTAGGCAATTTTTGTTTTGCTTTAGTCTATTTACATACCTAACAAAAAACCCACAAAAGCACATACACTCCTCTACGAAAGAGCGCCGCAGAAGAGAATGGTGATGTTGCTAAGGAGCTGTTTACCTGCCAAGTGTATCTGTATGATGCCTGTGGTGACCATGGGAACCAATTTGGGAATTATTTAAAGACAACCTTGCAGTGAAATGATATGGCATTGCATGTACACTAAGTATTTCTGTAGTTGCATTTGAAAAGCCAATTTCTGAGAAAAAGATGCAACTGGAAAGCAATTTAAAGAGAAGGGTCAGCACAGGGACTTGCCTGAAAAACACATTACCATGGTTAATGCTTTTTAATGTATGTTTTACAGATCGCATCTTGAAAATAAACAGCAGTACTCTTTTAGGTAATCAACTTCGTACACGTTTAAAGCGGTTTGATACTGATCAGCAAGGGACTTAGTCTGACGCCTGATCTCATTTCTCTTAAAAAATTAATTACAAGTTGCTGTATTCCCCCTAGAGAACTTATTAACTGTGTCTTTCTCTCCAAAGAGCACTTGGTTCTCGTGAGGTAAAGTGCCCTGGGCTAAAAGCCGTTGCTTCCCATTTCTAATTCAAAAAGAACAGTTTTAGTCTTATTTTTATCCCTTCTGACACTTTTTATGAGTGATGACTAGTAGCACTGCTGTAGGATCGAGCTTGTTGCAATATTATCTTGTAAGGGAAGCAAATGCAACAGAAATGATTCTTCTGGGGTTGAATGTGACTTGGAAGGTTATGTACAAAGAGGATTTTCCAGTGTGTGTCCAGTTCAAATAAAAGCTTTTAAATTCAGAGTCTTTTGCTGCATAAACATTGCAACTATGGGAAAACATCCTGTTACTTGAACCAGTTGTAATGGAATATCTCTGCTTACAAGTTGCCCTCGGGATTCTACCAAAATGCGTCTTGGTGTCATTCTGCTATAAAACATTGCCATTACTACCCAGTAACGAAGCACATAAGAAATCTGAGATTACAGTTGGTGTGTGATTAGAACTTGTTTGTTTTCCCAGTTATGTTACCTGAGAACTGCCTATCTATTTGCAGAATAATTAAGAAGAAATTGTTAAAGAATTCCTAATGCTGTGAGAGGTAGAGTTTGGATAATTAAGGGATGTTTCTGTGTAGGTTAGAATGACTGTGCTCTAGATGAGAAAGTTCTGGATGATTCGGGATGAATAACTGTATGGATCTACTTCTAAAAAGGTGGAGATTGTTTCGCTCTTAAAAGACTGTGATTAGACTTGCCTTATTTTAAAAATGTATCCCTGGGCTTGCTTGCTTTTAAACCACTTCACATTGTATGTCTGAGTCTCTCTCTGTCTTTTTGCAGGTTTCAGACTAGTGGTAAGACCAAGAGTAGCCTCATATCAGTGCAAAATGAATCAGTGTATTTCAGAACAAGACTTCAAGTCTTGAATGTGTTTGTTTGCAGATGTCATGACTCGTGGGGGCTTTTATTGCGAGCACATACAATATTTTCAAAGTCTTTAATGACTCAGGTTAGTTAGATGTTTGGGCTTTACTTGGTAAAGCTGGAACATGTTTATGAACATAATCTATTGTGGAGCTAAAAAAAAAAATCCAAGTATAGGAAACAGTTTGCTCCTGTATATGTAGTTTGCACTTGTTTGTATGCATGAAGGTATTTTAATCCTGCAGAGAAGAGCATCTGTACAATTTCAGAGGGAGGATAATTGGTGTACAGGAGGGCTTTTCAGAAGGTATGTTTGGATGCTTTAATCTACAGTGTAAAAGGAAATCAGAAGTGGGCAATGTATTCAACATTTTTTTCCAGATTTTTGAAGATTTTTGTCTTTTTAATTGTTTTTCCTGTGAGTTAGACCAGTGTTCAAAGTGGTGTCTTCTGGGATCAGTCCCATTCCTAGTCCTAAGTTGTGAAGAGCACAGAATGCTTCTCTTCCGGTTAACTTTAATGTACTCATTTGCAGTAGCGAAGTAGAGAAGCCAAGTACTTTCTTACTTTGAGAAATTAGTGCCCACTGGAGCCAGGATTATGATAGAACTAAGTTACTTGAAAGTCTGAGCATGCCTGCTTTCACCATTGTGATGTCTGCTGGGAGTCCATGCTATCTGAGTTACTGTTCAGCAATTCTTTGTGTTAGTTGGAAAGTCTGGGTTTAATTTATTCTAGGTACTGTGTGCCTCTTGTCCTTAAAAAAAAAAAGAAAAACTGTATTTATTTTCTGTAGAGACAGACTCGTTCTTCAAGAGTCCTGCATGTTTCTTTGTAAGGCTTGAATGAGGGTGACTCTCATAAGCAGTGTGATGACCACTTTGATCCTCTAAAGGTGTGGATTAATTAAAACTTCTGTTTGTCTTTCAGACACCTCGAACCTGTGAAAATTTTATCAAATTGTGCAAAAAGAACTATTACGATGGGACAATTTTTCACAGGTCAATTCGTAATTTTGTGGTGAGTATTGACCAAATCCTTTTTGATACACAGTATACAGTGCTCTCAAAATACTTACTAAGCTTGAGTTTTAGTATCTTCTTTGTGTTGGAAGTGTATTAAAATATACCTCCAGAACTGGGATTGTCCCAACTTTCTAAATTTGTAGTTACAAGTCTAACAAGTCTTACTAACAACTGTTTCTGACTAATACTATCAGAGAACATCTCTGGCATCCTGACAAAGGCTTTGAGAGTCATTGCCTTGGCAAGGCTCTTGTTATGTTCCTCAACTGCAGGTGAGTGGTTAATGAACAGAAAGGGAGGGAGATGCTAATTTGCATATGTGATTTTGCATCCTGTTGAAATCTCATTCAGATGAAGCATCAAAAAGCTGAATTTCTGATTCAGGTTTGGTGCTTGGATGCTCTCACATCATCCTTTCCCAAGAGTGCTCCAGGATATGAAGGACTAAGCATTCAACTTGTATTTGAAAGCTCTGTATGTAGTTGTAAGCTATTCCCTTTGTATGCTATTGAGCACAGCTGGTAGAAAGAAGCAAAAGATGTTCTTGTTCAGGTGAAGCTCCATCATACAGTGGTGAACAGTATGAATTCAGACTTGGTGGTCATTTTAATCATATGCTTAACTTGGTATATAACTGTAGCATAATCAGCACACAATTGGCTGAATTTGGACCACTGTAATCAGTATTTTATGAGGTTAAGTAGTTATCAGTATGTTAATCACACTTGGTGAGCATACATAAGGCTTTAATAAAGATACCATACTTTAATAAAGATATCAAGCTATTATAAAGATATCAAGATGTAATGCTACAGAAATGATTTAGAGTCTTTCAGGGCGAGGCGTGTCTAATAACTCATTTTGATAGACTGAAGAGGCGTGTTTTGCATTCAGAGGTCTGCTTCTCAGATTTGAAACTTAGATTTGGTTACTCACCATGCCTAGTTAATAGTTTTTCCATTACATTTTTAATTTTACATTGAGATTTGTCAGATGTTAGAAGACAGCGAGTCATTGAGACATCTTACTGCTACTGCAGTCCATTGGAAGGCCTGGACGTATGACCTTTGTTTACATAGGTGCAGTGCAGGGAGCTTAGGGTGCTGTAGCTGTTCTGTAACTTCCTTTCAAAAGAATTAGCAACCTGATCCTGAAGGCAGCGTGCATCTTCCAGAGGACATCACTGAATGTTGTATTACATCATGCCATCCTACAAAAAGAAAAGCTTTTTCCTTCTGGCAGGACCATATCTTGGTTAGTAGTTAAACCCACCATTAACATTGTGCTTGTGTGCTGTTACTGTATAGCTAGTTGTGTCACACTCCCTTTACTGGCACTGGACTACAGAATATTATGTATATATATATTAGTGATTAAATTTATTATTGTGAATGTTTTCACATGGGAATTTTCCCATTCAGGTAGTGAGAAGGACACTATAAAATACGGATTCAAATACGTTCTGCATCTCCTCATTTATTTCCTTTGCATCTTGTGTTGGATTGGTAGCAATATATAAAGCCTTTTCTGTTCTAAAAGCAATGCATCATCAGGTAAAAAGCATGTTACTCTCTAGGACGAAGTGGAAAGGATGATCTGATTAACCCATTTGAGACTGTTTATTTTCCTTCTTTACTCAGGAGATCTATTATTTTTATAAAACTATCAATTTGCTCTTGGGTAAGTAATGCAGGAGGTGACAGCCAGCTGATAAAAGAAGCTCCAAATGAGTAGTAATGATTTCCTTGACGCTAACTTGTAACGTTAATTAGTACAGGACGAAGAAAGTGAAGCAGAATTGACTTTTATAGCTTGTATTTAATGTCTTTTGCACAGATGCATATGTAACCTATTGGTTCTATTGTAATTCTGCAGATTCAAGGAGGTGATCCAACTGGAACAGGAACAGGTAAGGCTGTGTTTGAGTTAAGTGAGCTGTTTTCACTTAAGCACTGTGTGGTTTAACTGGTGTCATCTAGTAGTTCTAATTAGTGTTGCACATTTACTCGTTATCCACTTGCACATTTTACCTACTTGCTTGTAGATGTCACCAGCCTCCACAGCTCCTTGTTTGCCCTTGTGGAGTTTTGTGCATTTTTATTCTAGTTCACACATATGTCACTTGTATATACAGGCACTGTATTCTGTGTATGTTCACAGACCATCTGGAAAAAGGATGTCTTTGCAATTCTTTACCACTGCTTACTTTGTAAATAATGTTAGTGTGAGTTGCCCAATGCATGATCCTCAACAGTTGCATGCTCTGAGACAGGAATTAAATATTCTGAGTCTTGATGGCAAAAGCCTGTTAACAAGCTTTGTTGCTGTATTTGCGTGGACTGTCCAAAGAATTGTGATTTGATTTTGTTGGAGGGAAAGTTTCAGTTCAAATCCCAAAAGACGTAAGTAGGAACATCTTCTAAAATGAGAAATTAAAGAAATGTCGGGAGACCAGAGAAATGTAATGGATTGATGCAGGCAGCTTTTGCCTTTTGTAGGGTGGGTTCAGCTCTTGCTGTGAAAAAAATGAACTTGCTGGTGTCATTCTTGTCGCTGTATGTGCAAATGGCAGAAGTACTGTAAGGCAGCACAAGTCGTGGTTGGCAGGAGGCTGGCAGGGCTGCTGTTCTGAAGGTCAAGGCTCAGCTCTACTGGCAAAGAAAGTAGGAAGTGTAAGACCAAAGGGGGAAAAAAAACAAGTAAGACCATAGGAGAAACAACTCCGCTGTGAGTTATTTTTAAAAAGGAGTGTAATGACCTCTAGACTTTCCATCTTGTTTTTCTCCTTGTCATTCTTAATTAAGTATGAGTATACTGTAGACAAGGTGTCTTGCAAACAACTGTCAAGGCTATTAAAGTTCCAATAAAGCGAACAGTTTATACTTGGCTAAATATGACAGTGTTGCACATTTGTTGTCGCTATGGTCACTGAATGGTTTTGATGTTTTGAACATAACTGCACTTTAAATAACCTTATTAATCATGTATCTAATGTGCTAATAGTAGCGTCACAAGAAAATGTACTAAACAGTCTGGTGAGCTACCTGACTTCTCTTGAACTCCTGTGCCTGTGTGCTTGGTGCTGACATGAAGCAGCTCAGGCAGCGCGCAGTGTTGGCGGTCGGTCAGGCTTTGCTCCCCATTACCTGGCATACTTTGCACACTGTGAGGTGTCTACAAGCCAGCATTAACTTCGTGTAGAGATGTGTGTGCTTCATTTAGCCAGTGTTCTGTGCTGGGATCTATTGTAACATCTCCAGCTGTGTGCTGAAATTTCGCCGTTTAGTTTGGTATCAATTCTTTAAACCCTGTAAATGAAATGAAGTACTTATTTTTAACTATAGAATGGAGAAAAGGAGAGAATGCATCTCCCTTACGATTCTCTGTGCCCCTCTGTAAATGAATGCTTTGCTTAGGATGAGTGACCTAAAACAATGTGAACACGTAAAGTAAACAAGACTAAGGAGAGTAAATAATTTGACTTCTGCAGTATCAGGGAAGCGTATTTGTAGAACAGGGCTTTCTTCTCAGGTATTTCAACTGGGAAATAGTGAAGACTATTCAAAAATTATCCCTGAAATTTTATTTTAAACTGCCGAACTGTTTTGATCAGAGCCTTTTATAGAAAGACTTCAGACATGCAGAAACTGTGCTCGGCCCTCCTGGGTAAGTGCTTTAGTTTAGGAAAACGCCCTGCGGAAGGGCTGTCGCCAACTGTCCCTGCAGCTCCCCGGGCTGGAAGCAGCACTGAGCCTTACCTCTTTTTTGTATGTTTTTTTTTGTGCATCACATGGTGTGCCTGCCTTGAATCTTTCATTCAACTATCACAAAAGAATGGTCCCAACGTGGTTGGCATGTGAGGGGCTGATCGCTGGTACTCAGCAGTTAACCTTGGGATGGAAGAAGGGCAGAAGTGTAGATGGTGGCATCTGGAAGTTGATACCATGCTAGAAAGAGTGAGGAATTGAATTTTAATTTAGCTTATTCAGCAGTGTTGCCAGAGTTAGATACACTGTCCTGTAAGTTTGATACTGATACTTAGAGGACCAAACTAATTTTCTGCAGCCATAAACTTCAAGTTTCATAAGACTACTGGGAGAAATTGTGTTGTGCTGCAGTGGCTTCTTTCTTTTTCTTTAACAAAAAAAAAAAAAAAAATCCATAAAGGCAGTATTCAAAGCAATAAGCTGAGTCATGGTCATTCTTTGTAATGATTAATTATTTGAAAACGAATTTTACATTTGTGATGTATCTCTTCCTGCTGTTCTTAACAACAAAGTGGTTGAACTCAGTGAGTAATTTGGTCTAGCTTGAAGTAGTGCAAATGGAACAGCTGCTCTGTATTTTCGGTGTTCCAAATAATAGAAGAAAATTTGCATGTAGGAAAAACAGGTTTAATATCCCAAACCCCTTGTATGAAAAGGGGAGAACTGTATCCAGGGCATTCCATTTTTAAAGCAGCACGGGCATTTTTCAGCTACTCACATCCTGTTGGAAGATGTAATGAATCAGGTTGAGTTTGCCTCTGTCCATTGCTGAATCCAAAGGAGGTTTTAGAGCATTTTGGTTTGTGTGGAACAAAGCAAAGCACTTTTTTCCCCTCCTCTGAACTGTCAGTAGCAGAGAGCCTGTGGTCAATCTTGGTCAGTTCTGCAGTGTGGTTTCCTAGCAGGGAAAGATACTAAAATGTCACCAGTTGTAGAACTCTTTTCTTGCATGCCTGAAGTTTAGCAGAAGGACAAGAGTGAGGCCTTCTTAACTGGAGCAGTACCTCCATTTAGATTGCAGCTCCTCAGATATGTGGGTTAAAGTACTGTGTCTCCTTGTCTGGAAGGAGAGAAGCACATACTGGATGAACTCAGGCTTTCGTATTTGCACAGTGATTCAAGAATCTCTCTTGGAAAGCTCTATGGAAGTGTCAGATGTTATTATGTACCTTGCTGTTCCAAATGACAAGAACATTACAGAAACTAAGCCATCATTTTTGTGAATCAGAGCCCTCCCACTTCCTTACCACTGCTTAGCAATTTTTATGCCAGAAAAAGGAAGGATTTACTTAAAATCACAGCTTTCATGAATGATGATTCTCTGGCTTTTGGAACGTTTCTGAAGCCTTAGGTGCATCCCTCAGCTCTTTGCATAAAAGTTATGCAAGTTCTGTACATTCATCAAAAATAATAATGAAATAGATGATTACTGAAGAAGTTGTTCGCAAGGAGAAAGACTACCAAAGCTGGTTTTAGTTTGAAATACAATCTGAAAATATGACTTCTTTCTTTGTACTTGCTAATCTGTGATTGCTGCAGTTGTCAGATGATATCTGTTCACCTTTCCTGTAGCACAAGGTGCAGAAATGAGGCTGGATAACTAACCGTGCTCCAGGGCACAGCCCGGCTGGCTGCGTGCTGCTGCTGGGAGGCCGTTCCCCTGTGGTAGCTGATCCCGGGCCCATTCCCAGCTTGGTGCAAAGGACCCACATCTGCAGAGTTATCAGCACTGCTCCATTTCACATTCTCAACCCCAGTCCAGAAAGTGCCAGAGTGAGACCCTGTCTGCTCCCTTGTGAACCCCTTTGATTTTAGCACAGAAGTCCCCAAAATATTTTACAGCTCAATAGCTGTAATAGCAGCTCAATAACTTTTCAAACGATTCCACGCTGACAGAAGATTGTCTTATCTGGGTGAAAAGCGGGAGGCAGGTGAGTGCCAGGCAGCACTGCCCAGTGTGAATGGGACACCCAGACACGATTCCTGTTTTCCACAGGCTTTGCCTGCGGCCTGGGAAGTTGGCTTTGGGTTGGGGTTTTGCATCATAGTGAGTCCATATATAGTCATTGGTGATCTGTGCTCCCTCGGAGGAAAACCTGGGGGGTAAAGGAGGAGCCTGCTCTCCTTATGGCATGTGCAGGGAATGACCACACGGTTCCACCTCCCCCTGCTCTGGCTGCAGCCACTCTGCTTTCAGATGCAGTGGAGGTGACACATCCCTGCCTCCCAACTGTGCTCAGAATAAACACAGTAAAATCTGTTCTGTACTTCAGAATGCCTCATCTTTTTAGTAGTCGGCTGGCAGCCTGTGAGCTGTTTTCCCAAGCTTACATTGAGCTCTCCTATATAAAGCAAAATGCAAAGGTCTAAAATTCCAGTTCCAGGCTGTGCTGGCTGAGCATTAGGCACTGTGCTGCCGTGCCAATAGGCTAATGAGGGATTTGTGCTTAATCTTCAGAGAGATAGAAAGTGATTCTGGGTTTCAGTAATTAAAAACATGGTCCTTTTAACTCACCATCTTCTAGCCTGCTTCTTCATGCAGATGTTTGAAGCTTGGAACAATTCCAGAGGTCGGGAACAGTTTGTCAAACAGCAATTTTTAATTGGCTATTTTCAATTTAAAGGGAAAACATTTGTTTTGTGAGTTTGAAGAATAAGAAAAAAACATTCCAATTCCATCTATTCCATTGTTGTCTCAGCACCTTCGCTGCATCCCCACCTCCCCGTGCCAGCCCCTGCTGCCAGCCTGTGCACACAGCCCTGGCCTGCAGGGTGCCTGTGCTCCTGTCCTCTGCTCTCCTGCAGCTGCTGAGCACGCAGGCCTTGGGTCTGGAACTGTCTGCTGAAATATTAGCACTTGTTTCCGGAGAACTGGAGTGAACTAAAGTTAGCCATCATACGCACAAGGTTAGTTCTGACCCTCAGAGTATGATCTGAAACCAAATCATGCAAAAATAAGTATTCCAAAACCAAAAGGTGATGGTTCATTGCTCCTGTCAGTGAGCACTGGAGTCTGGTTGCTTGTTGTGTCATGCACTGCTTTTCTCGTGCTTTCTGAATTATTTTCTCAGCAGTGAGGCTGCAGGGTCCATTCCACCCACTTCCAGCAGCCTGATGAGGCCAGCATTCCAGCGTCTGCTGAAAGCCTGCGAGGGGGGCAGCAGGCTCAGGGCTTCGGCCACTTGCTGCTACCTGCCATCTCCATTGCATCTGCTTATGTTTGTATGTTATCTGAGAATTTCTAGGCAACAAACACTCCTCTGGGTTAGGACTGACGGTGCATCTGCTTTGCAAATAATGAGGAGTTCCTTCAGGAGATCCTTTGAAGCAACGTTACCTATTTCTTGAAGGGAGACATGAGTGTGTCCAGGGGTGGAGGTGTGAGGTGTGCAGTGCTGGTGAGGAGCGGGGCTGCAGGGCTGCAGGCCGTGTCTGGATGGCTGCAGTGGGTCGGGTGGAGCTGAGGAAGGGAAAGTGGGAGCAGAACGCAGTGCACAGTGCTCAGTGCAGCTGGTGGGGCCTGCATGCTGTGCAAGTATGCTGCTGGTTTTGGGCAGCACATGGAGTTTGCTGCATTCTGATCCCTGCTTGTTTGTGTACAGCTACAGAGCGAGGCAGGTACTGGGCACTACATGAGTAACGTCCCATAGGAACACACAGGGATATTGGTTGTCAGAGAGAAATGCAGGCATTTTGTAGTAGGCTGAGCACAGTTTGGCCAGAAGAGCTGCAGCTGGGAACCACCTTCATGCTGCGGCGTTACCGTGCCCCTTGCAGCCGCTGTGGGAGGAGGCTGTCGTACGGATCGAGCTGATGTAATTGAGCTGAACTGAACTAATGGCTCCTTCTCTCCTGATTACAGAAAGTCCTGCAGGGTTTGTCCCCTTTTGCTGCCTCTTGTAAAGCCGTGGAGCGGGCAGCGCTCAACTCTATTAATAGTTCTTTTGAACATGATTAATTGGGTTTTTAAGTGGGTCAGTTTCTTCCAAAAATTGCTGGGTTAGTTAATTCCACTTACAGCTGTCCACCTGTGATTCTTGTGGTATCATCTGAAACTCTGCTCTTGTTTGATGCACACTTGTGATTTTCCGCACGTGGTTTTCAGTAGGAGTTTGTTTTACGCTCTCATTTAATTTGCTGCTTGTCTGTGCAGCTGTGTCATCAAATGGCTTTTGCATGTTACATGTGCAGATAGCCATTGCACGCTGCAGGTCGTTCACTGACCTCTGCTCTGTAAGCTTACAGTTACTCGAAGGACTCTGAGTGGTTCTGCGGATGGACCAGTCTTTGCTGCCTGTCTGGGTACTTTTGTTTGCTTTATTTTTAATCCTGTCCTAAGGTGTTATATTTTTCATGGTTTGTCAAACAAGATTATGGATTTGACTGTAAAACTGTGACTCATCTCAGCCTTCGTTTTTCTTATTAAAAATGATCCTGGAGGAAAGCGCAAATGAAAATGTCAGGTGTGACATAAATAATGTAAAACTGACAGCCAGGAGGAGAGGCCCTCACAGACCCAGAAATCAGTCTTGGAGGGCTGGGTCTGTGGTTGGTGCAAAGTTTTTTTCATTGTTTATCCGGGAATTAAGCTTTTGAACTTGTAGTCCCTATTCTTAGTTGATGCTGTAAACATATTTCCTCTCCCTGATGTTATATTTTTGGAAGCATTGCTATAGCCAGAGTGCAGTTAAATTAGTAATTCTTTGCTCCCTGTGTTTTTTCAGTCAGCCACACTTGAAGATTTAATGTCTCAAAAAAGAAAAACCATGATGGATGAGCAGTAAAAATAAATGAATCCTCGGCAGTTCTTTGCCACATGATATATAATGCTGCTGATAAACAGTCTCATCTGTTGCAGACGATAGTGGTGTGGAGGCACAGAATTGTATTGCCAGTTACAGACATCTGATTTCAAGGGCGTGCTCAGATACTCGCCTTGTCATAGGGATGAGGTGGGAATATATTACAAACACAGCAATCAGAAGCCCCAGAAACTTGGAACTTACTGCTAGTGTCTGATGTAAGATGTATTGGGAAGCTAATGAAAACAAATACTTCATCTATCATCTTTTCTTTTTTTTCAGGAGGAGAATCTTATTGGGGAAAACCATTTAAAGATGAATTCAAGCCCAACTTGTCCCATACAGGGCGTGGTATTCTTAGTATGGCCAATTCAGGACCTAACACAAACAAATCGCAGTTGTAAGTAGTCGCTTGCACTTTGTGTTTTATTGTTTCCCTCCAGACATTGTGCCTTGTGCTGTGAAGAAAATAAATGACATTTTTGGGCTGCTCCTTAAAGTTCAGTCACGTGAAATATGGTCAGGTGTTGCACATTGCAGTCAGGGTGGCTGCAGCTGCTGTTACTCTGAGTCTAAGAGCAGCGTGAACCTGTCGGCTCATGGCATCATCAGTTTGCCTTCTCTGTTTTATGGTTTGCAGTTTTCATTTTTTCTTATGCAGCCCCATTCTTATTTCTGTGAAACCACTGTACCTCTCCGCTCTATTTAAATTTAGTCCCATACTGAACTTTTTGAAAGGCTTTAATGAAATGAACCAAACACACCTTAGAAACATTGCTTCTTTTTTTGCTGACCCGTTTCTGAATAAGAACAGTTCTGCACTGCTCTTATGTGTAGAATACAAAATGGTGGAGTGCAGAGTCTGGGGTAGGAAAGGACTTGGTGTTCAGTGTACCAAACAAAGGGAGGGCTAAAATGAGGGACAAAATGAATGAAGTAAAGAAGGAGGAAGAACAACAAACAAGATTTAAGAACATTGAAGTTGTAATAACATACTTCAAGCGTGTCAGAAGTACAGAGGTTTGCCTGCAGTCTTTGGAAAATGCCCCATGTCACTTTGAGCCAACTACGTCTCGCTCTCTAAGAAAAAAGCTGTACCTCTATTGGGAACCTCAGAGGAAAGTGTGTGTGCAGTTCTGCGTACTGGGGCTGGGGGGTGGTGGAGGGGAGCCTTGCTGTTGGTCTTCACGAGTTTGGTTGGGTAAGCCATGCAACAGCGTGGTTAAATTTAACTAAACACAGGTGCTTGTCTCGAGGCCCTTAATAGGCTTACTCACGTGCTTAAGCCTGAGCATGTGTGCAGGGTCCAGTTGCTGTGAAGCTTATTTTGGATTTGAATGTTACTGCCAGCACTCAGGTGCTAAATTAGGGAAGAGTAGAGGCTTTAAGAGAATATTAACAGCGAGAGGCGGGGGATCAAGGTACAAGAGAGACTGCTCATGAATGATGTGCCGTATTGAGCCGCATCATCCACAGCTGTAGAGGTGATCCTATGTTTCCATAAAATTTGCATGTGAAACATGAAGTTCCCATATATACAGAGTTCTTGCAGAACCCCAGCTGCCCATGTTTTTAAAGCTTCCTAAGCAGTGTTTAGAGACTTCTGGCACCTGGTGTTAATTCCATTGTCCTTAATTTTATTTTAACTGCAGTGAATTCACAAAGCTTTCTCTGTATATTTACTTCTGCTCGGATTTTTTTTTATTACAATTTCTATTACTGTCGTGCATCTAACTGACCAACAGATGGTTTACATATTGAATATCTGAGAACAAAGTGAGACGAAGAACCTTTGCACAAAACTAAGTTGTAACATACACCCCGTGTGGGAGTTTGCATTTGCACAGCATCTCAAAGCTTTCCTTTGGGCAGGCTATGTTCTAATAGATTGGCTAGCAGATTGTGTATAGGAGGGGCTGCAATCATATAACTTCCTGAGGCAGTCGCTTATATGGAAAAGTACTTTTGGAATGTTTATGTATTTTTAGCTGTCTCTAATGTAGTGTAACAGATGGAGACAGAAAGGAGAGCCAGCACTGCATGCCCAGCCAGCATGGGCCATCATGGTCTGCAGACCACGAAGTGGAAACCTCTGTCTTATACACTTGTAGTCTAAGTCTTCTAACGAAGCATCAAACTTTAGAGAAAGGCTTTGGTAGTATGAACTGTTTTGGATTTGGTATTTCAGTTACTGAGTTTATGTTTAAAAATGCTCTTTCGCCCAGTTAAAAAAAATCCAATGAATTAAAAAGCCAAATTTTACAGGTTTTCCTCACTTTTGACACTTTTAAGTGCCATGTTTGTACCTGAAGCAAAAATCTGCTTCATCTAGAGGAGAAATGGATGACAGGCAGGGCAATGCAATAGAAAAGAAATTGCAAATATTAGATGTTCTAAAAGGTAAAAGTTTGCACTGACAGAAGATTGTTGTGTTATATGACTGAATTTGCTGGTACAAACTCCCAGTCGTGCACAAGAAAAATCCTCACTGGGCAGCAGCCATGTGTCACTGTCCTGCTGTGAACGTTCTGAAGCCTGCCTGGCCAAGGAGGCAGATGCTCACCTTATTTTTGGACACTGTGCAAACCAGTGTGTTTGGAGTACTGTTTGGGAATGTTGGTGAGGTATAAAATTGAGGAAATCCAAACTTACAAATCCAAGACAAAACCCACAGAACGGAGGAATTAAGGGATGTTTAGCCAGTGGGACTCCCAGCAAGCGAGATCCGTCTCTCTCTGCAGAGGAAAGTTCCATACACTTTCTGTTTTTAAGCTGGCTATTGCTGAGTCTCAATGAGATAACGTGCTAACCCCTATGTTTTTATTCTTTCCAGCTTTATCACATTCCGCTCTTGTGCTTATTTGGACAAGAAGCATACAGTGTTTGGAAGGTAAGTGGAAGACACCATGAGAAGCAGTGTAACAGATGTATTTTCCAGTGTGTCCAAAATCTAAAGAGAGGAATCTGCTGACTCTTGCAGTTGAACTGTAGCAAAATCCTTGCTCACAATCCAGTTCCCTTGGTTGTGATTAGGTGGCCAGCATCAATTCAGTGCCAGTCATCAGACTCTGCTTTTTTTCCCTCCTTCCATCACTACATATTGCCTTATTTCCTTTCTGTGGGTAGTTGCGAGGGAGTCAAGAAAAAATAATCACCTTCATGTAACATTTTCACTCTTATTATTTTATTTCTGACAGTGATCATTGCTATAACATCTGTGTGTGTGTATCTGTATACGCAGACAAATAAGATGTTAGTGATGCAAATACAGCAAGGGAACTTCATTCTTGAAGAAGCCTTTTCCAAAACTCTTTTCCATTCAAGCCATCGTATGATAAAAGTGAAGGTATATATGATAGGACATATTACATTTTACAAACAGGTAAGTGTGTGTGTTTGTTCCTTGCTGTCTCTGCTGCAGGTACATGCTATTTACGAAGTCACTGCAGCTATTTTAACAAATGCCCTGCTACAAATGGCAGGAAGGGGAATTGTTCTGGTTTGCTTTGGTGGTAGTTCCCAAGGACTTTACGGTCTCTTTATAATTAAGGATTGTTGTATTCTTTTCCTGGCTTTATCTTTGTGAAAGGCAGCAACTGAAAGTCAGAGCATGTACAGTTTGCTTCGGTTGGATGTTACACAATAGTACTCTATAGTAAAAGTTGAATCCACCTTCTCTGCCAGGAGTTCCTGAGCCAGAAGCTGGCTTCATTTTAAACAATTATGTTAGTGCCATTAGTTCTGATACTGATTCTGCAGAAATTGCACCCTTTGGAATATATTCTTTTTCTTTTCTCGAGTTTGTCCTAGACAAGCTTTCCTTTGGTAAAAGCTGATAAATAAAGCAAACTCTAATTCTGAAAGTGGATATATTGGTAGAGTGTTACCTATATCTTAAAATTGGTACACTTAAGTTACAATATGAGTCCTCCTTGCAGAAATCCCCTTCAATCTGATATGATAACGTTGTTAACCTGAGCTCTGAGATCTGTGTGGTAGAGCTCTGCTGAAAACGTGGCTGTTGCTTGGTGTGGAATGCAGCCTGGCTTCAGTGAGCATCCTGTGTGCCCTTCGTGTCTCAGGGAGTGTCTCCTCAGCATGCTCTGGTTTTACCATAATCTGAGAGTGCTGCAGATATTCTCAGCTGAAATACAAATGAAACACCTTTCCACTGATGTTGATTTAGAATCATTTCTCTGCCTGCTTAAGAAAAGAGTGGCACTTTCCTTTGAACACAGGGTGGGTGAATTTTACTCTGGATTCTCTTTCATCTAGAAAAAAATGATACATTTGAAGAATGACAAAAGTAAGGATGCCAGGTTAGATGCATTCCAATCTCCCCTTATTTAGCTACAGATTGAACACCTGAACAATTGAATTGGCATACAAATGTAATAAAAGAGCCTGATGCATGCAGCTCTTAAGGTCTGTATTCTGTCATCAAATTCCTTCAGCTGTTTTTACCTTCATTTGTTGTTTGAAAAACCATCAAAGCCAGAAGACTGAAGAGATTGTATCTCTAGTGGAACTTGCTATTTTAGATCCTGGGTGTTACCAGGGTTTGGTGACTGTATCTGATCTTAGACTGTAGAGTACAATAATATCTGGAAAGCGTATCTAGGAATGATATGTAGGGTTAAGAATAGAAAGAACCCATGAAATCAGAAGTCCTTGTTTCCATGAATGCTACGTTGGACCATCTCAACTGGTTGTTTACTGGCCTGTTGTGACTTTCACATAGACTTGAGGATTACTTATTTCAGTTAATAGGAAACCTAAATACCCAGAACTCAGCTGTCACCTCAACCATTTCTGTACATCTTTGGTTCATGTTAATAAGTGTCACATACAAATCTCTGAGAGCAGAATTTGATCTCTTTGTAATTTGTATAGAACTTTCCGGCAGGAATTTCACACTTACCTTTTTTTTTCCCGTGTGGGACGGAGCACTGACACGTTCTTTCTCTCCAGAGCTGCCTTTTGTTCATGCCCCCGCTGGTTCGAAGCACAGTGTTTGCACAGCAGCAGCTGTTAGGAGTTGGCTGTTGGAGTTCAGCGTGTTCTCAAACGCGCCGGCTGCAGGCAGCGCGGTCCTGCAGGCAGTTCTGCCGTTCTGTCGGCCCAGCCTGGCCTCACGCACAGGGCTTGTTCAGTTCTGGGAGGAGGCTGGAGCTGGAGGACGTGGGGAGCATCTTGTCACACAAGTGCTGCCCACCGTGGCCGTAGTTACTGAAACTGAAGGAGATCATTTGGCATAGATGAGGAGTAAGACCAGGCGCTAAGTAGGAGAAGGAAGCCTTCCCTAGGAGGTGTGCTGCAGGCTGCATGGACTGCCTGCTCCAGCAGAGCTGCCTCAATTAACTTAGTAATTACCACTTCTAGTAATTACCATTTCTCCCGATTTAGAGAATGCTGTAATTAGCTTGAAATCTAACTGGTGGCTTTTGTTGGTTTCTAGCTGGTTTAGGAACTCAGGTAATGTAGAGCAACTGTCTTGAGTTTGCTCTTGTGTATCATCCGGAGAAAGGACAATAAGTATTTCCGGGTGATTGCTGCAAAGGGAAGGTCCTCTTTGCTGCGCTTCTGTGCTGCTGTGTGAGGGAGCTCCCAGCCCGTGCTGCAGTCAGGAGTTCAGCCTGTGTGAGCTGCATGCACTACTGCTGGAACGCCAACTGGCATTCCTGTCTGACGTGCCTTATGAAATCTAGATGTGAGCACATCGTATCTGTGTTATTTTTATTTTCTGTTACTCCAGTGGCTCATAATTCCCATGGATCAGACACCAAGTTCATCTGACCTTTGTAAGTGGAAATAGAAACGTGATCTGTGCCAGACAGCTGGCTGTGTGAGTAGATAAAGGAGTGCATGCAGGTGCAGGGGTGTTACTGCACCAACCCCTTTCAGCTAACCTTTCACCAATAGTTTGCACTTTCTTTTGAACCAAGGAAGAAGAATGCACTGAAGAAAATGAAATGCCTCGTGGTATCCTGGGGAGCCCATTCCAAAACCAAAGGGAAAGTCCATGTTTGGAATGATAGTGAAAAGTGATTGAACTGTTGTGATCAGCAGGAGAGGAGAAATGTTTGCTGTCCAGATTGTGGGTGAAGCGAAGGACGAGCGGGGCAGTGAGTGCAGGCTGCAGGTATGCAGCCAGGGTAAAAGAAGGCCAAAAGAGGGAGCAAAGGAAGAAGTGTCTCCTGTCAGTAGCTGACACGCTCAGCTCAGCCTCCTCTTCCTTTCCTCCTTCCCTTGTCAGATGCTTTTGTGGCAGAAAGTTTACTCCCCTTGGATAAGCATCATTGCATTTAATATCCCCTAACCTGCTTAGTGCCCTTGTCCTCTAAAGCGATGACCATGTAAAGCTGCCACAGTGCACTGAGGTACCCAGGAACGATTCGGTGGTGCAGTGTTTGTTTCTATGCGTAACGTTCCCTGTGTGCTGTGGATCAGTGTTCCCAGCTTCTGAGCTGGGAAGCGCCAGGTTCGTCTGCTGAGTTTGGTTTCCAAATGCTTTTCTCCAGGTTGCTTTGCTGTCTTGTTGCTTTCCATTATTGTGTCCCACTTCCTATCTTAAGCCCTTAGGAGAGATTGAGGTATTTTGACGACAGCCTTGTGGCAGGTTGGAATTGCTCACTCTGTTTTGGGTTGGGTGTATACATAGAAAACATTTTGTCCTGAGAGTGTGTGTGTTTGTGCCTGTATATATTGTTCTCTGTGTATATGAATGTACTCTTTTGTTTTAATATAAAAATAAGCTTGAGTACAGAATGCATTTACAAAACAAAGTTTCTTTCTGGTTTCTGTTCCTAGTTTAAAGCTTTGGTGTTTTATTTTTTTGAGAAAGCCCAGACGTTGTTCTTGTTTCGTCCTCTGGTCAGGAAACCCCATGGAGCACTGCCACCCAGCACTGCATAATGCACGGTTCCTGTGCCTTAAAGAGTTTGAGAACCAGCAAGTCCGTGTGTGAGTGGCTGTGGGGCTGCTCGGGAGCTGCAGTGCTCTGTAGGAACAACGCTGGTGTAGCTGTGAGAGTTCCTTGGCATACTGCAAATGATTGGAGCTTTCTCCACATGTTTCTCTTGCACTTCATGCAGAGGCTTTGGCAGTGACTGCCAGACAAAGTTACTGGTTTGCATAATAAAATAGCCATAACGTGAAGTGGGATTTTAAATAACATCTCTAAATTTGAGATGCAAAGATTTCCAGTGCTAGCTTAGCTCAGTGTTCAGTAAGACAGTGTCGCATAGGTGAGACCATATTTTTCATTACTTTTTTATCAGAAAAAATGTAAATGTATCTACCTTATCCCCCACATGTGAATGCAATGCAACATTTGTCAAGCTCCTCTAAAAGCACAGCGAGCTGTCTCAGGGACGCTGAGCTAAATATACTGCTGAGGTCGTCATTTCAATGTTCAGCATCTGCTGGAGACAGACAGCAAACCCTCAGTCTCGCTGCTTGTTCTCATGTCGATGGTGTCTTGAAGGTGTCATCTTTTCCATTGTGGGCTGTCATCTGTTTCAACCTCACAGAAACTTGCACGGTCTGTTTAGGACAAAGCATGCATGGCACCTTGTCTGAGGAACGGAGCCACACGCAGTGCAGCAGGGAAAGTCGTTTCTGCCCTTCTGCCTCCCCTGTGTGCCGACCCGCCGGCTGGCAGCGGTGCTCTCAGTGCTCCAGGACTGCTGCATTACAGCCTGAGCCCAGGGCCTTTACCTTCTGTCTTAATGAAAACTGCCTGCAGGGCTCTTCATGCTGAGACTCAGTTATTCATGCTGCAGGTTTTCTCTCTTCAAAGTTAGTGGGCTATTTGAGTAATGCTAAGTAGTGGCTCTCACTTTAGAAGGTTTTTTAGTGCTTTAATGTGCTGATCTGATTCTCTTTCCTACATGTAACTTGTGTAGGCTTTTTTTTGGCCACATCCTTTCTTCTTAAGCCCAGGACATGTGTAGTGGGGCTGGCAGAGAATCCCAGAAGTGCCTCGGTGTGCTGGTTTGGTTGTTGGCTGTGGGGTAATTGCTGCAGTGATGCCGGTGCACTCCCTGAGACACTGCTCTGATTTCAGCACTGCAGAGCAACGTCGTGAGGTTTGACGGTAACAACTTGTCGTATTTTGAGAGCCAACGTGTGTCAGCATTCCACTTGATAAATCAGAGAAAGTTCTGCAGAACTGTTTGCATCTAGCCACAAGTTTCCCAGTTGTCAGTGGATGTGTGGTGTGGTCAGGTCTTGTCCTTTCTGGAAGCACCTCAGCAGGGCCTGGTCCTTGGCGTGGGTTCCCTGACCAAAACTAACCTGGGAATTATTTCCAGTTCTTCTGGTCAGGGCTGTCTTCTCTCAGCTCTTGGCTTGTATTCAAATTCATTTCTATGAGCAGTTTTATCACAGCATGGAAAGACACAGCAGTATTGAGAGCTCACTGTGCTGATGCTGCAGGTGCATGGACGTACTTTGTGGGAAGCGTTAGAGGCAGGAGTGTGCAAGAACACACTTTCACAGTTTGGGGAAAAGAAGCTGAAGAAGGAAAGAGAATGAGGAGCACCCTTGCTAGAAGTGAAACATGACATGAAGGGAAGCTGTCTGGAAGCAGGACTGACTTTTCTTTGCATCCAGTGGCATAAAAGGACCAGCCTGTCACTGGAGGTACCGACACCAAAGCACCAAATGCCAGCGTGTTTAGCTGGCTGCTGGTGCTGCAGACGAGGGGAAGTGCTGGCAGCTGCCTCCCTGCAGGACACATCCACGGTTGTGAGTGCAGTTGATTTGGTGTCTGAACTTTGCAATGTCATGCAGATTCTTTTATTTCAATGCAATCTTTACTGCTAACTGGAAGAGTGATAGAAGGCAGGAAAACAACAAAGGTCCTATGAGAAGTGCTGACTAGCAATTTCTGCTGGATTACTGTTGACATCTGAACAGTGGACCTAAAAGCCACCAACCCATCCTGAGGATAATATCCTTGTCTTCTCTCCTAACACTTTCTAATCATGTCAAGCAGCTGGTATCTCGTTCCTTCACTGCTGACCTGTGAATGCCACATCTATCACTGATGTAAAATGTACAAGTGACAGAGTATTCCCAGTAACATTTAATTAGCACGGCGAGTAAAGATTCATGAGCATTGCCAAAATGCATTAGGGGTAATATTGTGGGAAGTCTAGCTATGGGCTAAGGGATTACTCGATTGAATTGCTAGTGCACAGCTGATCTGACTATTTTAAATTATCAGAACCTAATTAAATGGAAACACACAGGCAGATAATGAATGGAGCTGTTGGCTAGAAAATCCTCCAATATTAAATCAGAAGTTTCCTTTAGGGGCAATTAAAATACAGTGAATGTATCTTAGGCTGTGTGTTAATCACTGGTATTAAAAGTGGATCTGATATTGGCCCGAGGAGGGTTTTGAAATTGAGTTTTTATTACGAAGTTGCTGGAGCCGATGCAGGGCTGTCAGACCCCCCTCTGCTCTCAGAAAGTTCCCCCGTGCGATATCTCCAGCTGCAAATGAACGCATCTGTTCTGGCCTGCATACGTGTTTTTTTAATTGCTCTTAGAAGTCACGACCTGATTACAGAATATTGACACACCCTTGGGGAACAGGGAGAAGTTTGGAATGCTCAAACAACAACAGAGTGTTTGCAGGGACCGCCTCTGTTCAGGCAGGTGCTTACAGCAGCCTCTGGAGCTCAGCAGCGCTTTCTGCAGCTGGGTCTTTATGTTGGTCATCTTTAGTGCCTGTGCTACCCAGCGGTGCAGCGAGGTGCAGCCCTGGGCTCCTGGGCAGCTGGCCCTGCCCTCTCACTGTGCGGCTCCTGAGCTCCGGGAGCAGCGCTGTTCAGAATCAGGGCTGCTCCTCATGGTCACACAGACATGTATGGGCTGTGGTTTTGGTTCCTGGCCATGTGGCCTGGCTGTGTTAATGCAGATGTTGTCCAGCTGCAGCCTGCACTTGTAAAGGCTCTGGATCCCCCAGCATCAGCGGGCTTTATTTACTGCTGTTCTAAGTGTAGCCATTTTCGCATTTAATTGGGGACAGTGATATGGATAAAACCAATAAATATCTTGGGACCAAGAGGTGATATTGGCCCGAGGACCCTGCAGGACCCTTGGAAACAAACTGACTCAGTGGTTCCTATTTGAAGGTAGATTTTCACACCTGTCGGACGGATTTTTGATTTAACGTGTGCTGTGTTCACACCATTCTGGTTTCTCCATCAAAATATCAGCACCTTCCAGAAGTCCGTTCCTCTGACGCTGTTATCCCTATTAACCACATCTGGTGGCTCAGAGATGGAAGGTTGTCTGGCAGACTCTGTTTTCTACAAAACCTTGTTGATTGCCGTTACTTATTTCCTTTCTTTCTTAATCATGTCCTGTCTCCACTATTCCATTATTTTGTTGGGACAGATGCCAGGAAGACAGGCTTATAATTATCTGGATTACCCCATTTATCCTTTCTAAATATCCTTTTCTGGAATTTTCCCATTGTTCCATGCTTCTTTTTGGGTAGGAGGGGTAGGAAAAAAGCACCAACAACTGTCCAGAAGTCTACAGCTTTTTTTTAATGTTTCAAAGCAAATATTTGGGTAAGTTGTCTTAAAAAACGAGAGGCCAAGGATCCTCTTAAATACAACCTATGATGAGGGATGTCCACAATGTGATGTTCTGCTGCTTTCCCAAAGCCTCCCCCAGGTTCATTGCTGCAAGCAAAAAATGGGAAGTTAGTGAAAACATTTGCTTTCTTGACCCAGTCTGGTTTAGTTTTCAAAGCTCATTGTAGTAACAAATGAGATACAAATTTATGGATGTAACACTAGCAAATGAATCTGTTTTGCATTGAATTTGTTTTTTCTTGCACAGGCAGCTGTCCACAGTTGCTCCTTCTCCATCTGGCTGGTTTCTGTGCACTAAAAGGCTGCCACATGTGGGGGGGTGTCTTTGCGTTCTCTCTGAATATCTGACTTTTCCTTATTGTGTTTAAACTTAAACTCAAATCCCAGATTTGAGAAAAAAAAAATCTTACCTTCCACCCTAAATGACGTCATCTTAAGTCTTCCAAATACAATTGCTGATTGCCCTTCCCCTGAACACAGTTGGTATAAAAATCTGGTAGAGTGGGTGGGCAGTGACGATATTGGATGTGAGAGTGTGGGAATGTTTCAGTGATGTTGTGACAGCTGGAAGTTGTCTTTCTCTCTTAGAGTGGTTGGTGGCTTTGAGACTCTGACTGCTATGGAGAACGTGGAAAGTGACCCGAAGACAGACCGTCCCAAGGTAGGTGGGAAGTGACAGGTGCCGTGTGGGGATAGCGAGCATCTCTGGCCCTCATGGCACGGTCACCTGAAGCAGAACCTGGGGCAGATGTTGCAATTCAGCCAGAGAGTCAGTGTTCTCCTCTTCTGCTCACAGGAGGAAATACGAATCCAGGCAACAACCGTTTTTGTTGACCCGTATGAGGAGGCAGACGCACAGGTGAGGATGGTGTTCTCTCGTCTGATAAGCCAGAGAACTTTGAAGCTCAGTGACTTCAGTTCTTGCCCCAGTTGATCCCTTGTGGAGACCATATACTTCTCCCATGCTGCTTCTTTGCACCTCCCCCTGCACGTGGAAGCCCCTGCCCGCACAGGCACAAGGTAAGGTGGAACGGCTTCTCCTTACGTTGCATGGTGCACAGGGAGCACGGCTGCTGTTGCAGCTGAGAGATCTTTGGAGCTCAGTCTGGCACGGCTCCCCTCCTCACACTTAGCAATAGCTTCCTTTCCAAATGCCCACTATGGGTGGAGGTGACAAAGAGAAGTTTTGTTGCAGTGACTGCAGACAGCAGGTTGAGGTCCTTTTCCTAAAGCCAACCCTGTTACTGCAGCAGTGCTGTTGCTGTCTTAGAGTGCTGTAGAGTTTCAAAGAACTGTAGTCATGGTCTCCTTTCTCTGGAAGTGCTGTTGTAACAGGTTGCACTCTGCTTCCCACAGGTTGCTGCAGAAAGAGAGAAAGTTCAGCTGGAAGAAGAAGCAGCCAAAACAAAAGCTGAGGTGGTCCCACTGACGAAAGATGTTCAGACTCCTAAAACTTACCGTCAGGGGATTGGAAAATACATCAACATGGCTGCAGCGTAAGTTCCCTGCCCAGCTGATCTTTGTTCAGTTTTAGTTGCCTTTCCTGCTGGATGCTGATCCTGTCCATTGTTGTTTCTTAGGGCTACCTGCTAGAGCTCTGGAACAGGCCAGATGTTTGCTTAGTGCCAGCAAAGACTCTGTCATGCAGGTGTTGGAGATCCCTCTAGTTCTTTATTTTTCAAAATTGAAAGTTATCTGAGCTTTTTTTTTTTTTTTCAGCACTTGAACATGGCTAAGTTGGTCCTCAGCAGCATATTCAGACTTCACAATTGTAGATATGTGTCCACAATGCCGAAGTCCTTTAGCAGGAACTGTACAGTCACTTCCTCCTCCATCTTTTATTCTGGTCTCTTCCCTTTCTCCAGCTATTTCTTAAGGCCACTGTCCCATGGATATCTTCTCCTTTAGCAGCTTTTCTTGAGCACAAAGAAGCTGCCTTAAATCTGCCATCAGTCTTCTGATCTGATTCCCTGTGCAGCCAATGGGTTCCCAGGCTCGCTGTGGGAGCTTCAGGGTACCTGGCAGGTTGTGCAGGCTTGTCCCAAAGCACCCTCTCCCAGATAGCCTCTGTACACCCACTGGAGTTGACAGCATCTCTTGCTTACCTAAAGACAGCACAGAATGCTGCCTCAGCTGCAGCCAAGCATCAGCCTTGGATAAATTACAGTGAATGCCTTCCACTTGATTTTTAGCAGACTTCTGTAACAGCATTTGCAAAAATACTATTGTCTGCCTACTGCATAAAGGCAGACGTGTTTGAGTGTACACAGTTTTGGACAGCAACTTAGCTTCTTTGTGCCTGTGTGACTTACAGGCATTTGCATAACTGAGAACAAAGATGTGGCAGTCCATGTAGGTCAGCTCCATGTGCATCTCAGCGAAACATTTTGATTACAAAATATTGCTTGGACCTTAAAATTTTTATGCTGAACATAATCTGTCATTCACTGTTACCAGCTGTACAGAAGGGACATTTCTTTCCTGGTCCTTCACTCATTGCAGCCTGCCTTCAGGAGGGCACAGCAGCCCTTTGGCTCAGGCTTCTCCCCGTTGGCTGCTGCTGTCTGACAATGAAACCACAGAACATGACCTGGCCATGCAGAATTTCCATGGGGCTATAAGCTCTGCTGAAGGTGAGCTGGGTGAGTGCAGCATGCCATGCACAAGGAACAGACTCAGCCAGCTGCTTTACACCCAGTTCCCCATAAATCCTTCTGCTACCACAAGCATGGATAAGAAGTGGGGGGAGCACTTATGGCTCAAACTTTCAGTGACTGTGCTAAAAAAGTGCTGCTGTTAAATCTGCTCTGACCCGGAGAACTTGCAAGGCTTTGAGCACATTCCTGGAAGTGTTCAAAGCCTGACACGAACCATCCCTGCAGACAGCCAGAAGCCCCAGCCCTGCTGTGCCAGCCCAAGGCATGCGCTCCTCTCTGATTCATAGCTGGCTCCAGTGTAGCTGCTGCAGGGAGAGGCAAGGCAGCCAGCAGCCCTGCTCCCAGGCAGTAAATAGTCCCTAAGGGGTGTTTTCATTTTGGCTCCAGGAAGCGCAGCATGGAAGATGACGGGCCCTCAACAAGCACAGCTGCAAAGAAAGAGAAAAAGAGCGCAGGCTTTGGGGACTTCAGCTCCTGGTAGCGGTGCGGAGAGCCGAGCATTGGAGCTGCACAGCAAGAAAGAAGAGGAGGCCTCCCACGTGTCCCTGAAGAGCCCGAAAGACAATCTGTCCTGGGGAGAGGGAAGGCACCAGCATTCACCGTGGAAGAAAACTGTTGCTTTGTTAAGGCTGGTTAATGTGGCTTTGTTTTCTGGAGATCTGCGTTCCCCCAACTGCATCTTTCTCGAAGGCCTTTTTGTTGTTGTTCAGCTGAGCAGGGAGCCGGCAGCACAGCTCTGCTGGGGATTAGCTGGAGCCTTTCTCTGCGTAGCCAGCAGCAGCTCAGGCAGAGCCCAGCCTTGCAGGACGCTGCCTCAGTAACAGCCGCACTGTGAAAGAGCTTCATTTACAGGTAATCATTTCCAGGCACGCCGGGTCTGCCAGATGGACTGGTGTGCTGGGAAGTGCCCGAGCTGCTGGAAGGCTCTGCAGAGGAAAGAGGGCTGCAGGCTGTCCTGCCTCTCCTTTCCAGCTGCCTTTTGTGTGTTCTCAGTAAGGACTAATTCCATCTTTTCCTCTTGCCTCCTGGCTGGACTGACTGCTGTCAGTCTCCACAGGGCCTCGCTTACTCTGAAATGAGCTGTGTCTGCACCCATGTGATCTCTCGCAGCCCGGAAAGCAGTAAGGCTGAGCAGGGAGCAGTGTGCCTGCTGCAGCAGCACTGCGTGTTCCTCTGGCAGCTGGCCTCGTTGGAGCCCCTGGGCAGCTGTGGGCTGGGCTGCCTCGCCTCAGAGCTGCCCTCTGGGTCCAGAACTGACAGCCTGGAGCAGTTGAGTGGGAACAGAAACAGCATCACAGCATTTTTTTAGCCATCCCCTAGGGCTGCTCCTTGCATTGGCATCTCAAATATTTCCTTACATAGCCACACTGTTAGGATGCTTACAAAAGGCCTTGCTGAGTGCAGAAATGCCAGCCTGGGAAATGTAACCTGTGTTACTGTGACTTACAGGTGGTGCAGTAGATCCTGAACAGGACTTTTCAGTTCACCTCGGGTGTTTTCAGAGCACAGCAGTACCCTCCCCTGCCTGGCTGAGGAGGTGGTTTTGTAGTTATCTTTGTAACCAGTGCATTGATATCAGTGGTTTAAGAGCTTAAAGTCTCCATTTATAGGAAATTGCTGTAAAATATTTTTGGTAACAAGTTTTGCAATTAAATGCTTTTATTTTCTTTTGGATACTTGTGTTTGACCCTCAGCTGTGATTTCCAGGATCACAGCATCACGGCATCGATTGTTGTGCAAGGAAATGATTCATTCCTATGTTTTATGATGCTTGTGAGGAACTCGGGGATCTTTGCGGATATGATTCCATCCTTGTTAAGCTATAGGAAGTTGACATTCATTTAAAGAATAGCAGGGGTTTTCTGCAGCGTTTTGCAGGGTACGAAGGCAGATGCAATTCCTGGAGCTGTGTGGTGCTTTCCTGCAGCTGAGCTGCTGGTGCTGGACTGCAGCTTGCTGCTTCTCCTGGGCTGGCCTCTGCCCCACAGGGATATCCATCCCTTTTATGTACCATCTGCTTCAGTGCATTTTAAAGTTGCAAAATTCAGTGTTGCTGGAGCTGTTGCAGTTTAATGAACTCCGTAAGAGTAAATGGTTTTCCATAATAGATTAGAATGGAGATTATTATGAAAGAAAGGAGCTTTTGATTACAAGGAAGTGGTGAGGTGAGGACTGCTGCCCTGCTGAGGCTGTGCCGCAGGTGCTACAAAGACGGGCTGCAAAAAGAAGTGCTCACTTTCCTGTTCTGCTGGAGGTTTCTGACAGAAGTCTGTGATCGCTGTGAGCTGCTGGCCTTGCACTGCCCACTTCATTACAGTTTCCCACTGTTGCCAACAGCCAGGAGCAGCCACCACTTCCTGCATTCCAGGAAGGCAGAGCAACCTTGGAGCTTTGCTCTAAGCAGTGGGAAGCTCCCCAGCTCAGGGCTCTGCTCTCCCAGCTGCTCCTGCCCCCACTCCTGCCCTCGCTGGCTGTTGGCTCTGCCCACCCCTGGGGCTGCAGTGTGGGCCAGCGTGGGGCACTGCAGCCCTGGGGCTCTGTTCTGGCCCCCACCTCCCTGCTCCCTCTGTCACCTGGATGTAAGCATAGCTGGTCAGTTTGTTTAGTTTTGTTTTTTACTTCAGCTTTTCTACTGATTGGCAAAACTGCAGGGACGAAGAGACAAAGCTCTCCTTAAAAGTACAAGTCAGAATGTTTGGCCGGACAGGCAGGACACGAGGTGGTGTGCAGGGCAGGGCAGTGAAGCCCTCGTGCTCACGGCTCACTGCAGGGCCATTTGCAGAGCCTCCACTACCTGAGCTGAGAAAGAGCAGAGGCTTCTCTGAGCCTTTCCTGCCCTGCAACTCCCGGGGTTCTGCAGCCAGGACCGTGCTGCAGGGGGCACCTGCCCCAGTCCTTGCTGTGTCCAAGAGACAGGCAGGAATTGGGCAGCCTTAGTGCAGAACTCCACTGCTGGATGCTGCTGTGCTGTTTGCAAGCAGATTTTTGCTCTCTTTGCTTTTGATGCGTGTGTAGTCAGTGCTCTTAGAAGAGAGAAAAGTGAGATTTTAGCATGGCTTTTGTCAGCGCTCCCACCTTCTTAGCACTGTTTGCTTAGGAGAAGGATAACGAGAGCCGTGGGCTGAGCAGGAAGGAGACTGGCAGCTGCTGGCCAGTGGCTTTTTGGCATGGCTGGGATTTTTTGTTTCCACTTTCTTTGTAAATCAGATTTATTGCAGTGGGGGATTGATCGGGCTGTGGGGCAGGGGCCAGAGGTGAGGCTGGGGCAGCAGCCACTGTATTCCATACGGTGCTGGGATGCCTACAGCAACCATAGGGATCCTGGTGCTGTGCGGGGCGGCTGAATCTTCCCTTTCACACAAAAGAAGGCTCATGAGCACTCACAGCAGCTGGAGCTGGCAGCATGCAGCTTCATGGCTCCTGAAAAGCAGCCACAGTGCGCTTGGAACACAGAGCCAGCTGTCGTCAGCCCTTCCCCCTGGAAAGCCTCCCAAGGTCTCACTTTTCTGATAGTAGATATGTTCTCTAATCTTCGGCCTCCATTTATTAATGGTTAATTATATCTATTTGCTTTTCTGCCAGCATTGTCCCTTAGCTCACATGGCTGCATTCCCTCCCAGATGCTTGCTTCCCTGCACTATTTATAGGTGGGATTGGGTCCCCTCTCTGCTGCTGTGCTTGGCTGCCTGTGCTGCGTGCCTCCCGCCCTGCCTGTGCTCCGGGAGCTTTGTGCTGGATTCGGAGAGCAGTGAGGTGGCTCCGTCCTGCGCTGTGGATCCCATGGGATGAAGTTTCTGTGTGCAGTATCCCCATGTGTGGGAGCCCCATGCACGCTCAGCAGGGCTGGGGTTGCTGCTGGTCTCCAGGAAGCACAGCCCTCTGCTAATGGTGCTGTTGCTTCATTTTGCCAATCTCCACATCCCCAGGTGGAGGCATTCTGGGGCAGTGCGAGTGGCTTCCTAGCAGCCCACCAAGGGAGCAGCTGTGTGATTTCTGTCTGTGCTTTCATCCTGTGATGAAAGAGATGATAGAAAACATTTGTTTTGACCACAAGAGCAACGGACCCCCAAGGAGGCTGCCTCCCCTGTGCTGCTGGCAGCAAATCTTCAAGATAATAAAGTGCCAGCAGGCAGAAAATACCAAATGCATCCAGGCCTCCAAGCAACTGCAAAGCATATCTTTCTCCCTAGACTTTGGCACGTGCTGCACTTTGGCCAGAGGCTCCAGCACCAAAGCCTGGTGCTGCACAGGTGAGGTGCCAGCAGAGCTGTGGGGCACGGCCGGAGCTGCACGATGGCCCCATGCATCAGGCTGCTGCATGGCTGCAGCTGGGGGATCTGCAAAAGCACTTGGGTTTTTCTATGAAAATGGCCAAATATTTTATTGCAGACATCTTCTCTGCAGATCCCAGCCAGGCTTTTAATAGATGGGTTCCTCGCCAGCGGCAACTGCAAATTGATTGCAGCAGAAGGGCAAGTGAAGACAAATATAGAGCCGGCTGCCTACAGGGAGCGCGCAGAAGGAACTTCGGATGCTATTTTTGGTGCTTCATCTCCAACTGCTTACAGTATTTCTGGTCTTTGCTTTTCCTTAAGAACACATTTTGGGTTGGGATTTTTCTTTGTCTGTGTGTGTGTGTGTAGGAGAAAACCCTCCATGCTCCACAGAAGGCTTTTTCAGCTTTTCCACGCTCCGTGGCCCTGGCCTAAGGAGTAAAGTGAGGGGTGAGCGCAGAAACCAGGGTGTCTGCTGCCCTGATCTGTGCTGGGGAACCCGCACTGTTTGCTGGGCACTGGAGGACCCTTTAGGGCTGTGGAACTGAGTCTGTGCCTGCTGCTGTGACCTGCACAGCCTGACGGGCACATCCCAGCCACAGATGCTCTTTGCCATCGCTTTACACCTCTGTGCTTGTGCAAACCCTGTTCTGCCTTCATTTCATTGAGCTGCAATCTGGCATTGCAGAGTCTTTTTTGCATGTTTGCCTCCAAATAACACAAAGGGCTCAGCTTCACCAGCATGCTGTTGGGTACTGACCTTAAAAATAGAGATAGCAAAAACAGAAAGCGAGGGGCTCAGCAGAGGATTGCGTTTAGCACGGGGGTTGTGCACCCCATTTGCTTAAAGCTCTCATTTCTATTGCCCCAGCCGTGGGGCTCCCCTGCAGAGGCACAGTCCACACGCTGCACAGTCGTGTCGGCTACCGGCCCCCCCCCCCAGAGCCCCCTCCTCAGAGCTGTGCAGGGGGGTCAGCCCCCCAGCACCCTTGAGGCTGTGTGCCTCTGGAGTGCAGGAGGTTGTGACCGTGATCAAAGTCCTTGGCGCAGGTCTGGGCTCAGCCCTCACAGATGGGTTTCTGGGCCAGGGAGGCAAAGGTGAGGGTCGCGCTGGGAGCTGCAGGCCGGCGCGTTCCTTGTGAGGCAAACAGGGCTGCCTGGCACAGGGCCGGCACCGCTGTCTTGTGTCAGAGGCTGGGAACCAGCACAGTGCCCAGGGTAAACAATTCCTGCAAAATTCCCGTCCTGAGGTGCAGTGTGGTGCAGTGTGTGTGCCCCAGCTGCGCTGCTTTACACTTCTCTGTGGCCTTTCCATCAGTGGGGACGGCTGTTTCCTGGCACCGACTGCACAGGCGGCGAGGTCCGATGTCAGCCCTCGTCCCCATAGCTGCTTTTGGAATCTGTCCTGGCACTTCTGGAGCAGCACAACAGGGCTGTGGGGCCGGGAGCTGTGTTATTATTGGCAACTTCTATCTCTTCTCTGGGCTGAACACCTGCAGCTCTCAACCCGTTTCCCTAGCAGAAGTGCTCCAACCTCTGAGCATCCCCATGCCCTCCTCTGATCCCCTGCAGCCCCACATCCTAGCAGGCAGGGCACAGCTCAGGCCAGGCAGGCCCCTGCAGTGTGGCTGTGGCTGTGTGCTCCCAGGCTCTGTGCCCGGTGCCTGCAGCCATTGCACAGCCACATATTACATGTTTGAGCTGTGAAACACTGCACACATGGAGATAATCATTAACTGGAGGAGCTGTTAACCTTCAGCGAGGGCTGGGCTGCCAGGGAGCACTGCCAGAGCAAAGTCTGCTTTTTAGTAAACAGTGAAAGAATGCTGCAAAACATTTTTGTTTCTGTGTTATGGGTAGGCAATTACAGGGCATTAATTTGTGTCTGCAACCTCTGTGCTGCAAGAACCAGAAGACAGGGAGGGGAAGTTACAGTGACACAAACTGCATCTGGTGTGTCAGCCTGGAGCACAGAGCACGGCCTCACTGCAGGGCTGCAGCTCACACACACAAACCTTCTGCCACAAAGCACCGTATTTAGACCTGAATGGAGGCAGTGGCTCAGCAACAGGGGAGCAGCAAGAACTGCCTGCACTGCCAACAGCTCAGGGCAGGGCGACAACAGGCAAGCACAGCAACCTCGTGCTGCTTTGGATCTCACATCACGTGGGGAATTCAGGAAGGAGGAAGAAAGGGAAGGAAAATGCAAGCAGAAGCAGATTCATAGCTGTATCTGTTCTACCTAGTGAGGAAGTGGAGCGTGCCACAAGCCCATCAAAACAGTGCTGACTTGACCATCAGTGGGAAACAGACAACTAATTCAGGCCTGTAAGGACATTAACAGTAGAAGCAGAGCAGAGGCAAGCTGGGCTGTGATTTCCTTGGGCAGCTCAGGCCAGGGCACTGTAAGAAAGAGCACAGTGACCTCAGGGAAAGCACTGCTCCTCCCAGCACAGCCCCTGGCTGGCCACCCCACACCAGGCACCATAACACACCAGGCACCATAAAGCAGTGCATGGAGACAGATGGACTGTGGGGAGCTAATCCTTGGGAGACTTCTTTCTAACTGATCTGTGCTTGCACACCATCAGCAGGACAGGCTGCAGAAGCACGGAGCTCTGCACTCACCCCCAGCTCTCAGCAGCACATGGTTTACATCTGCAACCCCTTTCCTAGATGTAGCAATCTGCCCAGGCCCTATTGCAAAATCAGATCATCTCACCCTTGGCAGCCCCACTCTGTGTCACAAGATCCCTGGCTTTACTGGGTTTTTAATTTTGAAAAGCAGTGTTTGCACAGCCAGTGCACAGAACCCCCTCTTACTTTTTTCACTCCAAAAGTGTTGCACCCTGGGAGAGTATTGGTTTTTTTGTGATACAGTAGTAAATTTTAAATCACCTTTACTGCAGAATACAGCTTGTTTGACTTCTCTTTTAAGCAAACACAACTTGAGCCACGATTCAGGCAAAGCTGGCTATTAATGCCATTCACTCCCCAGCGCAAAGCACAAAACCAGAAGCATTCAGCAGCCAGAAACACACCTCCATTGTTCTCCCACTGAAAGGATGCGCTTTCATCCTGGCAGCACAGCAGCAGCACTGTGTGCAGGTGCACTCCTGCTCCTAGGGACAAAGAACCAACAGGATGACTTAAAGCAAGCCACTGTGCGCTGAGTAATGGGCACGGCCAAACTCAAAGATGCTTTTGTTGTACTCTTCTCCTATAACCATAACTGTGTTCTGCAGTAAGAGACAAGGCTGCCGGCATCTTCGAGTACATTGCACTGAACAGAAGGGTTAGCAGAATAAATCCATCCAACCACCAAAGTTTTGTGTGTGCGCCACATGGACCATACAGACAAAGAAGACATTTTCTTTCCAGAAGCTCATCCAACAACATTGGACTGCCATCAGCTCCTGGGCCCAGCCTGGGAGGTTTTGCTTAGACATTATTTCAGAAAACCAAGTTAACTTACTTCAGGTGTAAAGCAAAGCAGAAGGATCATTTCTATGTGAGTCATACAGGTGCCATGAATGTTAAAACAGATTTGCGCCCTTCTTTATGGTAAAAGCTGAGGAGCCATGCTGTGATGGAATTTGCATATATAAAAAAAATGACAGCATGCAAACTCCATTCTGAATGAAGGACTAGCTGCTGTCAGTGCACAGAAATGAGTGAGGCAGAACCTCAGACTAGCTCAGCCTTTACTAGTGAAGGCTCAGTCATATGGCTCAGCAGAGCTTCATCACGGCCAGGAAACCACATGGTGCAGCACCAGCTGACTGCAGCCACTGGCTGTGCTCAGGTCCTCAACGCTGCACCAGCTGGGACAGCCAAGGAGAGGTGGAGAAAGGGACGAAAATGGAAGGAGCCTCATGTGGACAGAGCTGTCTCACCAGGGCCCTACTTAGAGGTTAAGCTGAGCTCCAGCTGTGACCTCCTTCCCTTGTCAGCCAACCACAATTGGCAATGAGACCCACGCATGTCACACCGCAGTGCTACATGCTTAAAACTACAGCAACTGCATGGAGAGCCCTCAACCAGAACAGGTATTCACTTACCTACATTTAGGAGACAAAAAGATCTTCTTATGGAAGATTCCCAACTCCTAGACAAGGCATCTGCCCACTGCTATCCATCTCAAGATGTTTTCCAGCTGGCAAGAGACACAACTGGAGTTCACAGTTCCAGAATTCTTCCTGCAATCTAATGGCTGTCAGGCAGTTTTCCTCACGATGGAAATAGCATGTTTGATCTCTCATTGGAGCATCCCCTTTCACTTTTGTGAGGCAAAGCAGTGGATTACTGCAGAGTCACTGAATAAGCCCACACTGAATTACTTCATTCCCCACCTCAGTCTACAGGGCTCACACTTATGCAGTCTTGCCAGCGCTCAGTAATCGCTGCACGCTCAGCTAACCAAATAAAAACCTGACTCCCCCTCCCCATCCCACACCTCGTGGCTAACAAGTTCTGACTTCATTGAAAGGATCCAAATTCAAACCACCGTTTTGTATTTACATTCTACAGACTCTACTGATTGACCACCCTAAAATAATCCATGGATCACAGCCGCACCATTCGGCTTGCCTTGGAGTTAGCAGAACTCCCAGGAACATTTCATTAACACTTCAGCTTCTCTCTCACACACTCACACACACACAGGACTCATGCAAGCAGGCAAGTCTCATGCAAAGCATTTCCTTTGAAGTCATTTCTACTTAGCTGATCTAAAGCAATTAAGGACAATCCTACACCTGCATTATACAGGAAAGTAACCAAATCACTGCAATAGCCCCTTGCTACAATATTGAGAAGTTTTTAAAATTAGTCTTTCAAATTAATAAAGACAACTGTGAAGATAAATATGACCATCTGATTAATCTTTAGAAGAAAACATTGCCTTACATAGCCTTACCATTCACTAAACCCCATGAGCGCCGCAGACTGGACTTAATGGGATACACAAGGTGGGGAGAAGAGTGATCACTGGGATACACTGTGGGGATAGGCAGAGAATTTCAGAGCACGCTGTCCTTGCGGAATCTGTTTCAAAGCACGTGGAGGACAGGAAGGTAACCAGGAATCATCCACACTGCCTTAAGGAAGGACCACACCTGACCAGCCTCTGCTGCGGCGATGAACCGAATGCCTCGGTGGAGTGGCTGATGCAATACACTTCACTTTTAGTGAGGCTGTTGATACTGCTTTCCATAGCATTCCACAGAATGTTACAGCTGGGTAAGTGGACTGCTGGACTGAGAACTGAGGAGGCTTCCAAGCTCTATCAGTAGTAATCGATAGCTCGATGTCCAACACGCAGCTGGTGACGAGCACAGCACCTTCAAGATCAATACAGAGGCTGTTTAAAATCCCCATTAATGACCAGTCAACACATCCTACTTATCTACTCAAAAGTGGGTGGGTCTTCCACAAACACATGAGAAAACTGTTTATGCAATTACAGGAACTGGAGAAGTTCCTCCCAGCCAAAGCAGAGAGGAACAGACCGAATGCCTGTGCTCAGAGTTCCGCTCTGCTCTCCAGGTGACCAAGGTAACCAAACAGAAAGCACAGCCACCCTTCCTCCAGCTTCTGACAGTTGCTGTTGGAGCGTGCAGGCTGATTCTCCCTTTAAAAGCACTTTGTTTTCATGAGGTTCATGGATTAGCTTTAACCATGCTGGAGCTCTCAAGTAGGAAAGCATCTCAACTCTGTTTTGGAAAGATTAGCAAAAGGAAAAAATCCACACATTTAGTGACAGTCTTACAAGTATGTACTTAGTCAGGTTCAACCCATGCCCAGAAGTTTTTTGAGCAACTAAGAGCACTGGCTTTCCTCTCTGCCATTATCAGAGAAAAAAAAACACAAGAACCTAAACCAAAATAAGAGCACAAAAAACAGCGAGCAACTCAACAAAACAATTGAAAGCTTTTATTGTGATACCTCAAGATACAATATAGTGAAACAACAAATGATGTACAGTATTGCTAGGACAAAACAGCAACACAGCCATGTCACCTGTAAAAGAAAGCATTGTAAGGAGTTTGAGGAACAGTGAGGCACAACTCAGCGCCGCCTGATGACTCATGCTTTAGGGCTGAAACCATTTCTAACAGTCCTTTTAGAAGGAACCTCTGAAGCCTCCGTTCCTTTTACAGAAGCGTTCCGACCGCTCGTTGGCTTAACATGAGTCTAAATGAAGTACAATAGAATGTCCAAAAAGTTTAACAACAATTTGTCAGCTTCTTCCGCTCATCTCCATCAGCAAAGAATGGAGCTGTCAGAAGTCGGTCTGTGACTCTCCAGGGCGCTGCTGTTGCCATCTGACTGCAGAGATGAGCGTGCAGAAAAAGCTCTGTACAAGCACTACTCAGAGGAAGCATTACGTGCACCAGAGATGGGACACAGCATTAAGGAACTCCTGCACTCCTGGTACACTGCTAAGAGCTACAGATGACCGTTTGGTTTGTGGGCACAGCGATGACTTTGCCAGCACTTCTGAGATCAGACCTAAATTTAAAGAAATCTCATGAGTCGTACTCCCTCTGTACTCCTGCAGATTCCTGGAGACTGCAAGCATGCGGGCACACCGCTCACACTGACAACTGTACTAGGCCTTGCTCGTGTGAAGCTAAGATTGAATTAAGCACAGTTAATACAGTTTGTCATTGTACAGCTTGCAACGAGTGAAAGAGAGCCATTTGAAGTGGCACATAAAATTTAGATGAGTAAATCGCTAAGAGCACGCAGCAATAGTGGTTAGACTGATGGGCTGGCAATCCCTCACTACATTCTGCAGCTTAAGTCACAGCAAGTTTGCAATTTAACTGAAATTTTTGCCCTTCCTTAATCAAAAAGGTGGGTAGGGTGACCAGAGAGTAGTTCTGGTGTTCAGAGTCAGTCCTGGAACACCTTTGTTCCAGCCATTACTTTGGACCAGGTCTGGAAGCGTGGTCACAGCACAGTCATGTGAAATAATGATTAATTACTTTCTGACAGACACAGCTTGAACATTTCAGAGGAAGAAAGCTTTCAATACATGTACGTTTCTGCTAGCAAATTCCTATGCATCCCAATGAACATTTCTTCTAAGCCAGCTCATAGTCAGTTCATTTGGTCCAAGAAAGAGCCAGCAAGAATCAAAGGTTCACAAAAGCTTTTTGTTACAGTTTGTAAAAAACAAAATACAAAATAAATGTTAAGACCAACAATAAAAATAACCAGTACAAGTAACAAAAGTGCTCAAGTTGGAGGGGAAGTAAACTTGCTGAGAGCGAACACATACAAACTTTAAATATAATCTTCAATATATTACAAAAATTGGTTAGAGGGGAAATGCTTTAGTAAAATGTTTTTTCAAGTAAGTTTATTTTTCTGTCAAATGACTGCTGGAGGGTTCAGTGACCAGACTGACCTCTTCACATCAGCCAGCAGCCATTGCTATCTGGATCCTACTTTCACCAAAACCAATAACAAGAACACTCTACATCTTTACCAGGGGAGAAAATAATCACTGACATTGCCCAAGCAACACAAGAAGAAAAATTCACGTATTCTCTCAATAGAATGAATCTAACCAACCGTTACATGGCAGCATGAAATAGCAATTCTGTGTTAGTTCTACTCCTTCTAAGCGTCCACTCTTAAAAGACCAAAAAGAATATTGCTTTGTTTGGTTCTCTTAAAAGCCATAAAAGTCACATTTATATCATTAACTCTTTGTGCCAGTAGTCTGAAGCTCTATGTGCTAAAAGCACTTGATGAAGTCTCAACCTTTGGCATCAAAGTTAATTAAGGTTTTGGTGAAAATGTCCAGTTGAAAATATAAATAATGCACTGAAGAAAGAGGTTGAATTTCTAAACAAGAATCGGACTGTATTACAGACAGGATTAACTAAGAGAGCCAACCCCCCGATTTTATAGAGAAAAATCTTTAATACTTTACATACTTTCTCTAATTTCAACTCTCTACTGAAAAGCAGCTATTTCTTTTGTCTTCAGTCCAGTGTACTTCAACAAGCCTGTAGCCAGGAAATACAAGAAGCTCAGAGATGCACAAACTTCACACAAGCGCCTTCACAACTGTTAACCTTACAACTGGACTTTGAAGCCAACACAAACTTCTGCAGATAAAAATTTTAGTGCTTCTTTTGTTGCTGTTGGCAACGTACATTACAATGGAGGAAAAAAGTCTCAAGAAATCTCAAGAACTCCAAGTCAAAAACATCAAGAAACAGGCAACACCAAAGTCCATCTCGCATCAAAGACACTGTTAAAGTTAGACTTTGAAGCCTGCCCTTATTTGTGAACATGAAGTAGCAACAAGCCAGCCACGAGATCCAGGTAGATCATACCACCTCAGGGCTCTGGACTGAAACCCCACAGCTTCAACTACTTCTCTAATTTTTACACTGTTAACTCACAGGTGTAGATCATTACAATGTCTTGAATGCAGTTTAGCCAGCCTGCAGAGAATGTTTACGCATGGGAGAACTCCCTTCTCACTCCTCTCCACAAGGACTGGAAGGCTGGTTTTGAAGATGTGTATTGCCCCTACCCACTGGCGTATTTTTTCATGCATGACAAAATTCCTAAAGTGCAGCAGAATTCAGAAAGCCTATCAGAGATTCCCAAAAACATAACAGCAGCCATGGCACCTAGGACTAAACTGTGCAGGAGCCATATTAGAAATGTTTTTGAAAGACAATGATTTTGTATTGCAAGGCTTCTGTCTTGTTCAGGCCTAGTCTTCACGTAGTGTTAGAAGATTTTTTCCCCAAACTTGTTGTCCACAAGCATTAAGAGGATTAAAATTCAAACGGTCTTCAGAGACTGCTCAGTTTGAAACAAAGTCAGCAAATTTACGTAGAGCATTTCTTTAAAAGTTGAGAATGTGCATGCACAAACACCAACATCTACTATCATACATACACCTTCTAGGAGATTCTCTTATTAACTCATTCCAGTTAAGAAACAGTGGGAGATCAAAAGAGAAGGTAAGTTTCATATAAATTTTTATTATAAAAATGTACTTGGGGATGATTTAGCCAGCAAACCAAGAAACCCCTTCCCCCCTGCCCTCAAATTTTAAAAACTACCTTGTTAATTTATTTTATGAAAAAATGAGTCAAACTCCCCTTCCCTCCTATTACCATCTCTTTCTACATGCAGTATACTAATTTTCATCTCATAGGCTCTGACCATTTCTCATAAAAATAAATATTTTTGTTCAAATGTAGCAGAAGAATACTTCAACGAGTTTCCTTGATATCAACCTCTTTGTCCAGTGCATTAGGACTACACAGTTACATGGAACCAGCCATAGAACTCTACCAATGCACAAGTCCCTGTTACTGGCAAAGGTACAGTACCAATTTTTTTTTTAATACACCAACTAATTTTTTCCCAAAATAGAAGATGCATATATTTTTCTGTTTTTTTTTTTTGTTTTTTTTTTTTTTTTAAATCTTGCAAGCTACACTTTATAAACTTCCTATCCTGGAAACTCCTCAGGGGATGTGTTGGTCTGAGTTGAACATGTTCTACAGCATTATTGATTTAAAATCCTTCTAAGGTATTCCATTAAGGTACCAAGCCTCTAGCATTACTCATCCTAACAACTTAAGATCTGCTAATTTCAGTCAGTGCAATTGAAATATTTTTAAACTGAGCACTGTACCTTTAACCAACTCACCTACAAGATGTACTCAGGTTGTGGTACACTCAAATTTTAAAAAGAAATTAGTAACTACAATACTGCATCCCCTTCTCTGCCAAATACATCAGAAATTGCTACATATAAGAAATTTGCACCCCATCCCATACATTCTTTCAGACATCTCAGATATAGAACTTCTATAGGATCGGAGTGTAGGTGTTTAGGCAAGGAGCATGCACAGCAGAAGGTAGCATTAAAGGCATAAGTCAAAGACAGATGCTAACCAGTAAAATCCATTTTCAATTAGTGAACTGTTTCTCTAGTTTGAGAGAGTTTAGAAAAAGGTCATCCAAAATGTTCCAAAACAACTGTTCACACGATAATACACGTACAAAAAAAGGGAACTTACACAAGGAGAAAAGGCAAACATGGCCTGAAATAGCCACTTACACTACACTACTCATTTGTGAGGTTTCAGAGTTCAGTGATACTCTCAGGGCCACTCAAGCCAAGCTCTTCCTTTACTTTGCATTAGTCTTTGTAAAACACGTTCCACAGAGCATTGTCCAAACAGAAGGAAAAAGGCTCACTCCCAGCCATTGTCTTTTATCATGTGGGCAAGCTCAATGATGAATTTTCCTTCTTTGTATTTCTGACTACTCTCAAAAGCATGTTCCTAGACAGGAAGAAAAAAATAAAATCAAGATATGAAAATAAGTTGGGGAAATACAGCATTTAAACATCAAATTTGCATTAAAAACACAAGTTAGATAGACAACTTCAAAAATGCAAGTTTTTTCTCTGTATTTATTCTCTCCTTCCTGTGTGAACTACAAGTTTTCCAAGTGGTGACTTCTTGTTCTTGTTTTGCATTTATTTCTAGACACATCCTTACCTCTACATCTTAAAGTCACAGCATGAGGTTAATTATTAGGATTCTAATGAAATGTATTTTCTGATATCTACACACAGCATCCATAATCTAACATTATCCGTGTTTTCTGTGTTACAGAACGTTCCAATGTCAGAATCAAGATCACATTAGTTGTGAGGAACAAAAAGTTTGCTACCATTATCACAATTGATGTTTTTGCTGTATGAACCAACTTTTGAAATCAAGACAATTAAGACCCATTTTGTCAATTTCTTCCATCTGTTTTAGAATATACTGTGTCTGTATGTCTGTAACAATGGAAAGAAGCTATTACAGAAGTACTGCATAGCTGTAATGACACTGATACCTCATGGTAGTTCTGCTGTCATCCAAGTAGTTATCTGTTGCAACGTTCCAGTAGACGTAAGGAAGCAAAACTACATTATTGTCAGCTGTGTGTGAAAAGTAACATCAGCTAAACTATCACTAATATCTAGGCTGCTCAAGTACTTGTGTTTGAACTGAGCAAAGCCAGAAATATATTGCTTACATATTTCCATCCAAGAGTGGTTTTACAGTTTTCACAATAGATATCTGCCACGGCATGTAAACCTGTCAGAAGAACTCTCTCTTCTGCTGGACCACAGCCCACGTTTACCCTGGGAAGAAAAAATAAAGAGAAATGATTCTACATTAACTGCACGAGAGCACTTTTCTTATCTGCCACTCCCCTTTTCTCCAGAAGACAAAAATGATGTTTGAGTTTTGATTTCTGTTTTTCAAGTTATTTGCCTAAACATCACACTGCTAGTTATGCCCACTTACTCCATCAGCAACATGCTAAATAGCAAAACCTTTTAAGAAAGAACAGAAAGCAGTAACTGAAGACCCCTCTGGTTTTGTGCTTTTCTTCAGAAAAGAATGTGTGACCTCAACACTGATAGTTTGCATCAATACATCAGCACCAGTATCTGAATTGAGAACAAACTCCAAAACAGCAGCAAGGAAAGAGTCTCAAAATCTCCTTGCCACAGAGCAGCAGACTGAGTCATGATGAACAGACAGAGCTACAAAAACAAATTATCCCATGAAGTACTGCATCAAAATACTTCTTCATGAATATGAGTCTATGCAGAAAAGATCAGGCAAGACTAAACCAAGCTTTCAGATACTATTATAGTAGGACAAAACATTGCCATTTTTGCTGTTCTATTATCAGTCACAGTCTGAAGCCTTCGCTAAACAACTACAAATAAGAAGGAGTTTGCAGTTATAGTTCCATTATCCTGACCTAAAATAGACCAAGCATTTCTTTTTCCAAAAATGCTGTAACACAATCAGCTCTATAAAAACAAAAATTCAATCTGGTGTACTATATACTTCAAATACATCCATTAGCAAATTCAAAGAATCAGCCTTATCTTATGATAAGGGTGCATCCTAAAACTGCCAAATTGCAGATACCTTTGGCCTCTAGCAGGTTTGCAATATTCAAGGTCACTTACGATGTACAAAGTATACTGGAACATTAACCTGTAAGCACATCTATCACAGGAGACAGAAAATGTTAGACAGCAAAGTTGTCCAAAATAAACTCAGAGTCATGCAATACTTCTTGACTTGTGGATTATCTCAGAATGGCAACTTTTGCTCAATATGCTAGCCTTACTCACACAAAAGGAACTTCGCTTTAACTCTGTTCCCTAAACTCTCAGCTATTAGCAGGACTACTTAAACTATAAGAAATATCTGCTTTGGAGTACTTATCAGCTCAGTGGCTCTTTAATAACCATTGCTAGTGAGAAAAAAAACTTCTAAAAAAGAACAGGACAAAGTGAACTTACGCAAATTACTATTGTTTTCTGCTTATGAAGCATACAAAAAAAATACTGTCTGTAGGTAATGTGCATAACTGTAACATACTTACACAGAATTAAAGAGGTAGGCTCGTCCCTGGCTTCCCTGGAAGGACTGCATTTAAAAAAGAAGAAATTGGATTTGTTAAAGAAAAAACAGTAGTACTGAGCTGCTTTAAAAAGAAAAAAAAAGAACCTTCTCCCTCTTCCCTCCCCCCCCCAGTTTTCTTTACCTAACCTAGTATATCAAAGAAAGTTAATCATTTTCTCCACATTTGTTCTGAAATGCTTCAAAAATCCTTGAAGTGTTAGTATTGAAGATCAAAGAGCAAGTCTTCTGAAAGCCACAGTATAGCAACATGGAAAGTTTTGGAAACAAAATCTACTTTGAGTATTTGGTTGTAGTAACAGAAGGCAAAAGCCATAGGCAGAATGTCCATCCTGCAACGGATGCCTCCTCTGACACTTATTTACAGTGACACAACCAGAAGGTATCTGACATCAAACCAGATGATTCTGTGCTAATTTAATGATCAGCAACACACCAGCAACTGTCACATCTTGACCACTTACTCAGAACACTGCACAGAAAAAAGTGAATGGGAAAACTGCACACAAAAGAGCTAAGTGCTCAGCTGAAGCCATACTACACACAGCACCAAAGGAAACCACCACTGTGACTCCTGCCGCAGCACCAGCAGCAGTGCAGTTACAAACAGATTTTAGCTACCCATAAAATCTCCCTTTAGAATGAGAAATTCTACTGAGCAGCTTGCAGTGCTAATATTTAACTAGTTAAAGTCAAGGAAATCTCAATTATTTGGAAAATTGATATTTTTTTTTATTTAATCCACAGCAAAGATGAAAGAAAAGGTACACTGTCCAACATCCAGAATTGCAAGTCTGGCTTTTCACAAAGTGCGAGGGAAAAAAAGGAGGTCAGTGCCATGCAGTGAAAGGTAAAACTTGAGGTACGACTGATTCTGAAAGGAGAGACTGCTGAGGACAGCCTGCACGGCTCTGCCAGAAAGTAATCCTTACACCTCCATTAAGAACAAAACACACCACTGCCCCGAGTGCTTAAAAACTTGAAACTGGCAGAATGGTGCAGATCCTACAGTCTGTGGCTTCCACAGAATAAGCAGCACTCAAATTTAGAGCCACATCTCACGATCAGTGAAGAAACGAAGCATGCTTACTGCAGATGAAAACAGAATCTATTGACATATACACTATTAAAAAAGCTTTGCTAACAAAGGAGGAACCATTCTGAGTCAGCTTCAAGCCAAGTCAGAAAAAACTGCAGTTGAGCAATCAGAATTTTCTTATAAAGCAAACAAAATACTTTGAAGGTCCTCCTAACCGTGAAGAACTAAACCTGCACGAGAACCTAGAATCATAGAGTTTCCTTGTTTCACACATCTGAAATTAAAGAAACTTTCAGAACCTTTTCCTAACTGCATTTCACTTGAAGCCTTCTCTGAAACCAGAGGACAGCTACACACTGAACGATGACCATTATTTTTCCCCATTAAGACACTGTACAAATTCAGCTGTTAGGAAGTTGCAGCTATTTCTCCTTCCTTCATAATGCACTGTTGTTTGGGTTTTTTTAATTACAATTTAAAATGTTCTCCAAATTACTCCAGAATCAAATATACTCCCCAGTCAAATGAACCACATTCTTTGCCTCCTGCAGCACCGTAACTTGCCTCTGTTTACATGTTTGCAATTGGTGTGTGTGAAATTACAAGTTGATCTTTTGTTTGGCTGGTCCTACAGAATCACACCCTGAACTACACATACTGTGCTTGAAGGTCCCCAGCTAGCTGCTAAAGAAAAGAAAAAAGGCTCCAAAACAAATTAACAGCCAGGAGACCTTTCATATTCTGTTTTTCTGCCAAGTTTGTGTTTAGTCTTGACTTAGTATGACTTAGCATCACCTAATAAACACTCTCCTGACCCTGCATTTCTCAAAATGAAACGGAGGACAGCAGTAACATGCCAGGAATAGCAGAAAAGCAGCCCTTCCCCTCTTCTTCCATATACTGCAGAAAATCAAGAAAAATACAAACTGTGAGGTTAAAAGTGTTTTGTTCTTTTATTCTGATGTATTTTTCAAAATATTTTTTTTCTTTTTTTTTTTAACCCTAAGCACACCGTACTCTTCCAGGCTTTTCCCCTTCCCTCACAGACAGCCATTTTCTTCACTGTCTAATTTTCTGGATGATGCATTTTTCTGAAGGAAGATAAAACAGAACTTTTCCCCATGACAGCAGTTCTAGAAAAGAAAACTCCATTGTGAGAAGCTCCTCCATTCCCACCTTCTCTTAGTCTCCTGTTAGCAGAGTCTGGGTGAAGGACTGATACCATCTTTCTCACCTGTATACGTGATTAGTCTAAATTCAGTATTTACATGCCACAGAACTGTTTTGCTGTCCAGCCAGAAGAGTGAGTTACTCCACCTTCACATAAGTAGGAGATGACTTGGAACAACTTGTGACAGCTTGCTTTGCTGTGTTCTCAAACAAAACTTGGGTATGATAATTCACAACGGTCTTCCCCTAAAATCAGTGTCCTACCACAAGATCAATGTGCCCCTGAGCATTCAGTGCTCTGCAGTCCATCCATGCAGAACTTTTATACGCTGACTAAAGTAAGAGCACTGGAAAGATACAGGTCTTGAAACTCCTGGGCCTTGTCATTTTTCTAATCCATTTCTCCATTTGTCAGAGCTGGGCTATCACACTTTTCTGTTCACATGGATAGCTAAGGAGTTGTTTTTACTGAAAGCTGTGTTCAAGCATCACAGAAAGGCACACATCTGCCACATAACATACACCTGACCAGACAGTACTGGTGAACAAAGAGGGTTCCCACCCACTAACGGGCATAAGAAAGATTTATGATCAGAATTCTACCTCTTGATGCATCCTATTAGTAGAAGTAAGAACAATTCACAGTGGCAGCTGAACTGCTTGCTAAGCTTGTAACCTGGCTAAAAACAGAGTATTTTGCATAAACAGACATTTTATTCTGCACAAACATTTGTTTTCATCAGCATCAAGTTTCTCACACTCAGCACTGTACAGTTTATACTGATATGAATGGTAAGAGGCTGACAGGTTAAGCACCTCATGTGTCAGCTCCGCCAAGCAAATGGAAGAGAAGGGAGCACCTTAAATGGCAGTGCAAGGACTAGCAGGCACAACTGTTCCAGCCAGACCCCAGACAAACCGCTCTTCTACAGAGTAAACATCACCTATGCAAATGCAGACCTCGAAATACCTCTTCAGCACTTCCTGGACTACCGCACAGAAATCCTAACAAAGCAGAATGCTCTATTAGAACTGTCGTTATCCTGAGTATGTGTCTCACCCAGAAGAGATGAATTAGAAGACAGCAGCAGGTGTGATCAGCTGGTATCAGTGACAACTCAGAGCAACCAGAGTTGTTACTTACAAGCTGGGCAATTTACCAGTTTAACCAAATTTCTCATTTAAAACAAATCCACTCTGCATCTGGCTTTTGATGGTCCTCAATTAATAGCACAGCATTGATTTAATGAGTTGCTTCTACCCTAGAAAATTGACATCTGTTTAGTTCTACAGGCAGGTCTGTAAGAGCATTAACCTTCTATTTCAGCTAAGCTGAAAGTATCTACAATGTATGATATCATAAGAAAAACTGTGCTTAGGAACTACATTAAGGTCAACTGTAACAACTGTTTGGTATTATGACCTTTTTAAGTCATTTATCACAAGTGTTATCAATTCATTTTATAGTAAAGAAGGTTTAGAAATGCTTTTGCTTGCACACGGGTACATACCTGCAGAAATAGGTACAAGCTATGCTTCTAAGTTAAACAATAATTAGCTCTAACAGCAGGATTAGCTGCTTTACCCAGGAGAAAAGGAACTACCAGTTAAACAGAACATGCATTTATTGCCCTAAGGCATACCTAGGAGCATGGGTGGGGGAAGGGAAGCTACTAAAAAGCTCATAATGTAATTAATCATTCCTTGCAGACAGAATTAGATTAGATGCTCCACTGAAAATATCTAAACTGCTACCTTTGCGTGTATTAAAAGGCATGGCAGGCAGTAGCAAAAGCCAGAGAGAACAGCACAAGCAGTGCCTTCCTTAAGCAAAGCTTGCAAGCTAACCATAACACTGAAAAAAAGAAACTAACGAACAGCAAGAAGGTTTGTTTGTGCCTCATTTGGAAGGGTTTCCTTTCATTTGCTGGATTTCACTTCACAAGTGAAGACAGATCAACCCCCATTACTATATCAAACATACACAAGTCAAATAATTACTACTCAGTTATCAAGACAGTATCCTTGGCACACACCAGAAACGTGCAAGTGCTCTGATACCTGAAGCTGTCTTCTCAGTATCAGGCACTACAGACTGCAGTGATCTTTTGCCACTTCGGGCTTTTCAAAGAAAATGATGCAACATAAGACACAGATTAAACAATTATCAAGGCAAAAAAAAGATTTGCTCCATTTGCTTCATATTTCTCTCAGATCCATCTCTGCAATATTGCCGATGAGACAGTGCTGTTCAGCTACTTGCCAGGCAAGCCCTGAATGATTCCATGACAGTGTGATGTTAAAGAAGCCAGGATTAAATTAGAATCCTCATCTAAAAGTTCCCAGATCTATTGGAGCAAGTTTTTAGAAAGATATCCACATGCTTTTGATTTCAAGTTTTAAGTATTTGAAGTTATTTTTAAAGCTGTAACATCAGGACATTTGATACTCAGCATTCTCCTGACCCAGGCTCTCAAGCCACTGGAGGCAGCCAATGCGTGCAGTAACTGCAGCAGTTCAGTCAGCATACAAAAACCTGAAGTCCACTGAAAGAAGAGCTTCCTATTAAATGTGCTTAGAAATACATTTAGAAGATGAATCTATATCTTAAGAGATACAGCTAGCAAAGTTGATTCTTCCTGTAGGCATCTGAAATTCAAGAATAATGCAAGCCCTCCCTACTATTTTTTGGTGAATAATAAAGCTTGTAGGTTAGAGTCAAGACAAGATACAAACAAGTGGAATTCAAACATCCATATTACTGTCTGCAAATTCCCCACGTTTTCACTGATCCTAAAAAGAAATAAGAACTACCACTACAGAAAAACCTATTTCATACAGTTTCCTCATACTATTTAAGACAAGGAGCCAGCTCACTGTTTCTTATTCAAGAAGTTAAATTCGCAGTTCTGTGCCTCATACATGTACTAAATTGAGGGAAATAATTATTTAGGAGACTAAAAGGCAGAGCAGAAGAGTAAGCAACCAATACATAGCAGTCCCAAATAGTCACCAATTTTACTATGAATCAAAAAGTTGTCTTGATATATAAGTGAAGATTAAAAGTTTCACTAACACAAAAGACATCGCAGGAAGTATTCTGTGATAACCCTCCAGAGGGTGAGTGCACAAGCATACTTTCTTCCCACCCAAAGAAAACCTCAGCTGAGGTGGCAGCTCTCGCTCCCATCTCTTCAGCAGTACCAGACTGCTGCTGCTAAAAACAGGCAGAGAAAGTCAGTTACAAAGGTACTAAAGATTTTATTCTGCAGAACAGCTATATAAAAAGCACTAATATAAAGATATCAGAAGAGCAGCTGTTTCCTCCAGATACCACTAAGAGCAAATCCATCAAATTTATCTTGAAGCAAAGAACAAACCAGTCCCTTAGGTATTTTCCCCAGACATCAAGTTTTCCTACGCATTCTATGTATTACAAATCTTGGTCTCTCCCAGCAATAGGTTAAGGACAGGCCTAGCCCGTTTCACCAATCCACATATCTACCAAGTTTAGACAGTCAAGTGTTCTGAACATATCATTAGTTGTATTCTTTAGGGACTGGTATACAGCAGAAAGTGCTTACAGATGACATAACGAGTGGAACATTCTGGATACTGCCAGTTTTGTGACCTTCAGTCAAATCATCTTTACCTGGAATAACCAGAACATTCCCCTTCTGAGATCCATGCTTTCTTCCAATAGTTCTCCTTAGACTTTTGAGGTACAGCATCTCACAGGTAATACCTACCTGACAGCAGTATGGGAAGGTGTGTCACATCTCTAAGTTTCCAGAACGTATCTAGTCCTCAGTACGCAACACCTATGACCTAAGAGTGAACCCAGGAAAGATGCTTTGAAGCATGCACTGAATTTGCATCCCTTATCTACTGGGAGCCTCAACACAAGGGGAGCCAATTTGCTTGAGAAATTATTAGTGAAGTCCATAAACAAACACTTGCCTTGGAGATCAATTCATCGTGATTGGCTAGGTGGGCTCTGCAGTGGATACAGCTGTAGGTTCGATGACAGTTCGGCAGGTAAGCCTGGAACGTTTTTGATTTTGTCATTTTTACCATTTCTGCTGGTGGCTCCTCACTCAGCTCAGGGCTGGCACTTGAAGAATTACAACTTTGCTGAACTCGCTGACAAAAGAAACACTGGAATATGCAAGCAAAAGCCGTTGTTGTTCTGGAGTGTGTGTGGCACTTTCCACACAAATGACAGAAGAGAAACAGTCACAACCTGTAGGCGAAAAGAGCAGAAAGTTACCAGCTTTCCAGAGGCACAGTAAGCTCGTTGCTCAATAATACTAGGCAATAAAGTAAGGATTTAAGAGCAAATGTCTGGCTGTGCTACAATCATCTTCTTTTGGGGAAGCTGCTCAATTCAAGTTCAATTTAACAGAGCAACAAGCAGTTTCTGTTCCACTAGTGGCTTCTACTCCATCACATTTCCAATGAAGGAGATAAAAATATAAAAATACTTCCTACAACACATCAGGTGTACTCCAAGAAATGCAAGCAGCAGTTGCATCAAAAAGGCAGGGGACCAGAAAAATCATTTCTCTGAAGTCAGCAGTGGGCTCCAATAGAGCAAGCGACAGGTATCCTGGAAAACACTCGCTACAACCAGCAGTAAACAAACAGACACCTGCGTCCCAGCCTCCTGCAGGAGCCTTGCTACACTCCTCCGGCTGGCTGCTGCCACCCTTGCCAAGAGCTGTGCACCCTCCCCATCCCAGCTCTGCAGAAAGTGTCTTTAGACAAAATCTTTTTGCCAACAGCCCTGAGCCGAGCTGATTAGATACTTCCCTGCACTACAAAATATTATTAGTGGTTACTACTGAAGCCATTCAGAGAGTAAAAGCTTAACTCAAAGAATATACAACTGCTTTCTTAAACCTTTAAGAAAAATTACACACACAAACAGGAGGCCATGCCTTCCTGCTGTGCTGGAAAGCAAACCTTTTTAAAGCCTGCCTGGAAATCACAGATTCTAAATATTCATAACATCCACTGATCTGCCAGAGGGCATCAGCCAGCACGCAATGTGTGTCAGGCTAATGAGTAACCCAAACATGCACACAGCACAGCACTTATGTCACCAGCTATCAGGTGACTGGCAGAGTAGGTCAATAGCACAGGCACAGCAATGAAAGTGGCATGGAGAATTTACAGCACTGACGCAGCTGTTGAAATGGGCGCACAAAACATTTATCAGCTGTGAACTGTGCACAGCGCAGAGTTAACCACTATTCCAGCAGCAGGATGCTGCTAACACAAAGAAAAATAACAAAAGCCACAAATTAGGAACTGTTTATAGGAAGTTGTCACCGTGCTTCTGAAGAAGGCTTGAGAAAGTGACCCATACAGCGGGCTCAGCACATGAGAGCTACAGCCGAAGTTAAGGCAGCAAGAGATGGCTCTCCACACCCACCACAGGGCTGTAAGACGCCTTCTTAAAAAAGGCAGTGGTAAAGGCAGAGGTAAAGCTACAGAAACGGACACGTAGGAGAACGCGTGCAGTGCACAAACACAAAGCAACGGGAACAAACCGCCTTCCAAAGCACGAATCCAGGTCAGAAGGACAGCCATTGAAAAGGAAAACATATTTTAAGGGATACGATAACAGGTTTGAGACATTCACCCAGTTAGCATGAAGCGCAGATCTTAATTATTAATTAAGAAATTTAAATAAATATGGCCTTATCTTGGGAGAACAGACATCTAATTAGAAGTGCAATGGGAAGAGCATTGCACAGCACGTGCCGTAGGACAGCAGGCACTGCCTGACAACGGGACAGCAACAGAACACAGCGCTGGGAGCCGAGTGAAGCCCCCCTGGATTCCCTCCCTGAACTCCGGTCACACTCAGCCTGGTTTCCATGACAACGTTAGACAGAGATGGACAGAGATGCTGTTTAGCTGCACAGAAAAGGAACAAAATCAGGCAGGGTTTCAGGACGACAGACACCACACGCGATGATATTCTGACTTCAGACTCTTCAGATCGGCACACACGAACCGTGAGTTCAGCGCCTGCAGAAGCTCAGCCAGCAGCACGAAGGCTTTCGAGTAGGGCATTCTGAAGAACGCTTTCCAGTCCGCGGTTCGGAAGGCAAAGCCGCAGGGATCCACGGCGCCCCGTGCAGCGCTCCCACCCGGCGCGGGGCGCCCCGCCGCCTCGGCCCCGCCCCGTGACGTCACGCGGGGGCGTGGCCTGCGCTCCCGGGGGCGGGGCCGGGCCGCCCCGCGCGGCTCCCGGATGTGTAAACAAACACCCGCGAGCGTGGCGGGGGGGCGGCGGCGCGGGGATCGAAGCGGGAGGCGGGGGGAGCCGAGGGCGCAAAGCCCGCCGAGACGCTGACGTTCTTCGGCGGCCGCTCCGGGCTAAAAGGAGAGCTCAAAACCGCTGCCGTCCGGAAACCGAGGGCGGGGAGACGGCGCGCGGAGACGGCTCTCAGCGAGGCGGAGCGGCTCCGGCTGCCGGACTCCCCCCGCGCCGAGGACGGCGGCCCCGGCAGGCTCCGTCCCGGCCGCAGGCGGCCCCGCACCGGCGCCGCTTCGCCCCCCGTTACGTAAAGTGCCGCCCCGCAGCGGGAGCCGCGGGCGAGCGGCGCTGCCGTCACTTCCAGGCGCTATAAATAGCGCCGCGCCGCCTCCTCCCGTCCGAGCGGCCCCCGCCCCGCGCGCACCAACCGCCGCGCCCCCCGGCCCCCCGCCGAAGCCGCCCCACCCGCGCCGCGGCCCCGGCCGTTTCCCCCCCGCAGCCCTCGGTCCCGCCGCGGCCGAGCACTCACCGGCTCCCGAGCACTCACCGGCTCCGCTCCCGGCGCAGCACCGCCGCGGGCCGCGCTCCCGTAGCGGCGCTCAGACGCGGACGCCACGCGGCGCCGCCGAGGGGCCCGCACCGGCCCGTCCCGTCCGGCTCGCAGCGAGGGGCAGCGAAAACAAAGGGCTGCGTGCGCGCGTGGCGGGGGGTCATAAGCCGGGCCGGGGGCTCGGCGCGCGTCTCCCCGCCTGAGGGCCGCGGGCCGGCCGAGGCATCCTGAGGGCCGCGCTCCGCGCCGCCGCCGCCTTTGTTTTGTTTTCCCCCGGCTCGGGGGCGCTGCGGCCGTTAAACGCGCTCCCACCGCCGCCGGCAGCCAATCAGCGTGCGCGCGCGCGCGCCCTCGCGCTCCGGCCCGCCCCCCTGGGGCTCCGAGGGAGGGGGGGGGAACCCGGCGCGGCTCCGCCCCCTTCGCCCTTCTCCACAAAGCCGAGAGGCGGGGCGAGCGGCCCCACGGCCCCGCCCTCTTCGCTCCTCCTCCGCGGGTCGCTGGGCGCGTGCCGCCGGCGCCTCTTCCCCTCCCCCCGCCTCGGGCGCGAGGCGAGATGAGGCGGGAGCGGCGCGCCGAGCGCGGGCGGCCCTGAGGGACAGCGGGGTGCGGCCGTGCGGCGGCGGGAACGGAGCGCGGGTGCCGTGCCGTCCGCCGAGGGGTCGGAACGCCCCTGTCAGCGCTGTGGGTGTTACGGAGACAGGAGAGTGAAGGCGGTGCCATGAGACGATGGAGCGCGAGCTTTCATTCCTCGCCTCTGTTTGTCTCTCGCGGTTCCGATGGAAGCAGGTGAAGCTCCGGCAGATGACAAGCCGCAGCTTTAGGGATGAAAGCCCGACGCCGAAGGCCGAGAGCGCCGGGACGCCGCAGCGCGCAGGCCTCCCGCCCAGCCCTGCCTCCCGCCCAGCCCGCAGCCCGGCACGGAGCGGCACGGAGCGGCACGGAGCGGCACGGAGCGGCACGGGGCGCCGCGCACAGCCGGCGATTCCTGCCCTCCTCCCCTCGCCTCCCCGCCCCCAGCTGTCCCTCCCCAAGTTTAACCAGATTTCTGGTACTTTGCGGAATATCGAACAGCTGGGATCCGTTGCAATTCAGTGGCTGTGATTAAAACCTCCAAACCTACGTAACTGCCGTGTCTGTGCTTCGGCTGCTGTTACGTGCTTTTCCCTTAAGTCATATTAATGGCCATTCTCGAAGAACGGCACAAAAGCTCACGCTTGCACAGTAAAAGTGAAATGCGTGCCGGCGGCACACCCTGCAATCCCGGTTACAATTCGCCCGTCGCTCGGCAGCTCCGAGCCGGCGGCTGAAGGCGGTAAAAGCAGGCGGGTGAGAACCGGGCCGGCTTCCCTTCGCAGGGCAGCGCAGCCGCTTCCCTGCCCGCTGCCTCAGCTGAGTTCGGTGAGGCGTGCGACACAACAACGGCTGGAACGGAGAGAGAGTAGGGGTACAACGCAACTGAGCAGAGGAAACACATTGAATCAGATGTAGTGCAGAAACAACAAGAATCTTGAGCCGTGTGTTGATCGACAGCCTGCTGAAGGTTAGAAATGTTTTTAGCTTGTACTTCATTCTGAGGGGCCTGTTACTATTCTCCCTTAACAAGACTCATTTCCTTCTTTCCCAAGTCAAAGGGTAGGTGACCAGATGTGTGGCTGCTGTGCCCCTCCCACCCGCCAGGTGCCACGCAACTATCTGGAAAATACTGCTATATATAAATACTGTAGAAGCTATTGCTTCAGCCTTTTAATAATAGTTAACATTTATATTGTAACATACAGGTTCTGGGTACCATGCCACAGTATGTTTCTCATCGATCTAAATGTTACCGTCTTTGTGGATTAGGAGTGGGAAACATTAAGCGATGAGCAGAATAAGAATAATCACAATAAGAACAACACTGATTTCCACAGGTGTACAACCAATAGGTGTACAAAGGTTAGACTTAGTAAGATTATTACGATGGAAAGCTAATCGAAATGAATGGCAATGCTCACAGTAAGCTCAACAAGGAGCGATCTCCAGAAGAGATCCTTCCTCAGTGGCAGCCAGCACTTAACTGGGATGCAGGAGATGTGCAGCCAGGCTCCACCCCTCCCGGCAGCACAGCTGAATTGCCTTCACCTCTGCCGCCACGGCTGACTCATTGCTTACCTCGGGTGGTCGAGCAGAGGTTCAGGCCGTGATCAACAGTTCCGTACAACAGGCGTCCTCCCCACCCACGTCTGTGCCTGCCCACATCAACCGCAGCTGTCATTGGTCCACTGAAACTGGTGGCAAAGCTCCCTGGTAACACAGCCCTCGCATCTGAGGGGCAGCACCACCACCTGCTTGCCGTCAGTGACTGGAGCTGGACGGCCCTGCGTTTGGGACGTGGCAGATGCTGCAGTGCCTTTCCCACTCTGATGTCTTGCTGGTCACTGGCTTAAAGGAAGGATCACAAACGTGGAATCACCGGTGCTGCTGTGCATGCTTTTCTATAGATGTGAATGCAAGTGTCTGGTGTCTCTCTTTGCTTACCTTGAGAGATCTGCTGTGATCTTGGTTTAGGTGTTAGGAGCCAAACAGGTTACACAGACAGGATTTTGACTCTGCATGATGAATTAAAATGAAACAGGAGTCCAACCCCGACGAGAGAAGCTGTTCTTTTCAGAGAAGACAAGATGAACATGAGGGAAGAAAGGGGTGTCTGTCGTTCAGTGAGGACAGCAAAGGATCCTGAGAGTGGAACAATGTTTCCATTGTTTTAACACAAGCTCTGCTTCTCCACTGAAAGATCTAAATGACAAGGACACTAAGGGTTTCTTTCTCTTTGCTATTTGTTTCCCTAGTAACAAATACACAAGCTGCACTGTTAGAATACCATCTTTTTCTTCTTCTTCTTCTTTTCCTTCTTTTTGATTTCTAAATATAAAGACGTGTCAAGGATGTAGTTAGTGCCTTCAGAAGCAGGATAAGGTTGTTTATATGAACAACCCCTGATAAAGAATGGTGTGTTTGACAAAACTGTGTGTAGTCCACAACAACAGTGGAACAACTTAAAAAGCACGGATAAAATTAAATACTTAATCTCAATCTCAATATACTGTTTGAATTATAAACTCTTAGGGTGAATTCTGCCTTTCACAGTGGGACTCATCTTGATTAGCAAAGCAGATGTCATACTACAACTACTAAACCCTGTGTTCTGTCCTAATTATATCATAAGCATATTATCACTGGTAATTTAACGGCACTAATTTTGACAGTCTGGCAACTCTTGCCTGTGTTCCTGTTGTGTGCTCTGCATCACGGTGTAATATGAGCAGGAAGGTGTTATTTTTTCTCATTAGGATTCTAATCAAGGTTATGGTCTGCAGTTCTGGCATTCATCAGGTCACAGGAATTGTAGAGACAATATGCAGTCATTGTCTTTGTGGCTTACCATGTTAGAAATAGAACTGTAGGTGAGTTGTACCCCAAACCATGAGCCGTGCTGAAAACTAGACAAGCTCCAAATGTGAGGTAGAGGAAGGACTATTAAAGGCATCGAAACTGGGAAATAACATCAGGATTGCTCCTTCGTTTCTCAGGTCACAGTAAGTCTCAAATGTTTTAAAATCAGTTGGTCTAAGAAATGCAAAGCGCCATGCTCTTTGTTTTAACTGAAAGAAGACTATTGAAAGAAGGTGCTTTTTTTTTTTTTTTCCCAAATAAAAATAATTTCCTGTATGTTTGCCTTAAATGCATGCTTAATAATGGAAAAAATATATACACCAAGAAACCCCACCTTGCTCTTCTCAGAAGAAGTTTATAACTGAAGTTCATAACATCACGTTCTGCCAAGTTCTCCAAGGAAAATAATATGCATCTATTTCTTATGACATGGCAGCAGTCAGGTTGGAGTGCATAACATAGGAACAACTGATGTATAATGAGTGTTGTGAAGGGTGCTGGAATTTAAAATGAGATTGGGAAACAAAAATTTTACAATATTACTGGTATTTCCTTGTGCAGGTTATGTATGGAAAGAGACAGAAGTAGAACAAGGTTGTGATTATATAACATTAAAATATCATACTATGCATTAATTGAAACCAGCTCATTATTAGGTAATAAATTATAGTGGCACTTGTCACAGCATATTTTTAGTTACTTGTCTGGATCTGCGTGCAGAAAGGTGTTTAGGTAAACAAGGAAAGTACATTTTCATTTGGGATGAGTTTTGAAAGCAGTAGGAGAAAGTATTTGATTGCACTGCAGACACCAGTGCAAAACCTGCAGACTACTACTGGTGGCTGCACCAATAGCAGCTCGTACTACTAGTGAAGATGCTGCTTCAGCACAGCAGAGAATATGAAGTGACAAGGTCAGCTGTCTTGAAATATTTTGAGGTCTCAAACCATCCTCAAGTGGAGAATAAGCACAAGAATTTGTTTATAGGCTACAAATCAAATAATTATCATGATTTTATACAGGAACAGATGTAGATATCTGCTCATATACACAAATGGATGTGAGATGAAAAAAAAACATCTATATCACCCAACTTCAGATACCTAATTCGGGTGTGTATAAACATATATATTGTGTATATATATGTATTCTCTCTAATCAGTGGGCTTCAGCCCACATACACCACTAGAGGATGATCTGTCATTTGCCAGATCCAAACTGCTCCTTTTCCCACCACCATCACCATGGAAATGCTTCTTTTATTTATTGTGTGACTTTTAAAGTACCAAAATTGGATGTTAATTAAACTCTTTAATATTCAGATTGACAGGTATGCAAATGCCTTACCTAAAGCAGAGAAGTTCACTAGAGAATTAGCCAGTGTTTAAGCACTTCAAGCTTCTGAACACCTTTGTACTAAGCCAATATTTATGATTATTCCTGCTGGAGTATGGTTCTAGAATGCTTAAATAGCTATTTTCACCAGAAAATCTGGACCTTTCCCATCAAGATAAACAGGAGCTTGTAACAGTTCTGGTCTTATTATATACTCCATTGGGTCTTCAAACAAAAATATAAGAGCAACAATAAGGATTGCATCCATTTGATATATGCTCAGTAATGAGAGGGTGATCACAAGTGACAGCCATATTTATTCCTGACAATTGTTTTTTGCACTAGGCAAGCTGTGGTGAGAACAAGTCACTGGATCTATGAATGCCTGACTGTTCTCAGAAGCAGAGGAAGCTGCAGGGGCTGCAGGCAGCTGCTTGCACAGTTGGGTAAGTAAGGAAGCAGTGCAATTCTGTAACTTTCTCCCAGTTGTTACAAGCTATCCCAAGCTGCTTCTGGGACCTAAGTCACCTCTGAAGTCAGAAAAGACAGAACTATTCTCAATCCCTGAAAGTGGCTGGGTGATTCCCAGCGCAGACAAGGCTGGGCTGCACCTCCAGTGCAGTACACCAGGACTGTAGACAAGGATCAGACCACCCTTACCATCATAAGACTGGAAATGGCACCTTTGGTTTTGCAGCCATTCACTCCTGGTGAGTAAATTTCGCAGTGCAGTGGAATACTTGAATCTCGATTTAGCATGCAAACAGAAGTGGGAACAATAAACCAGCACAGCAGCACATGCAAAATTACTGTACATTTTGAGAACCATTGCATTTTAATGCACCAAACAAAACCTATATGCATTTTTTTGTATTTATCAATAAAAAAAGCAGAAGCCACATCTCTCTAAGGCAAAAGAAAAAGGTAGTAGAACATGAAGAATAATAAAAGCTTTTCCAATGTACATATAAATATTGTGAAGCCCACCATTAAGTAGGATTGTCATCTCCTTCATGCAGCTACAGGCGCTTTGGCTAATGCTGGGCAGCTTCATCTGAAAAGTTAAAACTATTCTTTGTAAGCTATGGAAAAGCAGAAATTCATTTCCTATTGATACATGTTTTGTATAAACACATTCTGCATATGCTTGCTTATATATGCAAATCAGTTGGCTACAGACAGGGATCCAAGTTTTTTTCAGCTCAAGGTTTCTTTGGTTGTTTGTTCTTTTTTCTTCTTTTTTCTTTTATTTTCTTTTCTTTTTTCTTTCTTCTTCCAAGAGGTGTGTTTCTCATCTTGATATTTCGTCTTCACATTTCCATTCTCAGATCCTTTCCAGGTAAGGGCAACTAGCACAAGCATATTGTATAGCTGCACAGATAAATGGGATCAAAGGGATCTCTGTGACTTGCTGTAAGATAGAAGTTATTTTATTACTTGTCTTTTAAACCAGAACACAGAATCACAGAATGATAGGACATCCCTTGGGAAAACATCCTTAGAACATTCTGTCTCAATTTACAAATCGTTAATTCATTGTTCCTGTTTTTAATTACTCTCATTGATAACAATATAAACCTTATTTCTCCCTTGAATGTACTCAGTTTTATCCTTCATTTCTTCCTTCCTTTGCCCATAAGTCTGAAGGGAGGATAAAACTTACTGTAGACACAAAAATGAGCAATCCTTTTGAGTAATAAACATTTTTCAATTTACAGTTTGTTTCTACATCCCTTCTCAGATCCTCATCCAAGTTATCAAATGATTTATTGAACGGAGGATTCCAGCAGCAATTTTTGTCCCGGCCAAACACAGGACTGTTCTTTTCCTATTCTGACAATCTGACAGTTGTATCTGTAGTTGGCTAATTGTCAGGTGCTCAACTGATTGTTCATTAGGATCCTCAAAGGCATTTCAGAATTGCTTTTACAGTAAGAATTCATCTGAATTTTTCCAGAAACTGATCAGGACTCACACGTAGTGAAGCTAAAGACATGTCCTCCAGAAGGAAAGACAGATGCCTACTTTGATTAGATGGAGTGACTTTCTGTGGCAGCCAGCCCACTGTTTCTGGGGCAAAATGTAGCAGTGCAGGGTAAGACTTCAAGGCATCTCACTATTTTCTAGAATTATATGAAGATAAATATTATTAATGAGCTTATTCTCTTTCACAGTGTAGAGATGACTATACAAAGCAAAAAGTAATGTTGGCCATGGGAATCAGCTACTGAACAAGAACAAAACCAAAAGTTAATCAAAGCCTGTATTGCAGTTAGTATGAGTCCAGTGTAAGATTGAAACAGAATGAGACAGACTGATCAGAACTGCAGTAACAAGGAGAAAACAGATGCTTGTAACAGTGAGAACACAGAACTCTGCACTGTAACTTAACGCTGCAGGCAGCCCTAACTGGAGAATTATTTTTAATAAGATATTGTAAAAGTGCCTGAAAATATTTCTAGAGGGAATATGCACACAGCACACAGCAATCCCTTCTATCTTCCTGCTCAGTAGTATTTTTACAGTCTCGAATTCACTGGCAACTCCTAGAGCAGTCTCTGCTGCTTTGGCACTTACACTGACCTTATTCTAGACTAACACAAATGCCTTATCTGCCACCTTATTCTTTTTTTCCCTCCTTGTAGTTCTTCTTTTGTTTTAATTTTAATTTTTCTCAAGTCAATTTTTTAAACACATGGAGAATGCAACAGAGTAGAAAGATCAGCTTAGCTTAGGTTCAGGAAAAAAAGCATCAGAGATTTTTGGTTTTCTCATCCAGGCTAGCTGCAGGAGTTTCATTTCTGGGATGGAATGATTTTTATATGAGTTCTGTTCTGTAACTGCCTGGTTTCGGTTTTCTCCTGCTGTACCAGAAACTCTGAGAGGGGCGATCAGAACTCGGAGAGGTGCTGACGCTGCTCAAGTACCGGAGGAGACACAGTAGTGCTTAAGCTTTGCAATCGGGAAGATGAGCCACTGCTGCGCCGGCTCCATCTTGTGGCCAAACGTATAGGTAGACAGATTTTAATTAGCCGAATCTTGTCGCAAAATTCTTACATAAATATTGATAAACAAATGTGTGAGTTTCCTTCATACATTTTATAACAAATGGCTTGAATGTTTCTGGTAACTAAGAGACGGGAGAGTGATTAAAGACAACATCAGTGCAAGCAAGCATTGCCTATTTTCTTGTATAATGCTACAAATATTCTGGCTGATTGTTTGTTTGTTTGTTTGCTTCTCCAGGTATTTTTTTCATGTGGCTGTCATTAAATATAATAAGTAATAGCACTTGAACTTTCAGACAGACTCTTGCCTGTACAGCTCATCCTGCAGTCCCTAAATCTGAATAAGTATGTTCAGTAACTGCCTTGATTTGGCAGCTTGACCACTCAACCTATGAACTTGGCATAGGAAAAGAGAAAAGACAAAAGAAATTACAGAAGGTAGCAAAAATCTGAACTAATCACCACATCATAGCTCAACAAGTCCCTTATTCATGACACAGATACCAAAATTCACAGTGTAGTGTACAGCACAACTACGTATCTTCTCCAGTGAGTGGTTCACTTTCAGCAGTTTCAGTGTTGGCAGCAGGAAGGCAGTGACCAGACTGCGTATGCTGGATTTGCTGTTCTGCTATATATCAATTTGTATATTGGATAGAGCTTCTAAGGATCATATGAGAATCTGCATTCATCTCTCTTTACAAATTATTGTCTGAGATGCAAGATTGCAGCAATTGAGAGCACACAAATTATGTTTCCAGAAACTGATACAGAGCTGGCTGCTGGGTATACAACAGGGTAAGTCTAATTGCACGCATATTTTGAATGTTTTAATATCAAAGGTACATCCCAGATCCACATGACATAGAAACAAAGCAAGTGCCTGTTTCTAGGGAGTCACAGATCTCAGCAAAACATGTCTATCAAGAAGAGTCTCTCCATAAGTCACAGAGAGTAACCATGATGACCACTGGTAACAAAGCTGCCTTACCTTTTCATGTATACATAAAGCTAGAGCACATTCCACATGTAGACTTCCATTTTGGGTCCTCTCCAGCTGTGCTCAAAATAAGTGCAGGTTTGCAAGGTTGGCATATAGTGACTTAATAGTAGCAAAGTCTCTTTCTATAATCAATTTTCTCACAGCTGCACTATTGGTCCACATAAAGAACTCCTTGCTAGATGTTGTACCAAGAAAAGATATTGCATTAAATAAGCATGTTGCTTGGCCAGAAGGCACTATGCACACAGTACATGTGTACTATGCCACACAGCAATTGCATGCTTCTGTTCTGCTCTGGTAGATACATGTTTGTCTGAGTCTGGCACAGCCTCCAGCTCAGCAAAGCAGCACAGGGAAGGGAGCAGGAGAGAAGGAGAGTGATCTGGCTGCTGGACTCTCACCTTCTCAGCCACAGCATAGTTTGCATTTTGAGTGAGTGGATCAAGAGTGGGAGGAAGCTATAAAAGGCTATCTTACATCTGCTGGCAGCCAGCAGTTAGCATGAAAGCTACCAAGTACACAGTAATAATCCTTTAAAATAAAAAAAAGGCAATGCTGCTGCTTCACTTTCAGCAGTGCAGTGGGATGGGAGGTTGACTGGTCAAACACAGATTAAATTCAAATATTGCAATGCCAGCTGAATACATAAGTTTTGGAGAAGCTTGTACTCAGCTCTTTTGTGTAAATATTGCCTATGATGTTTTCAACATCTTTTTCTGCACCGGTATATGGAAAAAGTTGTATCAGTACTGTACCACACATCCAACTGACAAAGCTGTGCCTGCTGTTTGCTTGCTTTTTTTTTTTTTTTAAATCTATTTTGCAACCTGGGTTTTGCTATTTTGCTACAAGATATCCTCATCAAATCACTATTCTGCCACCTTTCTTGGCAAGAGCTTCAAAAATACCCATGTTCCAGTGCCTCATCTCTGTGTACTTCTAATCTAGGATCTCTAATAGGAAAGTCACTCCAGTCTTCTGCGTGGTTCAGTGAGGCATGGCACAAGACAAGACCAAACCAGCTGCTCTGGCAGGAGCACGTGAACACAAATTAAAGTGACCCACATTTAATCAGAAAAGCGGTATCTGCTTGTTTCCCCAGCTCAGAGGATTAAGCAGCAGGCGGAGTGCCTTACTGAGCAGACTGTGAAGCAGTGAATAAAATCCAGTGCATAGCCTTCAGAATCACTGTTAGAACCAACAGGATACTCGGAACTTTAGTACCCAGAAACTTCCTGCAAGGCACATCTCTGCGGCAACAGATGAGGTTTTGCAGTTCCTTGGATATTTTGCTACAAGAGAGAAGTTGACTTACACATAAACAGGGATTTTAAAACAAGGCAGCACTTTAGTAAAGTTATTTTTTTCATATATTCCCATTTTCTCTCAGTTTGAAAAACACTGCTGTCCTTTATCCTGACTTTTCTGGTATTTATGTCAGTAAGCACGAGGAGTGGAAAGGCACAGAGAGATGGAGGTTGTATGAAGTCTGATAGTCGTAACTGGCGTAACGTTGTTCATTAATATGTATGTTAAGAAAGTTCTCAATGCTTCAGCTTGCTTCAGCCTCAATCCATAACAAGATGCTGTGCTTTATTCATGGGTGGTTGCGATTACTTTGACCTATTCCACAAACTAGGAAAAAGGGAAAAAACCCATCTCAATTTTCTTTTAGTCCTCACATTCAGTGCCTTGAGCAGTCACACTGCACACACACTAAGACTCAGTCTGCTTAATAAATAAATAAATGAATGAAATGAAATGAAATTAAAAATAGAAAAAGCAAACAGTGAAAGAAACAAAAAAATCAAATCCACATCAGAATGTAAACTGTTTACTCCCAGTTTCAAGGTAAGTTCTTGCCCTAAAATGTTGCTAGCTTACCCTTTGATAGCTATTGCAGCTACAGTGCTAGAGAATACTTTTCAGAATGCTAGGCATTATTATTTGTTGCTATTTAATCATCGTGCTTAACAGTCGTTCTGCTGGGTTTTTATTTACATAAATTATATTCGTGGTTACCTTTCAACCAGCAGGTGGCACAACGACAGGTTTAACAGCTCTGTAAGGACTAGAATGTACCAGAGAGGCGTGGAGCACGGAGGTTCAAACTATGGTTACGTTTTTCCTTTGACAGCTTTTTGGATTTGCATGGAGACAAGGCTTCCAGCAGGAAGCTGAGTAACAAGTATTACTGTATCTTTTCATGGCCAATCTTATCTCTCTTCTTTTTGCTCTCTGGATGCTATCACAAGTCTAGGCACCGAAGTTTGGACGCTGAGCACAAGTCTTAAGGGAGCAGCTGAGCGGCCTGGGGCGTTGTTTTACTGTGCAGGAGGCTCAGGGGAGACCTGTATCACTCTCCTCAGCTGCCTGAAAGGAAGAGGTGGCGAGGTCAGGGTCAGCCTCTTCTCCCACACAGCTAGCAATAGGATAAGAGAGAACGGCCTCAAGCTGTGCCAGGGGACATCAGGAAAAAAGTGTTTCCTGAAAGAGAGATCAGGTGCTGGAATGGGCTGCACAGGGAGTGGTGGAGTCACCATCCCTGGAGGTGTTCAAGGGACGTTTAGATGTTGTACTGAGGGAGTGGTTTAGTGGGGAAGATTGGAGGGAGGCGGATGGTTGGACTGATGATCTTGGAAGTCTTTTCCAACCTTGGTGATTCTATGATTCTATACTAAACATTACTGCTACGGGCAAAACTAATAGCAAACGCTGCACAAAAAGGCTTTTAATTTGTAGAACATAGATTGTTTCTATGTGTAAAACCCAGTGCTTGAGAAGTGCAAATGCACAACACAAGAAGAATGAAAGCAGTGCACTCTTGTCCCATCTGCTCTAGCCAGTAACAGCCGTGATGGTGCCAGGAAGGGCAGCCTGTACAGCACAGTGGAGTTCATTGTTTGCAGCTCTGCAGCAGCTAAAGGCTCTGAACAGATGTAAATTACATTGTTTGCCAACAGTATCTTCCAGTCAAACAGAAAAAGAAATCCTCTGAAGCTTACAGGTTACACGACTGAAGTACAGCTGAAAACAAAAGTGAAAGGGTGAATTCACTGCCTCAGTCTCTGTTACTGTATTTATTAAGACCTGCAAAAATCAGCAGTGGAAAGCATAAGCAAGTACGAGCAGGTCTTCTTCAGCTCCATGCAGTCCAGGGGTTGTCAAAGTCACTGCACCTTCACTGCTATCACCTGAGGTTGGACCAGATGGCCTTCAGAAATGCCTTCCAACCTGCTTTCTTTGTCAGTGATTACCTGTGTTAGCTTGACATACACTTGACAGAAACTAGCATACAACTGCAAAGAACTACAGAAAGATCTCACAATTGTTATTGGCTTTAAGAGCACACAGTAAAACCTCTAACCAACAGTCCTACACCTCTGAAATACAAGAACATTTCTGAGCTACAAAACCGATGGTCAGGAAACATTCTGGAGAAAGGTGCTTGCCTTTTCCTACATTCTCCCTAGGCAACCACTGCTGGCCCTCTGTCCCCTGTGGATTGCCCATCCTCTGTCTCAGACCAAGCATTACCCTGACCCTGCACACAGTGTTTAAGTCCTCCCACGAGAAAGGACTGAGAAAAACTAAACAAAGAAAAAAACT